AAAAATAAGGACATTTTCGTGTACGTTTTCGGCAATTCAATATTAAAAATAATTAATTAATTCAAAAAAGAAAATATAAAAAAAAACTCTTTAAAGTAAAAATATAATATATAACATTTGTAGGACATATTTAATTCCAATATGAATCATATTAAATTAAATATATATTATATATTATGTATGTTTTACATTTAAATTTTAATTAATGATTTAAAAAATACTGGAAAATGTGTTGTTGTGGTACTATAATATTTTTCTCTCTCAGAATGAACAAATTAAAATATTAAATGCAATTGAAACATTTCCGGGATTCAGTTAGTAATTCTTTAAAAAACAAATCAAGTTTATCCATTGCTCCATTGCCCCCCCGGGGCTGCATTCCACAGATACTAGTATTAAAATAAAGTCCACAAATGCCACCCACATGCCCACATGCCGAAAAAAACATATTTAAATGCCATAATGGGACTTATCTTGTATCTCGTGGCTAGAATATGCAACTGCAATTGGTTTCAATCTGTTTCTGGTTCTGTTTTTGGCTCTGACACATGCTCGAAACAAAAGAAAGAAAAGCGAAAATCCACACAAGAAAACCATGACGAACGGAGAGATAAATAATAAAAAGAAAACACAAAATAGAGCCAAAGCAGCTGCAAAGCACAAAATGGAATCGGAATCGGAGTGAAAATATGTCCAAGCAGTGCGAGCAGTACATGCATACATACATACATACATCGGGAGAGGAGACCGACCGACTGCCGTAAAGAATTCCAAAATGCAAAGCTGGGAAGACATTTGATTTTTGTCGAGTTTGCAGAAAAAGTTATTCAGAGCCGGGGGGGGCACGGGGTACGGTTACGGGGTGTGGTATAATTTAATTGCATAATTAGCAAGTTGTAGATTTTGTGGGGAGTTTTTTCTTTTTCTTTTTTTTGATTTGGTTTGGTCTGGAATCTGCCGCCGCCGCAGCCACCGCCGCTGCACACGTGATCGCGAAATGGAGAGCGTCTCCAGGTCTCACAGTTTCATCTCGTTCTTCGCTGCACAGCTGACACAGTTTTCACATCTTTTGCGGCCAGACAATGGAAGCAAACCGAACCGAACCGAACCGAAATGAACGGAAAAATTCACACAGGTTGCACCGGAAATGGAGCCAGGCCCGCGGCCCCCGGCCCGCGGCCCCCTACTGGAGCACATATCCAAATAATTCATATAATGATTTAATCAAAATGGAAAAGCTACAGCTCCACTCCCCACAATTCGAAAATTGATTTCACTGGAAAAGCCAGACCTTTTTTGATTAATTACACTACTCGTAGGATCCGAACCCAACCGAACCCCAAAACACACACAAATTTCCCATTAATTAGGGTTCCACATCTCCAGATCTGGATCCCCATAGGGCAGCGCCGGTGCATCTCGTCTCCCACTCCCACTCTCACTGTGGCGTTTTTGTTGTTTACCTGTCGCTGCCTCGCACACACACACACACACACACACCGCTGGTTACTGTGGTTGTAACCCGGGATGGGTTCAAATGGGTTCAGAGAGATATCAAAAATGTTCTTTTGATTGCCGGCTTGCCCTTTTCTCTTACATTATTATAATTCTCATGCTTATTTTGGCTCTTCTTTGCTTCGTCTCATTCTTTTCTTTCTTTTTTTCTTTTCGATTTGTTTGTTGTTGTTATCATCTCTACGAAATTCCTCGTTTTTTTCGGTGTTTGTTTTTATGGCTCACTCACTCTGCCTCTGCTCCCTCACCCTCTCTTTCCATCACTGTCTTATCATTATTCAAATATTTTACCTACACACACACACACACACTTATGCACTCTTCTTCTGTCACTGTCACTGTTACTGTTCATTGTTTCTTGTCTCTGTCTTGCCGCAGAGCGCCGAGGGGCTGGCGGCTCCCCTTCCACCCAAGAAGAACCTTTTTTTGTGTGTCTTTCGGATCGGATCGGGTCTTTCGTTTTGGACTTCACTTCAGCTATTTTATTCTTATGTAATTACTCTCTTTCTCAAGTGCAGCATTTCCGCTGTCGAATAGAATGGGGGGGGGGGGGGGAAGGAATAGGGGGCTGCTTCTTACCTTTCCGGCTGCCTTGATGTAGCGCCGCGTTGCCTCCTTGACCAATTCGCTGACGAGAAGTTCTCCGGAGCCGCAGGGCACCAGAATGCGCACATCGCCGAAGCAAACGGTAACCTTCATTTCGTTTGTATTGCTCTTGTTGTATTGGTATTTTTACACTTTACTGTTTGTTGTTGTTGTTTTTGTTGCTGTTAATGCACTTTCTATTTCACTCACACGCACGCACATGTATTTCGTTGTTGTTTTAGTAATTATTAATTATATTAATAATAATGCACACGTTTTTTCCAATGGAATGCTCTTCTTTATGCTTGTCTGCCCGCTGCCGCTGCTGCTGCTGCTGCTGCAGTTTGTTGTTGGCATCCTCTCTCTTCTTCTTGTTCGTGGTTTTTCGGTTTTCAGTTGTTAGAGAGGCAGCTGCAGTGGAGGAGAATAGTGATCTAGCGTGCGAGCGAGATGGCCTGCTAGTCGAACGAAAAAGGACTTGGACGTCGCAGTCGCTGTCGCTGTCGCTGCCGCTGCTTCGGCGCACTTGACAGCTGTACAACTACAACACACCTCTGTTCTCTCTCTGTCTGTCTGTATCTCTCTCTTTCCTGCTCACTCTCACTGAGCGCGATCGTGGTGTGTTTTTGTGTATGGCTTTTTATCTTGCGCTCTCAATCGAGGATGCACGCGTCAAAGAAGTATTTTGTGGCTTCTACTACTCTCTTTGCCCTGCCACTTATTTACTTAGCATATTTCACTCTTTTTGTCGTTTTCGTTGTTGTTGCTGGTGCTGTTGGGTTGCATGAATCACACATCACACGCGCGCACAAAACGAGTTACAACAACACGAAAGGCAAACAACAACGGGCCAAGATCATCGGAAACGTCGTAACAAAACGAGCGTCACACCAGCAAAAAAAAAAAAACTATATACACAAATATACGTATGTATATATCTGCAATAATCTGCTTTCGTAGTCGATTGCCGCCGCCGCAGCGCCAGCCAGAGCTGCAGTTCTCCTTTGTGCGTTTAAGCCGTGGTTTTAGTCGTTGCTTGGCCTAAAACTACAACCAAGATTTGGCGCATAGATTCGGCTTGATCATTTTTCGTTGTCAGCGTCGCTGTCGTCGCGTTTCGTAGTGGGTTATTTCTCTCCCTGCTCACTCACACTTATTGCCGTCTTAACGTATTTTTTAAACTTCAAAAAATTAACAAAAATAAACGAGCTGCCAGTCAAACATCGCGCCGAGAGCTTTTTTTCAACAATGAGAATACAAACAACGGAAAAAAATTCGTCACTCTATTTTCATTGTTTTATTCCGACGCGCGCAGCAAGAGTGTGACCGCGCGTCACACACTACCGAAACATACCGTCTCACTTAAAAAATATACCGTAAATATACTGACGAACTCAAGTTCTACTATACATATTCCTCGTTTTCTTTCTTCCGTTGAATATTACTAGCTATATAGAACATTTAGCCGTGCCCACATAATTTTAGCCCATTGATGAATCAATTTTCTACACCATTGGTTAGTTTTTAGTCCTTGCTTTTATTGTATTTTGGCAAAAACAAGGCAATAACAAAGTAGTTCAACAAAAAATCAGTTGCAATGTTGCTGGTATTTAAAGACATGATGCGTGTATAGGCCTTTGTGCACCCTATTTCGTTAATTTTATACAAAGATCATACTTAATTTATGAAGACTTTTTCTCAAATTGATATTCTTTAGACATATTCGAGTACATTATTAGTATCTTGTGTATATTCATCTCGATCCTGATACCTACGGAGTCTTGGAAGACAAACGTATTCACAATTCTATAACATCCATTTGCCCCAGGGTATGTGTGCATGGAATTAGCAACATGTTTGTGTATGGAATGAGACTCATTGTTGCAAAAGCAAAACTGCGGCGAATCGGGTATTGCCTATATTTCAAGCTATAGATGCCCACTTAGGATTATTCCATAGATAAATGCATTTTCTACAAGATTGCTTCTTTTAATTACCTTAATGTATTTTATTTTGACTAAAATACGGTTTTCAAGTAAATGTTGCCGCAACAGTGTGTATGGAATGTGCAACATTGTGTATGGAACGAGACTCATTGTTGCTAAAGCGAAATTGCGGCGAACTGCGGCGAACTGCGGCGAATTCAAATTCGATTCAAAAAACGTCCAATTCCTCATATTCTTTGTTCCGTTGAATAATACTATCTATATGGAAGATTTAGCCGTGCCCATTCAATTTTATACGTTTGATGAATCAATTCTTTACATGATTGGCCTAATCGAAATACTTGCTTTTATTGGATTTCTATATAAAATTGAAAATTAAATTAATAGATGACAAAAATACCATTTAGCACTAAAAAACACCACATGGGAGCGCGGCGAAAACCAGTTTCTACAGTATATACGGTCTCACTTGAAAAATATACCGAGTGGTGCGCGCCAAATCGAACTTTTTTGAATGTGAGCGACAAGGATTTAAATGTTGTCAACCGGGCCTTTATCTACGATAATTCAAGTTCTGTTTTACTTATTCCTCCTTTTTGATATTCCGTCGAATATTACCAGCTATATAGAATTATCCGATAATGCCCCATTCCCCACGTCTTTCAATCGCACCAGACGCCAGTTGCCGTTTTAGTCGAACAGCTGTTCACCCCCACCCCCAGTCCGCGGTCTGTTCTTCTTCTTCCTTTTGCTATGATTTTGCTATGATTTTGCTGTGATTTTGCTGTGAAATTGTCTTCTTCTTCTTTTTCCACGAAATTTTCATGTTTTAAAATCGTGATCCAAATATATCGATATCACACCTTCGATACATCGCACAGCTGATTGCAAATTGGAACACTCATCACTAGACTTTTTGAACAAATTATCTTTATTAAAAAACATATTAATAACTATAAAAGAAACGTTAGTTAGCTGCACCAAACGACAACTTGACTTGGCAACTTCAACCTTTGAAAAACCGCGTGAACAAGATGCAGGACAGAGTTGTTTTATACGGGATTTTGGTCTCGTTTCTAATAACAAATCAAACCACCGACGCCATACAGGCACGCAGCGACAAGGAACAGCCGCAAACGGTGGTCTCCGGCACGGCCGTGCAGTCAGTGGTCCCCGTACAGGCCCAACTTGGCTCTAGCTCCTCATCAGGATCGTCGTCCTCCAGCTCAAACTCAGCATTCCACCCATTGGGGCCGAATGTGATGTGCTCCTTTCTACCCCGTGACTTTCTCGAGTGCAAGGATCCCATAGATCATAGGGACAACATCACAGCCAGGATAGAGAAGGGCTACGGCTGCCTGCGCTTCGGCGGCTCCTCCTACGAAGCTGTGGAGCACACGAAGGTCCAGTGCACCGTCTACTCGGACATCGATTGCTACGGCGACCGCACCTTCTTCCGCGAGGGTGTGCCGTGTGTCCGCTACACGGATCACTATTTCGTCACCACGCTCATCTACAGCATGCTGCTGGGATTCCTTGGCATGGATCGCTTCTGCCTGGGACAGACAGGCACAGCTGTGGGCAAATTGCTGACAATGGGCGGTGTGGGTGTCTGGTGGATCATTGATGTCATTTTGCTGATTACCAATAATCTGAAGCCGGAGGATGGCAGTAATTGGAATCCCTACGTGTAGGGATATCTTAGACTTTAAGTAATTTTAAAATACCAATTAATTCCATTGTTTACAGAAACCAAGAATAGGTATCTGTATCGAGATATGTACATATATATACAAGACACTAATAATATGCATGAATATGTCTAACACATCAATCTAAGAAAATGTATTTATTAATTACGTTTTAAAAACAGCTTAAATTAATGAAGTAGAGTATAAAAAGGTCTATACTCCATAAAAAGGTTGTTCATATGTACCAAACATGTAGTTACCGTGTAGAGACCATGTACACATTTTACATTTTTGTAGATATTCTTTGTTTAAACCTTTTTTGGTGCACAATACAATAAAAGGCGTCTTTAAAATGTATCAGTCTTGTGGGAAAGTCATTTTTCAATCGGATAAAAGCTTGTGGGCAGGGCTGAGGGTTGTAGTTAGCTAGTAAAATTAGACGGAATATAAAAATCGAACCAAATTTCCAATCCTTGACGGATAACAATTAAACCATTGTAAACCAAAAGGGTATGTTAATATTCCACCGAAAAAAAAGAAAATTAATCATTTGTTTCGTCGTGGTTTATTTTTAAGTTCAGAGGAAAGATGGCATGGATCTACAAGATATTACAATCAGTAAGATTTTCCGCCATCTAAATCACGTCAATGAACTGTTTAAATAGAGGGGGCTTAAGTGGACCAAACTCGTTATTTCTGAGGGTCAGGCGGTTTATTTTATCGATAAGTCCGCGTCACAACAACAAAAATTGAACAAAAACAGAACATAAAGACTCAGTTTTCAACTGATTTTCACACAGTTTTCAAGAAGCCCCGCAGGCTGCCGATTCGACCGGCTCTGCCAGTATTATCAGAGTCAATCCCCTAATCCGCGTCGTCATTTTCCAATTTTTTCGTTCTCTTTTGTGTGTGAAATTTTGCTTTGTCAGCGTCATTTTCGCTGGGAATAAAGCAGAAAAATGAATTTTCTGCTTTTGGCCATGACCATGGCGGTGGCTGTCTCCGCCACGGAGGGGCCTTCCATGCTATCCGATGAATTCATCGAGCTGGTGCGCAGCAAGGCATCAACCTGGCAGGTAAGACGCAAAACGCCAGATTTTTCCTTTGTGACGTGTGGCACTAGTAATCGTGTTATTTACCCTACAGGTTGGCCGTAATTTTAAAGAATCCGTGTCGGAGGAGTACATCCGAGGCCTGATGGGCGTCCATCCCGATGCCCACAAGTTTGCTTTGCCCGAGAAGCGTATTGTTCTGGGCGATCTCTATGCGGACGATGGCATTGATATTCCTGAGGAGTTTGATGCCCGAAAGGCCTGGCCAAATTGCCCCACTATTGGGGAGATTCGTGACCAGGGCTCGTGTGGCTCCTGCTGGGCCTTTGGCGCCGTTGAAGCCATGTCGGATCGCGTAAGTCGCGTACAGGCAGACAAGAGACTGCAACGCAGACGGCGGCAGGTGGTGGTGGTTGCTTATCTGATACCCTGACCATTCGCTTATCGATTCGATAGTCGCCCTTTTGTGTTGCGCTCTGCTGCTGCTGTTGCTTCTCGACTCTTTGTTTGCACCCCTTTTACTGAAATCGCTATCTTTTTTTTTTTAAAGGTGTGCATTCATTCCGAAGGAAAAGTGAACTTTCACTTGTCGGCCGATGATTTGGTGTCCTGCTGCCACATCTGCGGCTTTGGTTGCAATGGCGGCTTCCCTGGCGCCGCTTGGAGCTACTGGACGCGCAAGGGTATCGTCAGTGGCGGACCCTATGGCTCCACTCAGGTTTGTGTTCATTTCATCTTGTCCTCTCGTTTGCCCGCTTGAAATGTATTTGTCAATTCTATTAATTGTAGGGCTGCCGGCCGTACGAGATAGCACCGTGTGAACATCACGTGAACGGCACTCGTCCGCCCTGCTCTCATGGCAGTACGCCAAGCTGCCAGCACAAGTGCCAGGCCAGCTACAGCGTGGAGTATGCCAAGGACAAGAACTTCGGCTCCAAGTCGTATTCGGTGCGCAGAAATGTGGCCGAAATTCAGCAGGAGATCATGACCAATGGCCCCGTCGAGGGAGCCTTTACCGTCTACGAAGATCTGATTCTGTACAAGAGCGGCGTGTATCAGCATGAGCATGGCAAGGAGCTGGGCGGCCATGCCATACGCATCCTTGGCTGGGGCGTTTGGGGTGAGTCCAAGGTGCCCTATTGGCTGATTGGCAACTCCTGGAACACCGACTGGGGCGACAACGGTTTCTTCCGTATTCTCCGCGGCCAAGATCATTGCGGCATCGAGAGCTCCATATCGGCTGGTCTGCCCAAACTATAGGCAAATGCTTAATCAATTTCCAGTTTTCCGTTCTATATCAGTTTTATCCCCCAATACCACCAATACCGATTCAATTCAAAGCGAAAATCCGTGCGTATCTCCTCGAAAGGCTGCGCAATGACAATTGTAGTTCAATAATAATAATAAACTACAAAAACCTGATTGATAATAAAGTATTCTAATGTAAATGTATTGTATGATTATGGAGCATTGCCTCCAACCTCCTAATCGGTTTTCATGAGGCTTAAGTGCCAGTGCGGCGCTGGCTTTTTGCATCTAGTATAGCTGTCGGAATCAATCTCTGGAACTTGTTTTGCTTTTCCAGCCACAGAGTCCGCCATTAGTGTCTGAATTGATTAGTCAAACACTGAGCTCTGGGCATGATTTATATACACTGCGGTACATGCTGATTATGCTATCAAATGGGTTCTATTTAAGGTTCATATGTAATGACCAAAAGATGACTGATCAGCTACTAGCAAGCGATCGAGGCTTAGAATAAACGCTAGAGATTGAGACATCGGGATCGACTGTAAGCTATAGAAAGGCGCTAGGGAAAGCAAACGAGAGAGAGAGAGAGAGAGAGACTGAAAGCACACAGAGCCAGTGGGTTTCGCTTGGCGACTTCTCCGAGCCACATGTGCCGGGTTTTCACAATTTGAATGCCTGCATGATTGCAAGATTGCATGATATGCTCGTTATCAAAGTAGGTCAATAATAAAAAAAACATTAGACATTGGAAAGATTCTTTCAGCACTGTAATTTCTTATGAAATATGTATGTATATGCAGGTAGGAATTAAGAAATTCTGTGATCCCTTGAAAGCCATTGAAGAACATGGCACTGTCACCGCAAGAAATTGAAACTGGTAGGAGATACACTCCGGTAGATGCTGTGAAATGGAGCAGGAAATATTGGAACACATTCTATGTAGGGAAGAAATTTCTAAAACACACAAAAGAATATAAAATCCAAGTACACTCAAGCCTTGTAATAACGAGGGGGAACGTTGTGAGTTGCTGCGGACACCGCAACTCTAAGGTTATACCCGATACTAAGTCAGTATGGCTCTCCTCCGGCAGACGCCGCTAATATTTAACGACACGACAAAGAGTGCGTGCGAGAGAGACAGAAAATCAGTCTGAGCGTGACGTCGGGCGCTGCGTAGCCACTGCAAATTGATTTGTTCCTTTTGGCTATAAATATGATCTGATCTGATCCAGATTCAGCAACCTGATAGATATGGTCATTATCTATGATTCTGCGTTTTTAGTTTTCTCAAATCTGCAATATTGTGGATGCAACAGATTTTCGTCCTTTGTGGGGGCGGATGGGGGTGGGGCGAAATTCTGAGATATACGTTTTATAGTGACATCTTAAAGGAGTGTGTGCACCAAATTTGGTTACTCTAGCCTTAATAGTCTCTGAGATTTGTGGTTGCCTCAGATTTTCGTCCTTTGCGGGGGCGGAAGGGGGTGTGGCGAAATTTGGACAGGAAACGGTCAAGGTCCGATATCACAGGAGTGTGGATACCAAATTTGGTTGCTCTGGCTTTTATACGTTCTGAGATCCTTGAACTCATATTTTGCAATTGGCAAAACCGACCATGAAACCTGTGTGTTAGAGTGAGACAGAGCGAGAAAAAGTGAAATTGTTTTCGTGATTCTGGCTGTAATAATTATACGATCTGGTTCAGATTTTGCACTCTAGAAGATATAGTCATCTTCTACGATTCTGCGTTTTTAGTTTTCTCGTATCGTCGAAATTGTGGATGCCACAGATTTTCGCCCTTTATGGGGGCGGAAGTGGGCGGGGCAAAGTTTTGAAATATTTTTGGAGCAGTGACATATTACAGAAGTCTGGATCCAAAACATCGTTGCTCTAGCTCTTATAGTCTTTGAGCATTAGGCGCTGAAGGGGACGGACAGACGGACAGACGGACAGACGGACGGACGGACAGACAGACAGGGCTCAATCGACTCGGCTATTGATGCTGATCAAGAATATATATACTTTATGGGGTCGGAAACGATTCCTTCTGGACGTTACACACATCCACTTTTACCACAAATCTAATATACCCCAATACTCATTTTGAGTATCGGGTATAAAAACAGAGCAGAATGCAGAGAGCAAAGATTTGAAATTTAGATAATCGAAAACACCGAAAGTGTTTTCTTCGGAATCCCAAGTGGTAATGGCAAGGGCAATCATAGATATAGGTTTTAGCTAAATTATGCGTACCAGCAATCGTTTTCATGGCATCACAAGATCATTCCCAAAATATCTTTAAGCTGAGATACAAAGTTTCGTATAAAGAGAAAAACCATCTGCATCTGTTGATCTGATGTGAATAGAGTATGTATAGAGTACATATTACCATATATAATTCAAAAATCATTATTTCTAAATCTAGAGTGGACTTTGTAGGGGCCTATGCCTATGCACTTCCATCAGATCGAGTAATGCAACAAGCTCTGATATCTATAGAGCGCAATGCCTGACGCCCACCGATCCAAAAACTAAAAACAGTTGTGCACTCCCCTGGGGCTCCAAAGGGGGCATTACTCACCCACCCGCCGTATGGTGTCATCAATTTAATGGTACGTTGGGTTTTCTCCCCTCTGGACCTCATCCCCGCATTGGTGTTTATTTTCCAGACACTGATTTAATACCCCAGAGAGCTATAGCCCGACTCTAACAAACATACACAAAATTTCTACAGGCTTGTTTTTAATTTCAGTTTCGCAAAAAGTGGGCTGAAAGGGGAATGTGTTTCCCCGAGTGTCAAATACTCTCGAGAGAAAATTAAACCATAATAGTAAATAAAAAACAGATTATAATCTTCATATACCCATTACTCAAAGAGTACAGTACCAGAGAAGGTAGCGTTCCCCAATCCCATAAAGGAAATATGAATCCACAGTATTTACTCATTGCCCTTTGATGCGAATCCTTCCTTCAGTCGGATTCGAATCACCCCGAATCAGTAATCAAGAACTAAGAGGGCGAAGCAAATTTGTGTATTGCTTTCTCGTTCTCTCTACCAGAAAATCAATTAGAGAGTGAGCGAGAAGAAACATCTAACACAGTGTAAACGAGGTGATTCATTCGCTTCATTCGAAGTCATGAGAAAACTGAATAATCGCTGATTCTCTCAGAGTCCCGGAATACCACCGATTGCAGGACTCTAGTCACATCATATCCGTCTAGATCTCAACGGAATCTCAACGGCTCCCGGTGTGTGCCTCGACAAAAACGTTTCAACTGGTTGGTTTTTTTCACATAGCATGTTTTATATTTATTTTTCTCATTTGCAACATCAAATAGAACATTATTTGTTTTTGTATTCTTGTTTTAATTTATGTCTCATGAACCGCCTTGCTTGTTTTTCGATATTTCGATTTTCTTTGGAAATGTTTAGCTGCTATTGCCGTCTCGCTTGCGTCGCGTGGCCTTTCCGATAGCGTCGCACTCTTCTCTCTTTCATATCTTTCGCTAACAAACAGCTTACATCGAAAAATACATATATTTTACTGCTGTATTTTTTTTTTAATTTTAAATTTGTTCTTTTTTTTGCAATCTTCTTAAAAATGTTTAATAGTTTTGTTTTTGTTGGATATTTGTATATATAAACATATAGTATGTGTGTGTTTATATATACTATATAGTATGTATATATTTTCAACTCTATTCTCTGTATGAATTATGCTCTCGCTTTTCCCGTTTTGCATTGCTTTTGCCTTTTCCTTGTTTATTTTTTTATTTTTGTTTATTTTTTCTTTTGTTTGTAAATAGATTGCATTTTGTTTGCTCCACATTTTTGTTGCCGTTGTTGTTGTTGTCCGTAAAACAATTTTTAATCAATAAATAATTACTCCTTTTTTTTTGTTTTAATATTTGTTGTTTCTGGACTTTTTGCACTTATTAAATATACAATACTCTGCATGCTCGTACCCTGCGGTAGGTATGCATTTATTTAAATATTTTCAACAATTTTTTTTTGTATTTGCATAGCATGCGATTTGAACAGTTTTTAGTTTTTGTTTTTTAATTTTTTTTTTAGGGACATCTATTTTTCCCGATCTTGATTAAGCAATGAATAAACGAGGCAGCAGCACAAATATACCGTTCTCTCTCTTTTGAAATTTGTTTGATATATAATTAAATTAAATGCTTAAAATTAAATGTAATATTTCAGTTGGTGGCTGAAAAATCATTTCAAAAGTGTTCTAGCTCTCGATATTCGCCAGTCTCCCCGATTGGCAACGATTTGGGTTGAAACATTTGAAAATTATAATTGAAAATTTCAAGAATACACACAAGGCCTCTCTTCGTAATCTTGAGGGAAATCCAGTTTATCCGATAGTTTTATTTAGAGACAATTTTTAGAACGGATGCGTTTTTAAATAAATGTTTTACCAGTTTCGATAATTTCTCGATAGTTTTATTCTAGAACGTCGAACCCGTATAATTTGTACACAAAATAGCTGCTGTTTCATTTAGACAGTACTTGAATCATTCTTTTGAGTGTGTGTGTAGTCCCACCTACTATCTGCGGTCTGCGGGAGGAAGGTTGGCTTTTCTTATCGTCTAAATGGTGGGTTTTCTGTTATCTAGAAATATCAATACAATTTTGCTTAACGCTTTACTGGCATTTGGATAAACATCGCCTCACGAGTTCCGCTTACAGCTATTGTGGTGGGGTGGCGGGAGGATCTATCTGAGAGATCTGCTGAGATCCCTTTGGAGATCTATTGGAGCCGAAATGCGAAAGGGTATTTATACTTCTAGCTCTGCTTCTATCTCCTCATAAAATTGACATTCTGAGGCGTGTGGGTATGCATAAAAATATATACATATATACTCTATATATTTCTCGACTCTGTGGTGGCTTCCAAAAAAAATGTCTGGATTCGGAATCTCGAATGAATCCCACACACTCAATACAAAAGTTAGAGAATCTGTTAGTTATACTCGTATGTTGAACACGATATTGTGTTTGTGTGTTTATGTGTGGATGTATTGTAGTATCTGTGAAAAAAATTAGGAAGCTATTCAGGTACAATATGCATATTACGAGTAGTATATTACGGCCTTGGCAGGATGATCAAATAAAGTACAGGAGGAAAAGGAAAGGTCCACCTCTTAAGCGTATTTTTCTAGACAAAGAATATATTAGATTGATTCCCAATCTATTGGATATATGTATATATGTATAGTATAGGCTACCCTCTACGGACAGAGATCATTGTGTAGATGAAAGTTATTCCCTAGGGTAGTAGTATTTATTTCGATACTTTCGAATCAAAGACAAAACAAAAACTGCATAATGGATAAGTAGAGGAACATATGTATGTATATAGCCCAGACAAAAAAGACCTGTTGGATCGAACACACACAGTTACAGTTGTTACCAGTTAGCAAGTTTCCAAAGTTCTTAAATAAATATAGTATTAGGTATTACTCGACTACCCCTATAAATGTATAACTTATCTATCGATTTACACTTCTCAATTTGCTTGGCATTGGATTTGCCGCTTAGAAGGTACACGTATGTATAAGTTCTCTAATCGAAAGTTAAACCAACATTGATTATACAATATACATATATCTACATATGAATATATATTTAGGTATATCTTCTTTTTTTTTTGGGTTCTTTTTGTACCGTTCTGTTTTTCTTCTTTAGAGTTTCCGTATTTCTTGTATTCGGTTTGCAAGGTGAGAGATTTTTAGTTAACTTGTGTGGACAGCTTTTGTATTAGGCTCTGTGTATACATAACTCTGTGTATATAGATAGTACTACAATAGGCTATATATATATATTTCATTGCCCCGTTTCATCATGATCATCAGGTCGCCTTGAGTTTTTGGTTTCTTCTTCAACGAGTCCGGATATCAGATCTCTGATCCTCGGTTCTCGTTTCAAATTCAAATTCGAACTCAACTTTTCTTTGGTATCACAAAATCGGTTTTTTATTTATAACATTTCATATTTCTCAATATCGATTAACTTGTTCAACTTTTGACCAGCAAAAAAGGTGAATTTTTCATTTCAAATAACAAACAACGTTTTTTTGTTTTGTTTTTTTTTTAGCACAGATATTACAATATTTAAACCCTTTTCAATTACGTTTTTGTTTTTTTTTTTGGTAGCGAAAGACTATCACATTTATGGAGATTTCAATGCTTTTCTTTCTAAGGGCCTTTATTGGTGCTGAAGAATGGTTTTGTATCCTTCTTCTGGCACACATATAAATAGAATAGAATTTTCAAGTTGGTATTCGGAAGCCGTTAGTTTATACGTTTTTTGTTGTTGTACGAATTTTGGTTTTAATTAAGAAATGCATTCAATTTGTCATTTGATTTTGCAACGCCTTTCCGCACTCGCTTTAGTCCTTTGGGTCCTGTTTTTGGGGGAGAGAGAGAGTGAGTTTGGTTTCCATTTCTTGCTGTCCTTCAATTTTGTTTGTTTTGTGTTGAACTTTGTTCGCTTTCATATGTTAAATGGTTTTATATATTGAATATATTTATTTTTCATTTATATATATGTATATATATCTCTTTTTAGATATTTATGTGGTATATAGTTTTAAGATCTGTTTTTTTTTTCTTTCTTTAATAGGTATTTACTTTCTTTTGTGTTTCTTTAAGTGGTTTGGAAAACCATCAAACAACAGGAGGAAACAGTCTTTCGTTCCAGGTACCTAGAGGGGAGTAAAATTTCGAAAATTATTTATAAAATATACATTAAAGTAGAGTATCGGTAAATCATTTAGTTGCTAAGCTACAAGACTGTATAATGTTCTTATATTTCGGTTAGCTCTGGGTCTCTGGCTACCATTTCTATAGCTCGTCTATCATATAATATCTTAATTAAAGTATCTATTACGATTGTATTGGCCTTCGACTTGATCGTATAATATATGCTGTATATAGTGGGAGAGATACTCACCGCGTGACACATTTGACTTTTGGTTATATGTTGTACAATATTTTTGTTGTTAATATTTGTTTGCTTTCGTATATACACCCAATATTTGTTGCTATATATCGCGCATAGTATATAAATATATATTCATGTGATATATACACAGAGGTGACATATATGGGAGGCGGCCTCAATGCTGTGATCCTTCTTTCGGTTTTGTTAGTATGTAGAACGGAATGCAGGATTGCGGTGTGCTATAAATCTTTCTGGAGTTTGCAGTTCTTGTGGGGTTTGCTTTGGTTTCTAGTTCTCTCTAGTGGGGGGCTTCTCTCTTGGGTCATATCTAGTGATGGCTCAAATAGGTTTTGCGCTTCAGATAGCCGCTGCGTATGGGCGATGAAAGTCCCGTCTCGTTGCTATTTTTGTTGTTGATGATTGTTTTTTGATGATTTTTTTTTTAATGTTTTTTGTGTTTGTTTTGTTGTGTTGTGTTGTGTATGATGTTTTTGGGTTTTCAAGCAATTTTTGGTTTTGTTTTATTTTGGAAAAAGAGAGACAGAGGTATAGTTGAGTGAAAAGAATTGAGAAATGATTTCTTGATTTCATTTTTTTTTTTTTTTGGTTTTTCTTTACAACACCAATCAATAAAATGCTCAGCTAGAAATGCATTAAATACATAAAAAAAAACAAAGGTGTGTGTGGGGGGTGGGGGGGTGTCTAAATTCTATAAAACTCTAGAACTAACACCAATTATTGCTTTTAGATTTGTTGTTTTTTAAATGTTTGTCCTTCTTTAAACTTCATTTGTTGCTTGTTCATGCAGCCTGCACGAATGTGTGTGTGTGTGTGCGTGTGTGTGTGGTGGAATTGTCAGCGTGTGGGTGGATTTTGTGACGTGGTGGTATTTTATTTTTATTTTATTTTTTTTTTAGTTTTTAAGCGTTTTTAAAGCATTTTCGGTTGATCCGTAAAATCAAAGAACAAACAAAGAAAAGATTACAGAATCGTAATCGTAACATTATAAATCATATATATACATATATAGTTTTTATATATTTTTGTACATGGGCACATATTATATCAAACTAAAGGCATTTTCTATGTATTGCGTTTATTTATTTACATACACACGTATGTATTATTTTTTTTTAAATTTATTTTTTGTTGCATTTTGGCATAGGTTTGTTCGCAAATCAAACGTAATATCAATATAAAATACAAATACAAATAATAATACAATGGATAACTTATAGCATACATAATACAGCATTTGTTCTAGGGGTTTGTGTTTTTGATTCGTTTTAAAAGGAAAAACAAGTGATAAAAACTCTATGGGGGTATACTTAAACGAAAACAGGGAAAAACAGGAGAAAAATACGATAACAATCTAAGGGGGCGACTAGCTCTTTGGGTAGGTGGTTCTGTGGGGGTGCTTTTGGCTCTCTGTCAGCCAGCCGTGAATGCCGTGTCCTCATTCAGTTGGGCCAGACTGGGACTGTTGCTGCTCTGATGTTGATAATGATGGTTGCAGCTTCCCGTATTGTGGTTGTTGCTGTTTGCCAATTGCAGCTCGAAAGCATTGCTGAGGGTGGTGGAGGAGAACGGAGTGGGAGTAGGCAGTGGTTCAGTGGGGGCGGACAGGCAGAGCAGGAAGTGGCAGGTGGCAGGTGGATGGCCGATCGTGTGGGGAAAAGTGCAGCATTAAATTAGTTGGTTGAAAGATTCAATCATTTTGGCAAGAACAATTTACATTTTCGAGCTGAAGCTCAGGCCATACGGATTACAGAGATTACAGATGGGGATTTGGGGTGGCAGGCAAAACATAAATAAATTAAACAGAAAACAGAAAGCCACAAAAAACCGAATTAAGAATACATTAATACGAGTATATACATACGAATGGTGATGCGTGTTTTTCTTTTGTGTCTCTTTGTCTAAACAAACACAAACATTGACATAGGTACAAGATACAAGATACAAGATACGTGACAGTACAGATATACACAACAAGTAGAGGCAGGATTCGTGGGGGTGGGGAGTGGGGAGTGGGGTTGGGTGGCAGGACAGATCACAGATTCACAAATCACACACAAATCGGCTCGAACTGGCACTCGAACCTTACCTTCGGCGTCGCGGATTGGCCGTCTGGCCGGGCAGGTTGAAGCATCCCCTGGGTATGACCATACGGGCATTCCCTTTGGCCGGACGCGAGCCGCCCACAGCCTGAAGGCCGGACAAATGTGCCGCATAGCCATCGCTCAAGACTATGGCGTTCGACTGTAGCTTCTTGCTCACCTAAGCAACGAGAGAGAGAGAGAGGGATACAGTTTAGAGAACCAGAGATCAAAGTTGAAGCACCGACCTTGCCGACAATAAATATCTGATCGGTACGCATGCCCACATTCGTGTACACAGTAATATCCTTGCTGCTGCCGTAGGCGGCCGTAATTGAGATTCCATGATTCTGGACCAGATTGTTGAGATACGCGGTCTTGTGGCCCAACGGATCGGTGGACAGCCCGTCCGCGAATGAGATCAAGCCGTGGGGGAAATTGTGCTGGCTCAGCCAAGAGACGACACGCTGCTGCTGCATATCCGGCCGCCCCGTGATGTAGATGAGCAGATAGCCCAGCTCCTGCCAATGGCGGCAGACATCGACGGCACCGGCACGCACCTTGGGATCGCGGCCCGTCACCGACATGGAGGCGGTGAAGGAGCCATCAATGCTAAAGACAACGCACTCGGTGAGTGGTGGCACCACGGCCATGTAGCAGTCCACCGATGTATGGTCGCCACGGACGACCATCTTTACCGGATAGATCCCATAGCCGAGGGACAGCTGATCGGGTATGTTGTACGAGATGCGTCCGTTTTTGTCCGTCATTTCGGTGGTGAGGAATGTCCACTCGCCCGCCGGCGGATCCTTCATAATATGCACATCGACCTTCTCGCCATGGAGCGTGATCATGTCGAGGGGTCCGTACATGAAGCGGGCATTCAAACGCTGCTCGCGTCCCTCCTGGACAATCACATCGTTGGCCCGATGGTTGGCGGCCACATTTTTCAGCTTCACCGATGTGCGCTTCTTGATCCACTTTTCGCGCGGCTGCCCTGGATGGAAGGAGGCCGCATCCTTGTCGTCGTTGGATCCCACAAACGGTATGCCCTCGAATTTGCCAATCTGTCGCAGTATAAACGCAATCACATCGGGGCTCTCCCAGTAGCTGGCATGGAACAGATGCGGCAATGCATGGGCGGGGAAATTGCTCAGCCCCTCGGGACAGTACAGGGCATAGTCCAGGCGCTTGGTGCCCCACCATTTGTTTTGAACTAAAGGAAAAGAAAGACACCAAACCATTAGGATCTGCTCCACTCTCGTGGCCGTTTTGAGCCGTCTTACGGGCATGAATTGTACTGAGAGAGACATTCTCAATTAGTCCCGAAATCGTGCTCTGCATGGAGGCATCCGAGAGGCGACGTCCGGCCAGTATGTTGTTGCCATCGTTAAAGTGCTGCGGATGAGATTGAATAACCTCCACTGCGAATGCATAGCGGAGAAAGAGAGAGATGTACATGCCCTTCATGAGCGTGGATACGAAAATACTCACATAAATGCAATGGCTGGCCACTTCCCAGTGGATATTTGGCATAACGTGGAACATTCACCGGCGACAGTATGGAGAAGCGTGCACTAAGCAGCGGCTCCAGCCGCGAGGCAATCGGATCGGTTGGATGGAACAAATTGTACACTTGATGGCAGTTCGGTCGCACCAGTGCCGTCTTGGCATCGTGCAACTTGCGGGCGGCCAAGACAACGGACAGCGGCGAGCCGAACATGAAAAAGTCACTGACCTCGAAGTCAAGCTTGACGGCCCGCGAGTCACTCGACGAACTGGAGCGACGACGACGCGGCGATGGGGCCACCAGCAGACGTTTGGCATCCAGATCGGCCTCAATGAAGCGCTCATCGTCGTCCAGTCGCGAGTGTCGGCTGTTCATCGGCTGGGCATTGCTGCCGCTGCTGGCGGCAACAGCATCGCCGCCAGAGTTCGAGGCCCCAGATCCAGCGGTGCCCGGCTGACTGCCGTTGGACCGGCACAAAGCCTCGTATGCCAGCAGAGAGCCCATGGAGTCGCCGAGCATTACAATCTGCCCGGAGAAGCCATGTCCCTCTTCCGATTTCAAAAACTCATGGTACACAATATTGGCCGCTGCCACCGTCTTGTTGACGGTCTCGTGGAACTCGGGTGAGGCCACAGCCAGCAGGGGTATGGCTCCTATGGGTACATCGGCTATGTTCGGTATATCCGCCGCCGAGGGCGAGGCATCGAACGAGTATGGACTGAGGCTGGAGAGTATCCCCAAAGCATCGGTGCATATCGACGGACAGGGCACCATTTTGATCGTCACATGAGTCAGCAAGCTGGGATAATGCTGCCGCATGACGGCCTCGAACGAGCCACGGAATGTGGTGACATCTGACTTCTTGGCCGTTAGCTCACTGGCGGCGTCCAGCACACTGCCGGCGTGAACGACCAACATCAGTATGGTGGTCGGACAAGATGGGGTGCTCGGCGATCCTGGCGGCGACGAATCATGGCTGCGGTCCACACTGGCCGAGGAGCGCAGCTGTCGCTTGTTGCCCCGCTCCGAGGCGACGCGCATTAGAAAGTCCTGATTGAAAATGCTATCCTCCTGCTTGCCGCCGGCGTGGCCGCGACCGCTCGCCACAGAGCCACCGCTGGAGGGGCCCCCATGGGGCGGTGGACTGTCGTCGCCCTCACCCAGCAGCTCCAGGGAGCTCCACTTGGCCAGAGAGTTCGTCTCATTGGTGTCTACAAAGAGGGGGCATAAATGGTTATTGCTCAATGAACGAAATGTCAGACCCACCTAAACAATCAAAGAACTCCTCATCAGAATTCGACTTGGAGTCCACTTCCAGTCGTTCCATGCGCCAGTTAGCCACCTAAGGATCATCCGTACAGCATTAATTACTTATGTACAATTTCCAAGTAAATATTTTCAACGTTTGCTCTACTTCTTTTTGTTGCAACCTAAGCGTATAACCAAAAAGAGTCGAGAAGCGGCAGCAGCAGGTCTACTATTTGGCTCTATCTATATTCTCTCTACGAAAACGAAACTCTACGAAAGCCTACTCCTGCGACCAAGGCTAAAGCAGCTGCCTTGCAGCAGCATCGGGGTGAACGTGGCATTGCCAGAGTCTTGTGAGGAGCTCTCACAAGCCGGGGTCTATCGGCGCCAATCTAGGGTTCGTCCAGCTCAGTGGCCAGCTCAGCCATCCACAAAGAAGATCATGCACATGTCATGTATTTTGTTTTTTCAATCGTGCGCCCGAGTCACAATCCCAGTCTCGAGTGGAGCATTTATTTTACTTTTCGCTTGTGCATCTGGAGACCGAGCATCATGCACACGACATGTATTTTTAAAGAAGTATTTGCTTTTTATCGCTTGTCGAAGAATAAACCTTGTTTCAAGACCGAACTCGCTTCGAGCTTTATTTCCAAACACCTTTTTTCATCCTCTGAACATTTGAAAAAGGTTCCAGCTCTTGGCACGATCTCTTTGCACGGCTGAGTCCGATTTCTTGACTGTTTTTTGTGGTGTCTCAACATCATATCATAAACTACCAACCAGCCTAGACTTTAGTGAGGTGCCAGGCAGCTGCTTTTGGCGTTTGACGCATGCGTAAAAGATTATTATAGCACTACAAGAGAGCAGGGAAGAAACTTAGGTAACATTGGTGGATAATTTTTTGGGGCGCGATTTTGACTAGCAATTGAAGATTGGCCAGGGGATTGAGGGAGGGAGGTTATATATTTTTTTTTTGGCGTCTAACAACGTCACTTACATGTCTGCGAGGCGCTGTCTTGGCATGCGGCTTTTTTGACTATCGTTTTTTGATATTTTGTGGTGGGATTTGTATTGTTGTTGTGGTGATTTTTGTGTTGTTCGAGAGAGTGTGTTGTTGTAGTAGTTTGATGTTGTTGTTGTTGTTGTTGTCGGTTGTCGGAACGTTGGTTGGAGGGAAATTGTAGAGAATTATTTGCAGCACATTTAAAGGACACAAGCGACACAGAAACAGACACGCTAGAGAGAGAGGAAACAAGCACACACACACAGGCACAACACAGAGAGACACAACAAAACAGGCAACAGATACGAAAGAACACCAGATGGAAACTGAACGTTCGATTCTAATTGAAAATGTTAGTAAAGTTCTCATCAATTTTCATAAATTTGTTGTTGATTTGGTTACAACGAAAATACTAGTTTAAGAAACGTTTAAATATGCATTTGTTGTTGCTTGAAATTTAATTGAAAATATATATATTCCGAGAAGTTGAAGCAGCAGTTTCCATCGGTATAAACGGAATCATAAAATCAACACCAAGAGACAGCAAACGGCAAGTGGAATCCAAAATTGGGGGATTCGAGCGTCGTCGTCTCTCACCTGAAGATCAAAGCTGTGCGCCGAGCCCACGGGCGAGTGCAGGGCACCTTTCGAGCCAAATTTCCCCTTGTTGGCCATCTGTATGCTCTGCGATCGGGAGCGATCTTTTGCGGTGGCGCTGCTCTGTGTGCTGCCAACCAGATCCACACCAGCGCCAATGGCATCGTTCTCATCCTCATCGTCGTCTTCGTCCTCGGCCTCCTCCTCGTCGGAGCTGGCCTCGGCACTGGGCGGCTGTTGGGTGACAATTGGCGGTATGGCCGGCGCCGATTTCTTTCGTTCGCTGCCACCCGTAGAGGCGGCAGCCGTGGCCGTCGTGCTAGTGTACGCCTCGGAGGTGCTATCTGTAAAAGACAAAGACCGACAGGCACAGAGGGTGTGAGTGAAAGGACAGGGAGGGATAGCAAGAGACTAACCATCGCTACACTCTTCACCGCTGCCCATTTTCTTGGCTAGTGCCAGCTGCGTCTGACGCTCCAGCTCGCGTATATCCTCGATGGTAAGGCCATACCATTCATCCTGCCATGCCCAGGCCTGGCGATGCGCCCGCAGCATCATTTTGCGCAATGCCACATCGTGTATGAACTTCTCCAGCTTCGTTTGCATGCCCCAATATCGGAATTCAACGCGACAAATCTTATAGGCCGTCATCAGGGACATGTTCCGCGGCGTTGGCTGCTTTTTGCCCTTGACCTCGCGCCAATACTCCTCCAGCCAGTCATCGGCTAACGGGCCACGTCCCGTCTTTTCCGACATAAATTGTTTGGGGTCCTCTTCCTTCACGTAATCGCCGCCCCATAGCTGATCCTTGACAATATCGATTACATCTGCAAAAAAAAATTTTTTTATATAGATTTTGGGGGGTGGATTGCACTGCTTCGACTGACCGACAATACGATTGCGTAGATCGCTGCCCGACAGCTGAAAGACATTCTCCTGATAGCCATTGTCTGGGAAATAGTACGTCTCAATGTCCAGCGAGAACTTCTCCACAAAGGGGCAGGTGTAGCGTGTCCTTGTATACGGATATGCGTTCCATGCCTCCTCCTCAACGGTCAGAGCACTTTTCGGCAAGAGACCTTGGAAGGAAATCAAATTACATTACATTTAGGGAGTACGACGACAAGGTCGCTAGGCCTTACTCTTGATCCAGCCCGGCAAATGATTGCCCACATGGTATATCTTTTTCGTATATTGACCATTGCCGCCGGGACCATCCTTATAGGGTTCATTGATGATGATCTCAACGCCGCTGCCCTCGCCATGGCTCTCCTCGCGACTCTTTTTCTGTTTTGAATGCGTGTGTGGGAGGAACAGATGAAATATTCATTAGTATAAGCTTTTCCCTCAAAATGCGCCTATTTTTATTCCAGTTTTCGTTTATTCCGTGTCATGGAACATTGCAAATATGCCATGAAATGCATTTCCCAATGCAAATGTACAACCATGGAAAATAAACAAAAGTCTAAAAATGTTTGCACATTTTTTTCCAAGTGAAAGAAAACTGATTATTTCTTGTGCTAATAGAATCTATCTGAATTCCTCCTCTTCTGAATTCCTCATCTAAAGGAACTTACAACTCTTAAAACTTTTTCGTTTCGTTTTATAGATCTGTTTGGTGACATTTTGTCAATCGATGCGAATGTCCATCGAATTCAAAATTACGATTCATTTCGAATGAAACAAACAAGGGATTCCCCATGTTGCACGATAAATAAAACATCGTTTGTCTAAAATCATGCAAATATTTGGGCTTTAGTCTTATAATACTCAAGCCTACCTCCATATTGTAGGAAAAAAATACAATCAATATATGTAATACGATATCTAAGAGGAATATTGTGATGCAGCGAATTATTATCTAGTGTAGAATCTAAGGCTCACATTCCTTAAGCATGAGCAATCAACAAAGAAGATCATGCACATGTCATGTATTTTGTTTTTGCATTCGTTGGACCGAGTCACAATCCCAGTCTCGAGTGGAACATTTATTTTACTTTTCGCTTGTGCGTCTCGACCCCGAGCTTCATGCACACGACATGTATTATTATTATTATTATCTAGTGTGGACTGTTCCCAGCTAAAAGCTCATTAATCAGTCCAATTTGTGTGTATATGCACTTATGTGGTATGTTTATCTATTGGGAAGGTCATCGCTATACAAATTTTCATTTGATTTACTTGAAAAGTGTCGTAGAATTGCTTGCTACTTTGTGGGCATTGGCCTCTCACTGTTTTGGCAAGCCATTCCTTTCATGGTCCTTTCATACCATCCCTCCTTCCGGCCAGGCACTTGATTCCACTTACCGCTATCATGTACAGCTGGGCAATCCGATACTCCTCGACGGTGAGGGGCAGCGGTATACGGTACTCCTTAATCAACATAGTGCTGTCTGTCTGTGTGTGCCTCTTCTTTTTTTAGTTCTTTAAATGGTTGATGGATCGGATCCCTCCACCTGGTTATCGTTCCCGTTCTTTACAGTTGCCTATTGTCTTTGGTATCACGTTCGCTCGCTGGCTCGCTCACTCTCTCTCTCTCTCTCTCTCTCTCTTCACTCTCTTCTTTCTGTTCGCTCTGGCTTAGGCAATCATCGATTGTAGCGGTACATGACTGGAGGCGACGCTGGCGCCAGGTCGCAGTGCCAGAAGTGAGTACATACGTCTATGACCTGCAAACAAAGGTGGAAGAAGAATGGAACGAATGAGAATGAGTACGGCAAGGCTAGTCAGGGGGGGCCTGGGGTCTGGGCTGGTTGGCCATTGTTGCTATGGCTTCTTCTCCTATCTGGATACCCGCATACGGTTTGAAAATGTAAAGTGCCATTCAATTTATCGATTTGAAGATGGAATGGACGGTGACACGGATGGGCGGATGGGGGAAGGACAGGCAGGCACTCCAGATAATCGGATATGCTCTGGGGAATTGGCATGTGGGTAGTAGAGGGGAGGGGTGACTGTCAATTAAAAAGCAACGACAACGACAACGACAGTAGTGTGCGTGTGTGTGTGTGTGTCCGATAAGGTCACCAACGACCTACCGTCTCGCATTTCTCTAAAGCAACAACAAAGGAGCAACAAATTTAGTTTATCATGCAGAATTGTTGTTGTTGTCACCTTGAACCATTTTCTTTCTCTCTTTTTTTTTTTGTTTTTGCTAATTGGATTTATTGTTGACTGCTGACAAAGAGCAATACCAATATATCGGTAAATGTACATGTGCCGTGTGTGGTGGTCCCCCTCTGACGCATTCCGAATCGCATTTTGACCTATCGGAAAGTGACAGAAGGTGCGGTTTGCCTGTGTCTGTGTGTGTGAATGGGAGTGGGAGTGTGAAGAGTGCAAACATGTGCTACAGTTTTAGTGCCTTTGTAGTAGGCAGAACAAACATATGGCAATTATCTAAATATTAATTTTGCTTACGGGACACTAACCCCCGCCGCACCCCACCCCCCACGCGTGGTCGCCGTTTAAATCTTATCTTTCAATTAGCTTTGCCTGCTGCGCATTGAAATGGCACTTGCCTACTAATTGGAGGATTAGAAAATTGATGAAAATGACATTCTATTGCCCGTCGCCGCCACAAGTGGTGCATCATCTGGATGGCTGAGAGGGAGAGAGAGCTGCCGCAGCTTTCAATCAATAATTATTGGGAGCACACAGATGAGGAAGGGGGCTGGGACGGGAAAGGTGCAGTGTGGAGGGGTTTTGGGTGCGAGGTACATGTCATGGCTGTTACATGGGCAGACAACCATCCCATCACACACACACACACACACTCTTATGCACATGTACATACTCGTGTAAGCTCCAGTCGAAGCATAATTACATCTTGTCAGAGACACCATGGGCCAAAACCTCAGACTCTGGTTAGATATAAAACAATATACGGCCAAATTGTGATAAGAAAGGTATGTAAAATCATGATGAGATTGGACTTTCAAATGATAAGCTTTATGGATGCCATTTCCAAGACGTCAGAAATTTATGATATAGAATAATTATAAATGCAAGCCCCGACACACACACACACACACACACATACAGAAAAATAAATAACTTATACATTTTCTCCGCCCTGACAGTTATTAAACCGTTTAGCGTACCGATCGTAAAGTGTGCAATTTAAACCATGACTGGCCACCACTGTGCACGTATACACATGCAAACACGTTCGCCTATAAAGAGACCGTGCAAAGTGCACATAGCTGTCAATGTGTGTGGTGCTTGTGTGTTGTTTATGATTGTATTTTGTCATTTTACATTTTATGATGTGACCAAAGGGTACAATGCCAAAACCGTAATGTGCGGTGCGGTGCGGTGCGGGCGGAGGTAACGATGTGTTCGGCATGGTTGCTTTTATTAAGTCCGGCGGCGACGGTGGCAGCGGCTGCAATTGCAGCAGACAGCTAGCTGCCTTCCAAAAGGAAAAGAAAGAAATCAATTTGCACAATTTCAAAGACGGCTGAGCAACAACAATGCCAAACAGCTGCTGCTTTTGCTGCTTTTCTTTAATGGATAAATTGCCATGGTAATTGGCAACAAAAAATGCCTCAAGCAAGAGCGAGAGAGAAAGAGATGTGGAGAGCGCAAAAACGGTAATAAACGCTGGCAAAGGCGACGTCAACGTCGACGCGCATTCAAGCAGAGATAATTAAATGCGAGAGATGAAAGCCCGCTGCTGCTGCCCACACCCGGAAGTGCGAGGGGGAAAGTGATAGTTGCGAGTAACAGCAGTTTTATAGTGGTGGCGAGAGAATCCAAGTGCATAGGGCGAATAGTGCAAAGGTCTGAACTAAACTAAACTAGCTTGAGGCCAAAGGTTAAACACAATTGAAGCCGTTACATCTCATCAATTTAGCCAGGTTACAGCGTTGACCTACATATGCTATATTTGACTTGAAAGAAGCCGAACCAGCAGCCCTGAAAGGGGCACACACATACACACACACACACACACACAAGTGCACAAAGGTCGCTAGTTCACTCTCTCTTGGTGTCGCTGTTGCTTTTTCTCTCTCTCTGCCTCTCTGAGCACACCTGTGGCACGCTTTATGTTTATTAATAATTTATAAATATAACAAGGCAGCCAACAACGGAAAACAACAGAATAAGAAGCAACAAGCCAAAGACGCTGCAAGCACATCCATTGTCTGCGTGTACGTGTGTATGTGAGTGTCTGTGCCTCTGCCTAGGGCTAAGCTTTTTAAAGCCCTAGATATGGCCAGACAAACAGTTACAGCAGGACCGAGATCGTACTCAAAAATCACTTGCAAGAGCATATCAATGTTACACCAGGGGCCACCAACAATAAAAAAGGGAATGGAAAAAAATTGTACGTTTCCAGCTCAAAGGAATGGAAATTCTTATCAGCCACAAGCTGCAGCTTTTTTGGGGGATGGCGGGGACCTTGAGACCTGGGCCAACAACACAGCTTACGCATTTACGCACTGCTTACACTCACTCACGCTCGTGTACACACACACACACACACACACACATACACAAAGTACACACACTCGTAGATACAGGAACAGCAGCTCGCTTCGCTACACACACAAATACACGGAAGGGGGTGGGGGACTGATGTTATCCTTAACTAATTTTTGCTCAATTCAACAATTTCCACAAAAAAAAACACAATAAACAATGCTGGAAACTCACATTTTTTTATCATTCACAGAGAGGCAGCTGCACAGCAACAAAAACAAACAAATACAACCAATAAAAAAATACAACACAAAGTGAATAGAGCAAATATTTAGCTGGCTGCCTCGATTTTCTATTAAACACAAAAGTTTATCTATGAATTTTAGCTGAACACTTTTCCAGACCACCACAGTTGAAAAATGTTTTTTGTGCTGTCTTTTCTTGTTAGCCTGCTGCTGCTTGCCTTCTTTTTTGCAATCAAAAACTAACACACAGAAAAAAGAATCGGAGCTTGCGCTGGGTACCCGTCGCGTTCGGTTCGGTGAAGGGGATGTTGATATATTGATATATCGATAAATAGATATATATTTTATTTGGTGTTGATAATATTAGGTGATATTGGCTATCAATATGGATATTCTTGTGGGATATATCAACGCAACTGCTTTGCTGAAGGTTAAAAGCGCCAACCGACTGCTTTCTGTTGTTTCGGGGGCCGCGGCCGAGAGCACACTGGTGGTACGAAAACGAAAACGAGAACGAAGCAGCAAGCAGCGCAGCCAGCCAGCTGAAAAGCAGTGGAGAGGCACAGCTCGGCACGCATGGGGCTATTCCAAGAAACGTTTGCCTATGTGAAGTAAATTCAATGTATTCTAATCAGTATATATAAGAAAAGAACGCATTTATTGAAACGAAAGCTGAATTTCAAATGCTGTCTAAGAAGACTAAGAGGACTGAAATCGTGCTATCGATATAGGTATGAAAATATGCTACTTCGTTGTTACATGTCTTAATTTGTTGTCACCTTAAGTAATCGAAAGAAAGCTAACGGAACCCAGAACACCCTAGTTGGCAAGTTGGTCGGTTGTGCGCATCAAAAGCGCGCGAGAAAGCGGAATAGAAAATGGCTCATTCTCCTCTCTTCTCACACGCAGCCGGGTGACGAGACCGAGACGCTGTGTCCGTCGTAGGTGACGCAGTTGCCTCCAAGGGGTTGTAAATTGGATTTATGCATATCGGCCAATGAATAAAATATATATAATTTCCTTAAGAAATTGTAATGAACCTGCCACAAAATGCCCAGTGTGCGGGGGAGTAGGTGTCCTTGTAACCGCAATCACTCTCTCCCTTAAAAAGGCTGGAAGGAGAGGAGGCTAGATGGCGCTGCTGCAAGCTGCTCCTCAGGCAAGGCATGCTAATACCAAGGTATGGCAGTCTGGCTCTCTGAGTAGCATAATGCGTATGACAGACTTTCCTACTCCTCTAGCCATAAAGGCGCTTTCTTGCACTACCTTACCTGGCTATTGGTATACCTTGTTTTCAGGCAGGTACATAGATTGACAGACGTTCGTTGACAAAGATGGAGAGCGGAAGGCTGCAAACCCCGTTAGGCTAGCTGCACTGACGTAAAGGGCCTCCAGGTGTATTCTACGGGTGAACCGAACCGATGATAAGCTGCCTCATCCACCACTCGTATCAAAATGTTTAGTAACGAGTTCTCTCTGTCAAAACCAAAGCAAACATGTCACGACATGCACAGCATTCCGCTTACGTTTTCAGCGAACGAACGGCCAAAATCAACAAATAAGCAAACAGACACGCCAGATGCTCTTCTCTGTTCTGTTCTGCTCTTCCCTCTTCTGCCACCTCCATCTGTCTGTCACTCTCTTTTTGTAGTACGCTTGTTGTTGTTGTTTTCGCCCATTCCTATGCATGTGGATAAAGTTCAACTTTGACATTTACAAAAAACGGCAAGTGCACAAGGCGCATGCTCCAAAAGCGAAAGCAACAATAATTGAGTTTTGAAATCATTTAGTGCAAAATAATGCAATATTTCCGCACATTGCACCAAGCAGTGCAGTGCGCGCTCAAGCAGCCGCGTCGCGTCGCCGCCGCCTGACACTAGTTGCCGTTGCCTCTCTCTTAAAAAACACTTGATATTTCCGCAAGGCCCCCTCTACGGCTTTACTCCTTTAATGTGCTCTGCGTTCGTTTAGAGGCAGTATCATAACGGTATTTAAAGCCATATCATTTTGAACAGATGACCTTACCTCTGTTGCAGCTTTAAGACTTCCTTGCTCTCGGGAACATTGATGCTCGATTTGAGACGCACAAGCAAATACTGCATATGTCCGTAGGTATGTTCATTGCGTGTGCATGTCGCGTTGATATCCGTTATCCGTTGCTAATTTTCATTTTCTGAAATTTCAAATTATTTAAAAACTACACATTTTGATAAATTGATAGAAAATGCGACTTCTTTTTTAGAAAATTTGCAGGTTTTATTTTTGTGGGATTTTTAAGGGTGTTTTTTTTTTAGTAAAGTTAAATTTTCTTCAGACCTGTTTTTTTTTTGTGTATGCCTAACATGAGCATATCCAAAGGGTCGGGGATGGGGGATCCTAGTTCTGGTAATGGTGGACACCGTGGTAGGAGGCCTGCTTTTGGGCTGGGGTGCGCTGGCCGAAGGGGCTCTTCTCGTTGACCTCGAGAATGTAGTCGCCTTGGAGATCAAAGTCGGTCTGGAGACCCATGTAGGCGCGCTTGCCGAAGCCGTCCTTCTCCTTGTACTGCTCCAGCGAGTTAGCCGGGACAGCTGGGAAGTTGCGCTCGTTGCCTGGACGCACAGACTCGGCAAAGTAGCGGGTGGCACGGGCCACGGCCTCGATCACGTTCTTGGCACCGGGAACACCAGCAGACGGTCCATTGGGATAGAAGTCAACATCGCCGCAACGGAAGAAGGTACCCATGCCATAGGCAGAGGTATGGATGGCATCAACAAAATCAGCATCGCCGCGGGACAGACCAACCAAGGCGTTGCGACGCTTGGACAGCAGCTTTGCGGGGTCCAGACCGGTGATGCGGCGGAGCTTGTGTCCGGTTTGGGCAGTGAATTCATTACCGGCAGCACCAGCCACATGGGCGGCAATACCCTGACCAATCAAGTGGATAATCTCCTGGGGCACACCCTTGTTGGTCAGCTGAATCAGAGTCTGGCCGATCATGGCACCAGTTCCGGCCACATCGAGCATGGCATAGCGCTTGAAGTTGGTCAAAGTGGAGCCGAGATCAATGATCTACAAAAGGGTGGAACATAATGGGGCATATAAGAATCATGTGTATCAAGGGATGGGGTGCTTCACTCACGATCAAGTCGCCGCTGGCTGTCTTGGCCGATTTCCATTGATCTGCCTGCTCCTCGCTGGATGTGGATGTGTAGTCGTAGTCCTTGTTCGTCTGCTGCTGATATCCCTGCTGCTGCTCCTGGGCGTTCTTCTGCTGCTGCTGGAGATTGTAGCGCTGAATGTAGGCCTGGACCAGCTTGCGCATGGCCTTCTTGGCGGTCTGGCTGGTCTGGGGCAGGCCAGTCAAAACGATGGTAACCTCATCCTCACCGAAACCGGTCTGAGCCTGGGCCTTCTCCACATAGTTGTTCAGCTTGGCCTCGACACGGTCGCCATTGGACTTGATAATCCAAACGGGCACATTGCTGGGGCTGGGCACAAAGCTGGGCGTCAGATCGTGCTTGATGTGGCTGACATGATCTAAGGAAGGTATGGGTCTAGTTAGCTCTGAAAGTCCTTCAGCACCTCCTCAATTGACTCACAGATCTTCTCAATCAAGTTGGCTCCCTTGTGCAGTGGCTCGTTCTCCAGACGCTCCCAGGTAATGTCGTTCAGCGAGGGCACACTCTCCAGCTCGGAGGCACTCAGCCACTTGGTGGGCTTCAGCTCGTGCATGCCCGTGGAGGAGGAGGCATCCTTGTTGGCATAGGCCACTGCCGTTAGGCAGGCCAGCAGCAGGCACAGTCTCAGGCTCATGATTGGAATTTCGAATCGGTCTTGTCCAAACGTTGATCGACGTTTGATGGCTGTTTCAGCGGTGCTCAGGGTTTTTATAGAGGGCCGTGCCTCCTATACGTTCCGGATTTGTGCTGACCAGAGGAAGTCGACGTCTGGCTCTGGTTCTGTGCCCTTTCTGCTGATCTGGCTGTATGTGACTGTGGAAACTGCTACATTTGCTGAAAATACTATTCGATTTTGCATGGGTTTTGTCGTTGGGCAACCGGATCTGTTATCAGAGAGAGAGAGAGAGGGGTTCTTGAACCTCGTTTAACCTGAGCTGATTGGCATACACTTAGCTAGGCACATCTCGCTCGCAAGAACGCAACAAACTTGCAGCGATTGCGTCCCTCGTACAGAGGCAGGTGTTGAATGACATCCGATGGGGATTGTGCAATCATTAATATGCCTATAGATGCACAAAATAAATCTTCATCACAATTCACAGATCTGTACGTAGTGCTCCTCCTCTCTGCCCAGCTTGGGCACTCTTCCACCGAAACTCTCTCCTCTCCTAGTAGCTTCAGCTAGGCCCTATAGGCCCTACGCAGCCATTAACCTATGGTTCCCATATCCATACTGCAATATTTTTATGAAAGCCCGAAGGCATGCTGGATTGGTCTGGCAATATACAATCGAGTATAAAGTACTGTCGAATACACAACGACACAAAAATAAGAAAGATTTAATTTCTTGCTTTACAAAAAAAAAGAAGGTAAAAAACCCGGGTTTATTCTAATAAATCGTTAGCCTGAATAATCCTTTAGTTAACACGTTTATTGATATTGGTATAGCCAATGCCCACACAGGCCATGAGCACCTTTTGGGCACCACGCACATCGTCGCCCTCATCCTCATCTTCGGCTTCCGGATTCTCCAGTTTGAAGGTAATCGAAAAGAAGTCGCGCAGATGTTGTAGGAAGTGAACCGTGTAGGTGGATAAAGCACCTGGAAAATGATTACCATAGAATTGGTATTTTAAGAGGACTCAGAGGACTCCTACCTGTAAGGAACTTGGAGACATGCTTTTGCCCCAGGGCCATGTAGAGAGCCGCCAGCCATTGGTAGGCGGAGTCACAGCAGCCGCCGCGATAGATTTCATCGAGCAGACGCATGGCCACCTCCTGGCCCAGATCCTCAGGCACTGCAGGGGTGTCCTAAAGTAGATGCAGAGATATTTTAAGAGGAGATGGCTATTAGGGGGGGTGATTACTACTTACGGACTCTTCGCGGGTATTGGAACTACAATCGGCGGCAAAGCAAACTCCCTCAGTGGTCTCGGCCAGCAGACAAATGCCAAATCCTGGGGAATTGCCCGACATTTTGCCACGATTTTGATCGGTATAGATGTAGACATCGGGCAGGAATTTCAGCATACATCCCTTGGCCGCCTCCACAGTGCGATTGGCCATCGCGGGGGACACTTTGCACGCATATACCGTGCCGCGTATGCGCTTGATCATGCCCTGCGCCTGGCACTGGATGGCGCGCAGACTCTTGCGCACGGGGCAACGGAATTCAATCTCACCGCCACCCAATGGAGCCACACCGCGCTTCACCACACGCAGATCGAGCCCCTCATCCACCAGGAGGAAACGTTTCAGCAAGGACAGTGCGGCCCCCTTGATGTGATCCACCGAGGGTGAGTCCTTGCTGTTGGTCACACCGCGCAGGGTGGCGTTTAGTGGATTCTTGCAGAACGGTCCCAGGGCGATCAAGGCGTCCAAATAGTAGCCAATGCCACGCTGAACGCAGCAATCGTGATGGATTTGGCCGCCATGTAGGAGGCCGGGCGTGAACATGACACTGGTGCCGGCCGGATTCAGTTCGATTCGTGTGCCATTTGTAATTTTGTCCAGTAAACGGATCAGATTGATCTCGTATTCCCTTAGACCGGGGGCGGCTTCGTCTTCGGAACGGATTTGTGTGATCTTCAGTGGCTTGCCAGAGAGGCAAGCGAGGATGAGGCGCTGCTTAAGGAAGTTACTGCCACGGTAAATGAGGCAATTGCCTTCCTGGGCAACTGGCGGCATGATTTTGCCTTCTATTTAACACAATTTATTTAAAAAGTTTCAGCACAGCCCTGTGCACGTGCGTCCAAAACAGGTAAACAACAATCGATATGGTAATCGATATAGTATCGATGTTTTGCTGGCCATCTGGCAGCACTGTCTTAAAATTGTCATAGCGCGTTTTTTTTAACTACGAGTATCTTCAAAGCTTAACAAGAATTTGGAAACAGTATTATTTACGCGGTTTACCTCAAGTTGTTGTTCGTTCAATCATCATGAAACTTTTACGGTATTTTGTACACTTTTCGGTATATTTTGACGTCCAAATTTAGATGGAGGTATATTTTTAAAATGAGACCGTATACTTTGGTCTATTCCTGAGGGTCGGACCGTGTTCATTGGCTCCAAAACTTCAATTTTTTGGCTGAGCAAGCGTCCAACTGCCCGTCGTATCAAGTAAAAAAGACGTAAAAGCTTCTCTTGAAAATGTCGCAAAATTTGTCCCTGAAAGTGGCACCGTCCAGCAAAGATGATTACCTAGAATGTCCGTTTGATGAAGGGCATGTCATCATGCGCAGTCGGATGACCGTACACTTGGTCCGCTGCGCGCCTAATCATCACGGGTCCAGGAAGGTGCGTTGTCCGTTCAACAATACCCATATTTACACCATAAGCAAAATGAAGGTAGGTGTTTGGAATTTATCACTCCAGTAAACAATATATAATAAATCGGTTGTGTTTTTATTCATATTAGATTCACGTTGGCACTTGCCCAGAACGCGCTGGATTCGAGAAATTTATGAATCAGAATGAAATAGCAGAACCTGACGAGCTGCCTTACGAAAAAAAGGAGGAAATCGAGTGCAGTGAGGACTGGGACAAAGAGCCGGAGGTGGGCACGTACAATCCCAAGCTCTATTGCGACAAAAAATTTCTGATTCGCAATCCCCAGGGCAATCCGCCAGCAGTCAGACGTGAAATTCGTGAATCGGAACGTAAGCGTTTCCAGCAGCACCACAAATTCTGAATGACTAAGCGGCGGCCATTTTATCCAATCTCAGGGAGAACAATTTTCTTCATAATAAAAAAACCTTATAATAAGTATCAGCACAAGTTTTCAAATTTGTGGCCTGGACACTGTTCACTTTATGGTGTACCATTAATCTTCCATAATTAAATACATTATTATGTAGCTAAAATGTTACAAAAGAAGAAATAGCATTATTGGAGAATAAACTCACGGACATGCATACTAGTACACATGTTTGTATGTACCTATTTAAGTAACAGAAAACCCATTGCCTTGTCAGCTCATTTTCCTGTTTTCACGAAGACGCAGCTTTTTGATCTCTTCCCTTTACATCATATTCGTTTCGTTTCCCCTTTTGAAAATTTACCGCAATATGGCGTGGCGAGGTTTTTTTAACTAAGTGGCAACGCTTGACTAAAATGTGGCGAGCATGAACGATCATGATTTATTTAAATCAATTTTAAATAGGTACAAATGTGAAATATGCTTTCATTTGTCAATTCACTTATTTATTTGGACAATACAATTTACAAAAGAGAAAAGAAACATTTTATTTAAATTTGTGCTCGCCTGCTCTGCGCAAACTCTAGCCCAAGTCGAAAAACGTAGAGGATAGCAAGGGTATACGCATTTTTTGAAACTTAGTCACCTTGTTTTTCTTTGTAACATTTCTACATTAGAGCATTGTTTCACATTCGTCAGTATCTAAAATATTCCATTCCATACAATATATTTTTGCTGAAACAAACTAAATCAAATAAAAACTGAATACACCGAATAAAAACAATATCGCTTTGCGGAATTAGCACGAGGTATCGCGAGAACCATCCCCAGTTTGTCGCGTATTGCGGCTATATAAGCACCCGCTCTCTCGCTCAGTCACAGTTAATGTTCCACGTACGGTTCTCCTCTGCGTTTCTCTCCGACAGCTCCATCCGAAAAAAAGAAAAAAACGGTTTTTCTGCCCAGCAAAAATATTAAATCAAAGAAAATTACTAACAACAACAGCGAATTGCATTGGCTACTGGAAGAAAAGTGCAGCTAAAACTGCAACGACATCATAGGCTCCATCCCGCTGCTCCATACATACCAGTGTGTGTGTATGCAAGTGTGTGGGTGTGTGCAACTGCATCGTAGGTTCCAGTAAAAAGCAGGAGGAAACAAGACTGCAACGCTGAAAATCCAAATATTTTTTTTGTGCTGTGAGATGTGAAAAGGAGTTAAAGCGAAAATTTGAAAAGAGCATTTCTCCCACTGCATTTTAGTGCCCACGCAAAATTGCCGCAAAACCAAGAACGAGGAAGAGCAGTGGAAGTGGACAGCAGCAGCACACCAGCAAAGTATCAAACAGGCTCGGTTCGGCTCAGCACAGCGCGCTAACTTCAACTTTGTGAACGCAGTCAGTCGACGCAGACGTCGACGTCAACGTCAACAGCGCTGTTGTTGCATTTGCTGCAGTTGGCCCAATCGCTGCTGTTGCTCTTGCAGTTGCAGTTGCAGTCGCCTCGTTGTGGTCGCCGCGAGTGTAGGGCAGCATCGGAAGAGATAGTGAGACTCTGAGCAACGCGCAGGGAAGCAAGCAGCAGAAACAGCTAAACCACACAGAGGTAAGTGCTGGGAGAGGGGGGAAAATGAAGAAAGACAGACAGAAAAAAAAACAATCAGCGAAGAGTGATCAAAAGTGAACGCAAAAAAGCTGGCAATTGCCGGCGAATGTGAAACTAAAAGCGAAAATACAAAACAAAAATTCATAAGACAGAGTGGGGGGAGGTTCACAGTGGCTTCCCAAAATAATGAATGGTTTAGTTGTTTGCTTTTTTCATACATATGTGTATCCCTTGCAAGGAAGATCTCTCTGATGATCATGTTCTTTCGACACTGGCTAGTATTTACTCAAAAAGAATCTAGACTCTGTTGAAAATATTTAGGGCCTGCTAGCTCCGCGCATCAATAAAGACCTCCAATTGGGTTTCGGAAATTTCGGGAATTTTCTTCATTCAAGTGGAGGAGATTGGCCTACGTGATAAATTGGACCGGCACGCACGCACAACCGAACAGTAGCGTAGCGTAGCGGCAAAACAGCTGCCTTTGCGAGCAAGGGAGAGGTTTTTCTTTTGAAGGGTGGGGGTATCAACTGTTGTTTTTGTTTGCTTGGCTTCATTTATAAAGTATTTATTTATGTACTATTTGTCTTGGCTACCTCAGGCATCATTACGTCTACATCTCTTCGTTCATCGGTTCATTCTTTTCGCTTATTTACTGTGATCGCGACTGCTCATAGACAGATGAAACAGAATTACAGTGATGGTAGACAAATAAGTATTGTACATAAACTATAGGTAACCCTGATATTTCGCCCTGACACTGTACCGTACACTCAGCATACAATGTTGCCGCTGCTGTAGTATTCTTCTTCCTCTTCTGCTAGGCCTCTGAGCTTTGCAAAATTTTGCGACGCAATTTCGGCAGCGTCGGTTTTATGCTCCCTCTACACTCCCCCCTCTCTATCTACCAATTCCATGCTGAGAGAGTAAGAAAGAGGCGAGAGAGCAGGAACAGCCGAACATTGTTTTGTTTTTGCGCCCTATCACGAAAAAGGGGGCACAACAAGTGCGAACATAGCTCCGGGGAGAGAGTGCGAAAGGGATGGGATGTCCATGCCGCGGCAATAACATAGAAATTTCGTAAAACGCACTAAAACTTTCAAGGTTAAACCGGGCAAAACAAACATAAAAACCGGTTACAGCATATAAACGAACGAGCGGGCACAGTACATAAGAACTAACAGAAAGAACGGGACGAGGGGAGTGTAGAAGGAGCAGAAGCAAGAGCAGCAGCAACACCAACACCAACAGCGACGCAATAATAAACCTCAAAGACAACGCTGCTGTTCAAAAATACAATACATATGGATGTATGTTTGTTTTTTTTCTTATGTACTGTATGTTTTACATGTTCGAAAAAATGCACCATTAGCATGGGGTGAAAACGAGGAGAAGAGTAGTAAAAGCTTTTTTGATCTGCTGCTCCTTTTCACACACGTCAGCAGCTGTCTGTCAAACACATATGTATGTATGTATGTATGTACATACATACATACGTACATATAGAAACTCCATTTAGAAGTTATTGGTCAAAGAGGGATGGCGCTAATGTTGTGCCGGGGTCGGTCTGCTGGCTGGCAAAGCTTTAACGGTAACACAAATTATGTCGTTTGTATGCTTGTGTTTGTGACCTTGAATTTTGACAAGGGAGAGTTTGCCCACACATACACCCACACACCTTCAATTTTCCAAAGACGCAATACCGTTATTGTCTCTTGCTGTGGCAGTACAACTATTATTATATATTTCTTACTTAAAATGTTTCAAAATAACACCTCTAAATGTTTATCGTTTACATGATAAATGTATACATACATACATATGTATGTACAGATATGTATATGGTTGCATGGAGGCGGGCGACGTGCCAGACAGCATGTGTTTTTGTTTTGTCAGAACAAGCTTTGGGTCCGAGACAGACCCAGCCAGACATTTGAAAAGCTTTCCAGGCGAGACAGTTATTGCGGACCGAAGCATTCAAATCAGCTTTGAGCCACATTTTAACAAGCTTTACCGTTTCCCGTTTCGCATTACGTTTTTTGGTTCTATTGCAGAAAGGACCGGCACCTGGTGTTACAGTACAAAAACCAAAACGGATCCCAAACACAGCGCCAATTTTGCAGTGCATTCCAAGCGGGGCAAGAGGAAAGGTAAAGACAAGAAACCAATCATGGACGTCGAATCATCATCCCATAACAAACAAGCCAACGGTGGCGGTCGTCGCCACAACTCTGGAGGCTCCGACTCCAAGGAGAGCTCCGTGGAGCGCGAGCTGAATGGCGACATCCAGGCAGTGGTGCTCAATAGCGGCTCCAACGGTCATGGTCTCATCAAGAAGCCGCTACCCGTCGGCGACGACGGACGCATCAAACGCAAGGCCAAGAGGCTCATACAGAGACAACACAGTGGCAGCAATGGCTCTGCCGCCGTGCTAACCAATGGCAGTGGCTCGGGATCGGGTGGTGCCAGCGGTGGTGGTGCCGTTGCTGCGATTGCCACCGGGATTTTACCCCAGCCAGGTGGATATGTGGTGCCGCATCGTCGCTGGAAGAACAGCCGTCGCTCACGGAATCTGACCCGTGGTCGTGGGCTGCCCAAGAAGGGCGGCGGTGGCGGCAAGGGTGTGTGGGGTCTGCCCGGCTCCGAGGCTCTGGCCGAGCTCTACGAGGACGAGAACGATCCCAACTATGACAGCGACTGCAATGATCGGAATGTGGAGCTCCGTGAGGTGATCACCGAGACGACACCGGATGAGTTTTTCAAGCTGGCCGAGCCGATTGTCTTGGAATACTACGAGCACGGTGACACACATGAGGTGGCCCTCAGTTTTGATGAGATATTGCAAGGTCCTTTGCGGGAACGGATTACCTCGATTCTCGTGGAGATTGCCATGGATCACAAGGACTCGCAGCGCGAGATGACCTCGGTGCTGATCTCGGATCTGTATGGTCGTGTCATTACTGGCAAGGACATCGAGAAGGGCTTCAACATTCTCCTGTCCAATTTGCCCGATCTCATACTCGACACCCCAGAGGCTCCCATCATGCTGGGCAATTTCATGGCCCGCGCCATCGCCGACGATTGCATCCCACCGAAGTTTGTGTCCAAGCCCGAGGAGCATCTTCAGTTGAGTGAGTATGCCGAGCAGGCTTTACGCCGTGCCGACTCGCTGCTCCATAAGCAGGTCTGGGCGCATCTCGACAATGTCTGGGGCATGGGTGGGCCCCTGCGTCCAGTGAAGACCATTACCAAGCAGATGACATTGCTGCTCAAGGAGTATATATCGTCGCGCGATGTCGCCGAGGCCCATCGCTGTCTACGAGCGCTCGAGGTGCCGCACTATCATCATGAGCTGATCTACGAGGCCATTGTCATGACACTGGAGTCGCTCAGCCAGACCACCGAGGAGGCAATGTGCGAGCTGCTTAAATCGCTTGATCTCACATGTCTGGTGCTGCCAGCGGGCATGGAGCAGGTACGCAGTCGCTCATGAATGTGAAACATGAATGAAACATTGCTCTATTCTATGGTATACATATATGTTTCTTGCCAAATTTTAGGGCTTCATTCGGGTTTTTGATGACATGGCTGATATTGTGCTGGACGTGCCCTTGGCCTATATAATACTCGATCGTTTCGTCGAGCGCTGCAACCGGGCCGGTTTTCTCACCGACAAGATCATTAATAATGTGCCATCGCGGTAAGTCTCTCTTATTTCCCCCTTTTCTCTTTTACCACATGTAAATGCAATGCCAGAGAAATGCCTAACATATGTCCGGCTTAAGGCGAGAATAAAGCTCAGTCCTCGTCCCGTTCTCGTGTTGTCTTTCGCTCTCTGGGGCCTTTGAAAGAACGAATCTCCCTCTTCCCTTTCTTAAGGGAAGATCAACAGTGGGATCAACCGTTTTCGAGCCTATTTGATGTGTGTATTTGTAAACACACAACAATATGCAATAAGATCTAGTAATTTTTTACGTAATCTTAGCGAGGCATACCAAACGATACACGCCCCCACCCCAAACCCACCCACCTTCTTATACCCAGCCATAAAACAAAGTTGTTTACAAGCAAATACCCTGCACTGTATGGCACCCAGCATATCAGATTAAATTCGAGTAGAGCTCTCCATAAAATGCATAAATATTGGACGTTTGGTTAGGGTTTCATGAAATGAATTGGAGCCCAGCACTCGTTTTTATGATTATAAGATTTTGTTTTAAACACTCGTGGAGGATTTTGTGGCCTGTTTCAGTAGGTGTTCATATCGGTCTGTCGTCTATATTGCGCGGAATCACATATCTGTTTTCTTTTCAAAGAAATATACTCTAATAAGAATTTTCAATCAAATTCGTCTACTTTAAATATTTTTCCTTTTATTTATCTTTACGCTATCATAATTTTTCTTGGAATTTATGTATTTATTTATTACAATTAGCAATATTACATTGTATATATTGGCGCATACAACAATATTAATGGTGTTAAAGAGAGAGAGAGAGAGAGAGAGAAGCAAGCTTCTCTCGAAGATTTTTTGTGCTCAAAGGCCTTTTCCATGGTAAAGAGAAGGGTGTACCCTGAAATTGGCATAGCCGAATGTGTTTGTTCTGCTTTGGTCTGCGCCGTGAAGTATGTATATGTATATGTATGTATGTATGTTTGATGTGCTTTTATCTGTATGTGTTTATATTTTGTTTTTGCCGGCTTCGACTTGTTTATTATTCTTTTATTTTTTGTTTTGTTATTTTCTTTATACGCTTTGGCTCAATTTCTTATATACATACTCAGCGATATATATATATATATATATATGTGTGTGTGTGTTTGTGTGTGTGCCTGTTCCTGTGTGCGTGTGTTTGTTTATGAAATTTCTATTGCGCAGTTTAGTTTTTTGCTTCGACACTGACGGGGCGCCGCGTCATCGTCGGTGTCTCCATTGGGGCAGTCCGGGCCAGTTGCCGGTTTATCAGGTGCCGGCTAGTTATATTTATACATACATACATATGCACATACATACATACATACATATATACTCCTAGAGTTGTTTTGATTTTTTTTTTTCTACTTTCCGTTTCTTTTGTTTTTCTCTTTTGGTTTTTGTTATACATATTTAATTGTTGATTTATTCCTCTCTCCTTGGGGGCAATATCGCTGTTTGATTGTACCCTTGCCGAGAGTGTGTGTGTGTGTGCCACAATGTTTGCTGTAGAGAGAAGGTATACATATGCCCCCCTCCGCCCCGTCCACATAATGTGAAGTCATGTTTCGTTTTGTAACTACAAATCTGCTATGTACAGTGGAGGCTCGAGAATGTTCGCTTGCCCGCCGCTGTTTCTTACCACTGATCGGTCCACGTCTAAACATAATTTATATAGGAATGGGGTTACAATGTGTGTTTGTGAGATCAGCGAAAGGGTGTCCAAAGCTTCGGCTTTCCTTCTTGTTTTTATCTGTTCTAAAAAAAGACCCATATGCATGCATGTACATATACATATGTATATACATATATGTTCAGTTATGTACTCGATATCGATAGGGAGAGGGCGGCTCTTATCGACGTTTGGTTTTGTGTTTTATTTTTTTTATCGCATCAAACTTTTGGTGCAACAACCTGCATGTGGCTCAAGATCGTCTTGAGTGTTAGTGTGTGCGTGTGTGCGTGTGTGTTAGTGCTAGTGTTTGTGGCTGTGTGTGCGCGAAGGTAAACATGGCGGCCAAGTTGCTGTTATCGACCTGCTTGCCACTCCCACTTTAGTTGCTGTTGCTGACGCTGCTGCTGTTGTTGTAACTGCATTTGCATTCGCCTTGGCTGCGGCTATTGCTCTTTGCCACTTTAAGCGCAGCGACAACTAAATGCAACAACAACTAAAATCAGCAACAACAGCCATTCACTAATACAGAGGCCGAAACATGCATAAACTACATATATGTACCCCTGGATGTTGTGGCAGACGTCAACCCCGCCAACGAAACTGCTCAGATTTCTATAAAAAGACAAATTTATGATGCAAAAATAGCAACAGAAACAACAACAGCAACAAAACCGCTGAAAACTCAATGCCACATAACGGGGTATCAGGAGTGTGCACGTGAGGGTGGCGGCGGCGTTGGTGGCGGTGCTGCCATATCAACGGTTATAGCGGAGCATAAAGCCAAACTTTTATTGCAAGAAAAAGCCAAATCTATGATGTGGGGGTGAACAAATAAAACACCTGCAACTGAAGCTGATCAGAAATATATTGTAAACTTGTATTGTTCTTTGGCTTGTGTTTTGTGAACAGATCTGTGCCAGATCGACAGGGACGCGAGTGTATCGGCTGAAAAAGCCAAACGCGCATCACTGTCTGCTGCGCGAAGCAGCTGCTGCTTCTTGGGGGCCCCCTTGCTTTTGTTGCTATCCTATCGCTCTCCTCTCGCTCTCGCTCTCTTGTGCTTTGTTCTTGTTTGTGGCCGGCCGGTGGGGCGGTGGGTGTGTGTGTTGCTTGTGTCGCGCGCAACTTATCTTTCCACATTTTTACTTTTTTTACTCTACTCTTTTTTTTCTATATTTAAATGCAGCAATTAAGGCTCTGCTTGGCTCTATTTTCTTGTTGTTTTTGCAGCTTAGAATTCTTCGATACTCAATAAAAATAAAAAAAAAAACAAAAGAAACTGCAACAGAAACAAAAACTAGTTTTAGTGCTTTGGCAACTGCTTGCGGAGACCAGTGCGGCGCAATGCAGCTTCTCCCGCGCTCTCACCCACTACTTGCACAGCTGTCTGAAGCAAAGAGAGCGACAGCGACAGAGCGAAAAAAGGGTCAGCGGTTGAATGAACTTTTGTGCAAATTGTTTGCCGTTTTAGTTTTTGTTGTTGCCAAATTTGCGCAAAGCGTTTATGCAATATTATTTTTTTTTAACGTTTTGCTTAGTTTTTGTTGCCTCGTTCTTTGTTTTCTTGCATTGCATAATTGGGTAATTGCAATGTGCGTGTGTGCGTGCAATTGTTCTTCTCTTTTTTCAAGCAAGATTTCCATAACCTTTCCCCGCATTTGGGGCAGCAGGGTATATTTAGATTTGTCTGCGGATGTCACATATCAATTTACCTTCTCGGGGGCCAAATTTAAGTAAATCCAGATTTATTTTCCGTCTGCGAATCTCCAAGACTGTGCTAGTTCAAGCTAAAAAAGGTTTATATTTATTGCCCTGTCCCCATATATCTCCCTATAAACCTTACTATAATTTCCCTGAAACTATTGTGGAATTATTGCTATAATGTATCTAATAATTTTTGTTTGCTTTCTACTATTTACAGCGGACGCAAGCGCTTTGTCTCGGAAGGCGATGGCGGGCATGTCAAGCCGGCTATTTTACCCATGCGCGACTAAATTGGGGGAAATTTTCCAAAAGCGGGGTCTTATGTAGTACACATACTTACATAAACAGCCCCCACCCCCAACAAAAACCCAAAGTCAACCAAAACTATTAGCAGCAACAACAACACTGAAGGAATGTATCTGAGGAGTGGCAAAGAAAAACACAACTACAAAGGGACAAATATCAGGCTGAGGATTTTGAGGAGCAGCAGCAGCCAGAGCAGCAGCAGTATAGGAAAGAAATACATTTTTTGTCGCAAATTTTATTGATCAAGCGTCCACCCGTGAAAGAAGTTATTGCTAAGCTATCGAGAAAACATACAACATACAACACACAACAACAACAACAACAAAAACCGACAACAAACAACATTTAACAATCAATCCGGAAGTTGATCTCCGCGTTTAAACTATAACCATACGATTTAACCTACACATACATCAATACATGCATATATAATTAATCTAACGAGAAACAGCAAATCTAAAGCAAGAATTATATATTTTAAATATGTGTATAAACAAAAACAAAAGTAGAGATCCCAGTACCGCATAAAACAAACAAAAAACGAAAGCGAACCCTACAGGAACGGGGCGGGGCATTTGTCTTTCTTTTTTGTTTGTTTTAAGCAATGAAGAACGAACGAACGAACGGACGAACGGACGGACTGACGGACGGACAGACAGACGGATTGGTAGATCAGATCAGCGGCGTACTTATAGCACGGCTGCCATTAATAGTATGTCACTTGCTAGCGAAGCAAATTACTTATACGAACTGTTATACACAACAACAACAACCACACATACCACCCCGCACACACACAAACACACACACACACACAAACACACACACACACACAAACACACACACACACAGGCAGGCAGGCAATCAGTCAGTTAGAACCTTTATGAAAGCAAAATTAAGGCTAAAGTAAATTAAATCAGAAGCAAAACTGTTGCCAAAAGCTGGCGCAGCATTGAATGTCCAAACATAAAAGAGTATACTGTACCCGTGCAAAATGTTTCCAAATAGAGTTACAATCATTGCTTCCCATGTAAGCTTTGGATGACCCTTGGAATGGGTGGCACATTAATTCCTTTTTCCCTGTTCTTTTGAGAGCTTGTGTGTGTAAAACCAAACACATTGTTATTCACTATAGTTAAGCACACGATGATTTAATTTACTTACTTCTTGTACTTCCTCAAGAAAAAGAACATCTTGCATAGATACTACGTTTCTTTTCGTGTGTGTGTGAGAAGACTAGCGCCACGGCGTATACATAATTATGTTTAATGTATATCTATACATATATATATATATATATACTATACATATATACTACATTGAACCATGAACCCCAGGTAGAAAATCATTTTCGTTTTGCGGTGAACATTTTTTTTGGCTTTTTTTTTTAACATCAAAAGAAGAACGATTGCATTTTATATTATAAGAAGCTTACACTTTTCCTCCGACCCCAAATCCCCCTTTTAGTTTTCCGTTGTATAACAGTTGGATGCGAAATCAGGATAAAAATTTTTTGTTGTACAAAAAACGAAACTCATTGAAAAACCCCCATCCACAAAACAAAGAAACCAACACTGAAGAGAAAAAATTCAAAATTTTTGTACTCCAGCTATATATATTTTTTTAAGACGACTACACACAGACATGGAAAAAGGAGAAAACACACTCACCCTGCCCCACACACATCTATATATAATATATATAACTATTGCGTTAAAAATATACATTAAAATAAAAAAACAATTGAGTAGTTGCTTTCTTAATTCAATGAATATTCCGTCGTTCAGTCAGTCTCCATTGTCACTGCAGGAGCATCGGGCGGCTCCAGCTTGACCTCGCATCAGGATCGGATCAAGACTAGGCCTCCCGCGGCACCCATCACCGGGGAGGATGACATGTGGACGGGCTGTTGGATGCCGCTGGTGCCGCTGAGGGATCCATGCATGGACACATGCTTCCGATAGTTGGTGAACTGCTCCAGATATTGCTTGACCGTATCCGTGGGCTCGTACAAGTCGTTGTGCTTGGCGTGCAGCTGCTGCTGGCCCATGGCCGTCATGATGGTCTGCGTGGCAAAGTACGTGGGGAAATCCTTGCCCACATTGATGTTGAGGAAGCCCTGCAGCATCTCGCGTATCATCTCCCAGCAGTAGGCCAGTATCATGCACGACTTGTACTCGATCTCGATTAGGATACCCTTGAAATGCTCCATCATGGTGACGGATCCGAGCTTGATCACAAAGTCGCCGTACTCAAACCGGGCGCCACGGGATTCAATCTTTGTCTGCTTCTTCGAGGTGAATGTATTGGTCATTTTGAGCATCAGCAGATCAAATATGCTGTCGGCCACCAGGGAGACTTGCTTCCCAGTGCCACTGTCGATGATAGAAAATGTCGAAGCGGGATACTCCGAGTTGTGCAGCACATGCACCGCCCGTCCCGGTGTACCATTGTGCGGCTGCGGTGTCGAGATGAAGGTCTCGCAGTCGACCAGAAATTGACCAGCATGCGTAGCGCCAAGCGATAGCAGACGTTTACCCAGGTAATCGATGATATGGGCGCCAGATTTTCCCTCGGGCATAGGATACGGTTGTAGCACAGTCACACCCATACCAAGCTTTTCGTTTTTAGTTACGTTTGGTTTTTGTTTATTTGCGAAATTGTGGCCTACAAAAAATCTTCGGAGTGTCGATTACAGTGAACAGCAGTGTGACCGCGTTAAAATATACCGTCCGACCCTCAGAAATATACCAAAATATAACGACTCATTTTAAAAATATACCGTAAATATTCTGAAGAATTCAAGTTCGATTTTACATTTTCTTAGTTTTTCAAATTCCGTGGAATATTACTAGCTATATAGAACATTAAACCATACCCGAATAATTTAGTCCGATTAGTAAATCTATTTTCTAATTGACTGGTTTATTTTAAACACTTGCTCTTATTGCATTTTGCGTGAAAAGAGGTTTTAGCGAAAATAGTCAAACAAAAAAAAAAACATTTTGATATTTCGTCGAATATTATTGGCTAGATAAGCCTTTTTGCCATGCCAACATAATTTTATAAGGTTTATGAATCAATGTTTTACTTAACTGGCTTATTCTTAATACTTGCTTTTATTGAATCTTGTCTTCAAAAATGCCTTTCGCGAAATACGTCAAACAAAAAACGGTTTTAGCGAAATACATACATAGATAAAAGCAAAAAACCGAAAGAGAATAGTCTATTGTTTATATTGCTCGATTTAGAGATTCCGTTCAATAATTCTGTCTAACTAAAACCCTTAGTTTTTCCCACATAATTTTAGGCCATTGATGAATAAATTTTCTACAAGATTAACTACTTTTAGGTACTCCCCAATTATTTTATTTTGACTAAAACAAGGTTTGAACAAAAAAGTTCTACAAAAAAACAGTCGCAATGTTGTCACGTTAATGTTTCTGTTAATTGAAGACTTGTTGCTTATCAACCGGAGTATGGGTATTTGTATACCCTATTTCAGTAATTTAATATTGAGATACTGATTCAATATTATTGAGATAGTAATATTCCACGGAATATAAAAGTCGAAGAATATAGAACTTGAATTCGTCAGAATATTTACGGTATATTTTGCAATTTATGACGTAGTTTCGGTATATTTCTGAGGGTCAGACCGTATATCTTATCGATAGGCCTGCGATGAAGCTGACCACTAAATTTGTTGTTTATTAAATTGATTATTCATTACATACATATGGTTTCTGCGTTAAACTAATTTTTCACCAGTCGCCACCAGTCTCCACAGATCTCAATAGCGAAACAGTACGCCTAGGCAGTTTACCAAAGTATTTGTCAAACAGTTGTTTTCTTTTTGTTATCCCTTGTACGGCAAACGCCATCCATCGCTTTAGAATCGCTTCTGTGCTTGTGGTTTTGATTTGCGCGCGCGGCTAGATAAGTTTCTGGCTCGTCTGGCCTTCGGTTGCCAAACAACGAAAATGTCCAACGAAAATGTCGGGAGTAAAGCACAGGGCCAGGATCCACCGACGCCAGTTCACTATATAACGATGCTGCTGTCAAATATATGCTTATCCATAAACGGCCCCCAGCGAGCCGAGGAGCATGGTAAGTGTAAATGAATTCTATCCCCTGCTAATGATTGCCCACTTCTTACGGCTCCATCTTACGTCCATCTCTGTCAGATCGTCTGGTTAACAATGCTTTGAAGAGCATAATGGAAAATCCCAACTCGTTGAACGAGGGAAGGCCGACCATGTGCGAGGATGATTGTGTGATCAAAATTCTGAATATCCTAAACGCAAAGGCAAATCCAAATGGCAAAAAAGAGCAGATGCCCGGAAATGTGTTCCTGAAAACGTACACCAAGTTGTTGAAGCTAGACACAGATGAAAAGCAACGCGAAGCCTTGATGAACTTTTTGCTGGATATTCTGGATAATGAACAGTCCACGTTCTTGCGTCCCACGACACTGATGGCGAACGGAAAGGATGGTGGTGGTGATGGTCACAAGGATTTCCTAAGAGAGGTGCTGTCTGAGAGATTAAGTCCTAGTTATCCCTATCGCAAGCAGCAGAATGGTGGAAGTGAATCCAGTGAACGCGTCGCCTACAGCTATGATCCCGGCCAGTCAATTGCCGGTTTGGGCCAGGTGCAAATGCCTAACTACACAGATCAGCTGCTTAATCAACAGGATGTGGATGAAACGTTGGACATTGTCACGAATGTCCTGTTCTCGTTTACGGGCATTCAGGGCAAGTTTCTTAGAAAGGATGTCGTCACTGGCCGCTTCAAGCTGGACACGGCGAACACCAATTTGCTGACAACGGGCGATGCCGGCCTCATGCTGCGCCTCTCCGAACTGGGCTACTATCACGATCGTGTGGCCGAATTCGCCGATCCCTCGAAGGGTTACAGCGCCCTGGGCTGCATGGGTCAGGCCCTCACATGCTTTCTGCGCAAGGAGCTTGGGGCCTACCATGGCGAAGTGGCTTTGCTGCACGATCAGGTAAATGACTTCAAGAAGGCCCAAGTGAAGCGGGGCTTTGTCGATCGCGAGCAGGAGTGGCTCGATAGCCAGCGGGAGCAGGTGACGCTATTCAAGCTGCTCGTGTGGTACACAAAGCCCCTACATCGTATGCAATGGCTGACCAAAATTGCCCATTCCTGCATGATGAAAAAGGGGGGAGAGCTCACGTCCGTGGTGTGGGACTTCCTCGATAATGGCCATCCTGCGGTGGATAAATTGGTGATTGATCTGCTCACGGCCATGTGCCGCCCGCTGACGCGCATGATCTCCCAATGGATGCTCGATGGCGACATAACGGATTTACACAACGAGTTCTTTGTGGAGTCTCTGACCGATATCGGGCCCGATCGACTGTGGCACGATAAGTTTCGTGTGCGCACCGCCATGCAGCCGAAATTTATTGGCCAAGAGCTGGCTGATAAAATCCTAAGGACCGGGAAGAGCATTAATTTTCTGCGCGAAGTGTGCGAAATGAATGAATTGGTCAAGGGTCAGGGGGAGCTCAAGAATATCATGGAATCGAATGGTAGGAATAAACTGGGTCCCATCTAATGGCATATTCATTAAATGGGCTTTCCTTTCAGCTGGCGACATTTTCTCCTACACACAGGACACAAAGTGGCATGCGGCTATAGAGATCTGCTACCAGAACACCGCCAAGCATGTCCTCGACTACATGGTGGGTCCCCACAAGCTCTTGGAGCATTTGCAATGCATGCGACGCTACTTGCTGCTCGGCCAAGGGGATTTTGTCAGCATCTTTATCGAGCATATGAAGTAAGTCGTTGGCTGGAGGCACTTTAAATCGAATAATCAATAAATAATCGCCCTCCTTAGAGACGAACTGGAGAAGCCAGGCACTGAAATCTTTGCCCACGATCTGTCGGCCATGCTGGACACTGCCCTGCGCTGCACCAATGCCCAGTACGATGATCCAGAGATCCTAAACCATTTGGATGTGGTGGCACAGCCACCCTTTTTGGGCGACACGGGCTGGGACATTGTGTCGCTGCAGTATGTCGTCCAAGGGCCGCTGGCCACCATGCTGGAGCCGACCATGTCCACGTACAAGGCGCTGTTTAAGCCACTGTGGCGCATGAAGCACATGGAGTTTGTGCTTTCGACAAAGATCTGGAAAGAGCAGATGACCAATGGAAAGGTGAGTGTCGTATCTCAGTCCTACTTTAGATTGTCACGCTCTTTCGCTTGCGATCTCTCTCTCCCTCTCTCTCTCTGATCGATAATGCAATTTGGGAGGGACTTCGGAGCACTCTTGTGGGCAACGAATTAAGGTGTGGAGCGGTCCGAGATTAGATTAGTAGCCGAGGGCACCTGTAATCTAATCCATGGATGATTACCCATTTTCCGGTGCACACGCAAGTCTCAAGGGGCATACAAAAATTCCTTAATTTTCTTATGTATCATTTTCTATATTTTGATAGAAAAAAACACACAACTTCCCGTACAAAAATAACATTAATTAGAGGGTGAAACAAAAACATATGAATACGAAATACGCCAAAAAAATATAGATATACAGAAATGTGACTGCTTGGAATGCGGCTGCTCCTTGGTGCTCCTTCTTTGTCTGCAACTGCCTCTTACAACTTGGCATCGGTCTTGAGCAGAGGCGCCAGCTTCTGTGTGAGCATGATGTTGCCGGAAATCTTCAATTTTCCCTTCATGAATGCTGCCTGGGGATTGAGCTTGCCGAGGGCAATATCAACCATGTCCTCATCAGCCACCGTCAGGGTGGTGTCCACTTTGACGCCCTGTGCGGGTCCCTCATAGGCCTTGGCGCTCTTGCAGTCCAGAGCTAGAAAAAAAAAACACACAGAAAATAAGCGAAAAGGTAATGTAATTTACATTTGTTGGCCACATAGAAAACCAACAAACAGCTGGTGCCGAAGTGCAAAGAATTTCGCACTTTGAACTTCCCACAAAACACACACACACACGCAAAAAAGACCACGTAAACCCACAGAAAATGAGTGTGTGTGTCAGGCAGCGTGCGTAATATTATTACTTACTCCATTCCTTGGCCACCTTGCCATCCTTGGTGATTTTATAGACAAACACACCATTCACAGCCTTGGCCTTAGCCTCGTTCTCCTTCAGGCCATCGATGATTTTCTGGAAAACGGCATCCGACTGTAGACTCATGTTTGGTTGTAGTATTTTTTGCTAGTTTCTCGGGGACGGTGCTGTTGTTTTACAAAAGAAAATGTTAATTTATTTTTCCCAAATTGGAAGAGGGCCCCAAACACGAACGGGGGACAAATGCTTACGCCGTGAATAGAAGAATGAGCCAGACGCGTGCAGAGTCGTTGGTTTTATTGTCTCTCTTGTTCCTCCGCATTCGCCTGTGCCTTGAGGCGAGATAGCGATAGTGCGGGCAGCAGGGCATCCATTTTTTTAAATGAAAAAGTAGCGTTTTTTTGTGGGGAAAAATAGCCATTTTTTTGTCACAACAAATTTATTTTATTTATTTATAAAATGCGCATTGTTTTGTTTATTTCGAACAATTCGTCCAGTCCATTGTACCAATGCGTACTTGTACTTTTATATATATATTTTAAATAGCTTCATTTCCGGCTCAGCAATTTCGAAAGTTTTACAGCAATCAAACTTTAAAAATAGCAAGAGCTAGCTAAAAAAAAAGCTGAATGGGCAACACTGGTGCTGCGAGAGCCGGTATACACACGGGTGGTTCTCTCACTCCCGTTGGTTTTGTGATGTTGTGCTCTCTCGCTCACCGCCGGCCAGCTGATGGAACAGTAACACCAAGAGGTGCGAAAATGGAATCAAATCAAAAGTTTGTAGCTAATGTATGCCAACAGGTTGTTTTCGGTGGCAAAAAACTAGTGCAAGTCGTTAATTAGTTTAAGTATGTTCTTCTGACAATTAATTAATTCATGGCTATTTCACAAACTAAATTAATTCCAAAGTGGAATTCGTTTTTCGCTCTTTCTCCACTGTGCAGTTGTGTGGAGTTTAGACTTTAACATTTACCTATCGCACTTAACAGCGAATGTTAAGAGAAACTGTTATCGACTGTTGCTGTTACCAGGCTGTGGCCCTCCGGAACAAAGTGCGCAACGAATTTGAAATGCCCATAAAACAGCAAGATAAGAAGGCTTGAAGTGGCCAGATAATGCCCGCGCCCGCAGCACGAAAGGAATTATTTTTAACAAAAAATTGCGTGTATTTTATCAATTGCTAAATGCCACCCTTCTCTATGCCTTGGAGGCGTCCACAAACGTCTCTGGGTCGAGGCCAGCCTTCTTCATTTCAACGGCAATGGAGAACAAGTAATCGTAGCACTCAGATCTGTTTGAGGAAGCAAAGTTAGCAAGCCTTTCGGCAGCTTAATCCATTTGTAACTCACATGGCTTTGGCCTTCTCCCAGGTCTGGCCCCATACATAGACACCGTGGCGTCTGACCAGAACGGCACTGCAGCCGGGATGCTCCATCATGGCCGCGTACATGCTATCGGCCAGGTCACGTTCGTGAGGCGTGTTCTCGATGATGGGCACCACTAATTGCTCGTCATATTGCAGATAACGCTTGTCCGCATCATCGTATACGCCCTTGATCATCTCCAGGTGCGTGCAGCGGAAGGTTTTCCCCGGCCACAGGAGCGTGGCCATCACTGCATGCTGGGAGTGGGTGTGTATGACGGCACCGGCATTGCGGTGTCGATAGGCCAGCATAAAGAGTGGTGTGCACTGGCTCTTTTTCAATTCCCGGATCTCGGGCGGCATTTGCAGGTCCTTGCCATCGATATCCTGAACAAACAGATCCTCCGGTTGCATGCGCTCCTTCTGCACCCCCGACGGGGCAATGTAGATCTCATTGCTATGGTTGGTAATCGTTAGATCTGTTCACCGTTGCAGTGTCAGGTGGTTTTGTACTCACTTCAATTTAATGCTCATGCCGCCGCCGGTGCCGGTCACCCAGCCCAGGTGATAGAATTGCCTGCATAGCGCCGGAATCAGGCGCCTCGGATGATCTTCTGGCAAATCCTTAAAGATTGAACAAGACATTGTAATCTACAGCGTGATGAGACTACCAGATAAGGCAAGATTAAGTTTTCAAAAGACAAATCTCAAATGTAAACAAAATGTTAGTGTCGACAAACGCTGCTATCGATTATGCAGCTACATCCCTGATGAAATAGTGTTGACACCTCTCTTTTAGTCCCCACATTTGCCGCGCGTTTTGCTAATTTGATTTTCACTTTCACTATTTTCAGAAATTACGCAAGATGAATGCTGAAATTGGCAAGGCTTCGTACAAGCTTCACCTTTTCACGTCCGAGATAATGCACTTCATCCATCAAATGCAATATTACGTACTATTCGAGGTCATCGAATGCAATTGGGTGGAGTTGCAGAAGCAAATGCAGCAGGCGACCGGACTAGATGAGATTCTCGATGCCCATGAGAAGTTCCTTGAGACCATTACCGTGGGATGTTTTATCAATTCGGTGACCGACAAGGAACGGCACCTGGAAACCGTCTTCGAGAACATTATAGCCCTGGAAATCTGGCAGGCCAGCTTCTACAAAGATTGCTTCAAGGAACAAAATGCCCGCGATGACTTAGAAAAGAAAATTGCCGCCTCCGAGGAGGAGGGTCGCTTTGGCGTGACCACAGAAGAGAAAATGGAACGGGACCAGGAGCGGAAGATGTTTGAGCAGAAGCTGATTATCGCCTGTCGCGGACTCAGTGACATTTCCTGTGCCTATGAGAAGGCAGTGAGTGGCTTTATGATGTGCCTCAATTCCAGCGAAGATCCACAACTGCAGCTCTTCGGAACACGGCTCGATTTCAATGAATTCTACAAGAAGCGTGACACCAATCTCAGCAAGCCCCTTACCTTCGAGCATATGCGCATGAGCAATGTGTACAATAGCAATAAGAATAGTTCAACAGGTAGTCGTTTCGTGATCAATTCCCAGGCATCATTATCGCCGGCAATGTAACGGTTGGTATTGGATCGCTTGTCGCGTTCAATCATAGTCAACCCACCATATTCACGTGTCAATAAGAAAATCAACCACAACGGCGGCGACAACGATGTGGACATTTTCCATATAAACTATGATATTAGACCGGGGGGCTCCTGTAGTTGCGGAATATTATAGATATTAGAAACAGGCTAGGTCTCACAATTCTGCTAAGTGTGATCTGTACGAACAGCACGACAGAAACTCATTTACTCATCATGATATAATGATGATGATCGAAACAAACGCTTCGAAGAATCTGGCACAATCTATCCAGCATTTTAGTCTAATTTGGTTGCTATAAGCGATCCGATAGAGAATCGAGAATAAGTATTGAAATTAATTATTAAAATGAAGTATTGAAATGAATGATAATTATTAGTATTACGAATGATAATACTAAAAAAAATGCTTTAGAATCGAGAATGTTGAGTATTCTGAATTGAAATATGAGTACAGGAACGTTTTTAAATGGAAATTTTTTAAACAGCGCACATTTTTTCGGACTGAAGAGATTTTTGAGCTTACTTTGACTATTTTTTTTTTCAGATTATAGGGTGTAAATAGGAAGAATTAGTTAAAATAAACTTGGAAGAATGTTTTCATTTTTCCACAAATGTTTTGGTTAGTTGTTGAAAAGAAGCAGAGTATTTAAAGTTTTAAAGGAGTCCGAACGTTTTAAAATATACATGTTTTAAATTGTTGTTGGCCAGCGGTAATTAAAATAAATGTTAAGTTGCAAAAAAAAATATTTTATTTTGATTTTTTTGAACACTTGGTATATTTTAATCTTTGCAGCCGCTAGGGCTTCAAAACCGTCGATATATCGACCTTTTCATCGAAATTTTTGTTAAATAAAGTCTCTTTATAAAGGGTTCGTTTTTTAATTTTTGTTTAAATTGGACTGCTCACAAATTGAAAATAAATCAATTCGAATCAATCTCAACCAGCGGTATATTTTTTAACTTATTAGCACGGAATTTGGTAACGGAACGCTAGATGGAACTAACTAACTTGGAAAATGATCGCTCTAAGCTTCATATATTAGCACAAAAAATATTATACAGATAGTCCAATCCAGTTCGGCGAGATTTGTAATTTTGTACGACAACCTCAACGACCGCTTCAGTTTTTATAACGTGACGTCAGTCATATTTTGTCTTTGTCTTTAAAACCGTACGTTCGATTCTTGTAATTTTTTGGTGAATATATACACCCACTACTATTGAATTAGAATAATTTTTCAAAATTTTTCGTACGAATGTAACGTAACGTCAGAATGGAAGTGCCCTTATGTATATTTCTAATGTCTGCCTGTACAAGAGAACGATTAACCCATTATAAGCCAGTGGGTATTAAAAAGTGGGTATGAAGAATTTTAGCGCAGTTCGGGTCAATGATGTCGTTGAAATTTTGAAAGAGAATTTATAAATCTACAAGAAGAATTTACAGACAGAATTATTTTCCACGGTTAAGCTCATGTTGTTGACCTGTTTTATTAGAGGGCGGTTAGGTCGGATAAGTTCGTTTTTTTCATCGGTATATTTCCGAGGATTAGACCGTATATCTTGTTAATAAATCCGCAGTCACACTGATTTTCTTGCCATTTTAGCCAGACTCCTTGCATATTTGCATATTTTCATATTTTTTTCTAGTATTTTTTAAGACGAGTTATGGACCTTCACCTCCCCGACCAAAGCATCAATGTATAAATCGTGCAGAAATGCTCAAAAATACTACAAAAAAGTATAAAACAAGAAACAAATTATCTGTGTGCTTTTTAAAAATATTCGCAATGCATAACTATAATCTGAATTGAGTCTTGACCTTGTTTAAACCTTATTTTATAAAAAATCCAATATAGATGAGAAGATTCCAAGATGAGAACTTAAAAGTAGCCAGCCTTGTAGGAAAATGATTCGCCAATTGCATAAAATTACGTGTTCAGGGTGAGGGTCCTAGCTAGATATTCAACCGAATATTAAAATAGTTGAGTACTTGAATACACTAATATATTACGGTATATTTTGAAGCTGATTCGTATTTTCGGTATATTTCTGAGGGTCAGACCGTATATCTTATCGATAAATCCTGTGATAAAATCACACTGTTTGCAAGTGCAGAAAAAAGAAAACAAAACAGAAAAAGACGGAAGAAGTGTGCTGCCGGTGACAGAATTGCGAATATATATATAATAAAATCAGTGTCTGCTGCTGGCCCCACAATACAGCTAAAATTGCAACCAAACGATAGCAGCACACCACGAATATGGCATTAAAAAAAGTGAAGGGAAATTTTGAGCGTATGTTTGATAAAAACTTAACAGATCTGGTGCGCGGCATAAGGAACAACAAGGATAATGAGGTAAGCCCTGGGTTTGTTGTTACTGCTCCAGTGCTTGAGTCCACCCACTCCCACTCCGCGCACATAATCCGGAGTCCTCTAATTACAACTTGCTAATTGGCTGACAAATTTCGTTTGCATTAAGGGAATTTTGTTAGAGTTTGTAAGAGTCGCGTACGTGTGCGTGTTTGTTGTATGTCTCATTGTGTATGTGTGTGCGTTGGCATCTGCCAACAATGCAAAAGGAAAAGAACATACATAGTCTCTCTTTCCCCCCCACAACAACTCCCGCCAGTCAATTAGCGGCATTTCGCTTAGGCCCTAATGCTTTTATGTCAATTTCAGACCAATTTCCCTTCACGGCAGCACTGGCCTGCCTTGGCTGATGGGTGGAAAAGGAGGTTGAATGATGGTAGGCCTGACGGCGCACGTTTTATCAAATATTTACCCATGTAAATTCCCCTAGAGAGAGCTTTGCTCTTGGTCCTTATCAGCTGTGCTGTGGCCCCCCTCTCGCACAGATGTTTGAATTTGTTCTGCTTGTGTGCATGTTTTCTCTTTGCTTTGCCTTTCCCCCGTCAGGATAGATAGTCTCTCTGATGGATCCACTAACTGTTCCTTAAGCTCTCTCCATCTCTCTCTCTCTCTCTGTTTGAACTTATTGCAATGCACTCACGTATGGTGTATGGTCTCTTTTCCTCTTTCTCCCGTTTTTTTTTTCTCTCGATGACGCCAACAATGTTCAAATTGGGGCGTAGTGAGAGGGACCCATGATTTATCCAGAGCAGGAATAAGACGGGCCTCAAAGCAACTTTTTGTCTATTTGTACTCGCAGATTTTGCATTTGTTTTGTTGGCCTCTTTGGCCTTCCCATTAATTTCATATTATACCCTTCAAAATAGAGAGAGAGAGAGAAAGTATTATGATTTTGATGAGTTCTTTGTCTCGCAGAGCAGGAAGATCGGAAAAGATTGCCAAAGATAGGCCCATTCAAATGATTTCAAATAAAGTGCGGTTTGATATTTATTTTCGTCTTACAGTCGAATACAATCGAAATTCTATAATATCCATCTGTATGGCTATGAAAACTTTGGTGCCCAGGATCACTCCTTGGCCAATCGTTATAAAGAACGCACAACAGCATTCAGGAATTCCATGAACGGTGCCTGGTATTTGGCAGATGATTTCAAGATGTGGCTTTTTGGGTATACGAGGAGCCTAAGAGAACACGAGTACGGAGTGCGGAAACACGAGTACGATGTTTTGTGTATTTGTAGCTGGGAAAGCACCTGTAATTCCCGTAAAAACTGCGAGTTCTCTGTATCCGAACGAAGGGGGGAGGTTTCTTCTTAACAGGCCCATACCCATTTATTCAAAATACTGAGCTCCAGCTTTTTTCATTGTAAACCGAGGCTCGCCCATATTTTTAAAGTGTCCAATTGGCAGAAAAAAGCCTTTAAAAACGTAATGAATTGCAGTATCACGTAGAATAGAGTATTAAATAAGATTAGAGTAGAGCAGAGAATCCAACGATCGATCTTAAAGGGTATCAAAAGGTTCGGTCCCCTGAATTTAGTCTTTCATTCTTATTTTCTGATTCCACGTCGTCGTCATGCTAGAAAGAGAGAGAGGGAGAGGGAGAAGAAATTCACAAATTGCTGATTTATGCCTTGGTATTTGTATTAATTCATGTGTGTGTGTGTGTGTGTGTGTTTGGGGTGGTATTGAGGGGGTTGCACTGATAGCCCCCAAGAATATATTTCGGTTTTATTTTGCTGTCTTGCACATTTTTTCGGTGTACAATATATTATATTAAATATATGTACTGTTTTCAATTGCAGGCCAAATACATATCGACATGCATTGAGGAGATCAAACAGGAGCTGCGACAGGACAATATCAGCGTCAAATGCAATGCCGTGGCCAAGCTAACCTACGTAAGTCCTCCCAGCCCACCTACCAAAGGGCGATTCAAGAGCCCTTCTCGTTCGAGTGTGGAATTAGCCAAGAAGAATGCCCTCGCATAATGTCTAAGCCTGGGCCCCATTCAAGGACCATCCATTCTGCACTTGAATTTTGCTACAAAATTGCCAGCAGGCACAATGCACTCCCGGCCATGAGGCAGAGGGCAGGGGAGGGACAGGGACCCATGGGGGGCCCTTGCATGCAAGTCCTCACAAGAAAGGCTTCGAAGTTCGCGTACCCTGGAAGGCTCACGTAGGCCTATATTGCAAATATTCTGGTTACAGCAAACTGTTTCCTGTTTCATTAACAGTTAATTAATCTGTATACAAAAAGTTGGTAGCAATAAGAAATGTTAAAGCTATTCAGTTGAGATTTATTTGGGTTAAATTATCATGCCCTCCTCTTGAAGGGTATTGCCGTGCGAGAAACAAGCGAGCGAATAGGTGGAAGAACAATAAAAAACAAAAAACAAAGCCTAGAAGAAGAGAACAAATACTGGTGGGGAGGGGGGAGGGAGGGAATAGCAAAACAACTGCAATACTTACAAGCAAGGAAGAAAGCGCTCCTCTCGATGCCCGACTGCTTTGATACCCTTTTGCGGATTGATTATTTATTTGAAACAACTCGGGCACAGATCTGGGGACACGATCAAGAAGAAACAATCTGCAAAAGGCAGATAAGAGATTTTGTGTGGTGCTTAGAGTTCTAGTGAATGGAACTTCGACTACTCCGCGCCGGTCATCAAGGGTATCGAAAGGAGAATGAGGTGGTGAAGGATGAACAATGGTTGTAGAAAAAAGTTGGCAAAAACTAACAAGCCAGCAATACAGGAAGCCACTGATGTTCCCCCACGAGAGAGAGAGAGAGAGAGAGAGAGAGAGAGAGAGAGGGAGAGGGTGATGGTTGGGTGTGGGAGACAGATTTCTACGCTAACGAGTCCTTGAGCATATTCTTAAACACACACACGCACACGCACGCACACACACTCACACTCACATTCTGTATAAAAAAGATAAATAGAAAAATGTTAATATTTATTGATTTGCACTCGACAGATACAAATGCTGGGCTACGACATCTCCTGGGCAGGCTTCAACATCATCGAGGTGATGAGCTCGTCACGTTTCACCTGCAAGCGTATCGGCTATCTGGCAGCCAGTCAATGCTTTCATCCCGACAGCGAGGTAAGGCGATGTGTTCAATGAAGGATGAGGATACGTGACCCAGGAAGAGAGAGAGAGTTTGTGCCGAGTGGCATCCACGGCACGTGAGATATTTAGTCGGAAGAAATTACCCAAGGGTATTACCGTACATTGAATGTTATTGTAAAACAAAACAAATTTCTAAGAAATTTCCTGGCATCTACCGGGAAGTCTTGGCTTCTCCAGGACAAGGAGGATATTCCAATGCTTGTGGCCACCTGTAAGCGCGCCTGTAAAGAAGCAATTCAAGCTCCTAATAGACAGCACGTGGCAATTAGTGCCACGATGTCGCATAGCTCGGCAAACATGGCCGAACATAATTAGGAAGCGCACTTCTGAGCTCTGCAAGCTCATCAGAAAAGGGTACAGCGCCGCAGACTGGGTGCCTCCTACAATGATTTCAGCCATAGCTGTAGAGACGAGGAAGAGGAGGAGACCGTGGAAAACCTGTTCTGCTCTGTGTCCAGCTCCCAGTAGAAAAACACTACATCACTTGGCCTCGACGTTTCAGAAATGTCCACAATATGTCCCAGAAGGATGTCCCAGCTTACGGCTAGGATAAATGCTGACATCAGGTCTCACGACGGGGCCGGTTTGGGACGGGCTCCTAGCGAGTCTCCCCCAAAAAGGGATAAACAATTCAATCAATCCTGGTAAAGGTTTAAGGGATAGTGTTAAGCTACTACCACAGTCATATCAGTCATTGTGATGTGTTCTAACGTGGTTGTAGAATTACCACACCCTCTTGGGAAAGGTTTTGCAGTTGTAACTGCCAGAATCCTCAATGCTCCTGTGTCCGCGTTGAAATTTAGCAATTCAAAATCAGCAATTGTTGATGTTCCTGGCTAAGAGTCTCCCGTATCATTAATCAAGATACTAGTATCTAATCAAGACACTAATAACTAATTAAGAAAAGTTTTTATTCATTATAAGAAATGTTAGACAGTCGCCGTAGATAGTGGTTTCTACTGGTTTCCATTTTCCATTCGCTTATGGGAAATTCGAACAGCAAATCAATGTCAAATCACACCAGAGAGTAGGAAGGTAAAGCCCTTCCTTAAGAGATTTAAAGAACTTCCTTCAAGGAATGTTCTAGATCACAGATCTAGAAATAGTTATGAGACGATCTCTAGTCCTAATCCGAAATAGTTATACCCTGATTCCTGATTCGAAATACTGCTGAAAATAATGCGCCATCATTTCTTATAGCTGCTCATGCTGACGACGAATATGATACGCAAGGATCTCAATTCACAGAATCAGTATGATGCTGGTGTGGCGTTAAGCGGCCTAAGTTGTTTCATATCGCCCGATTTGTCCCGCGATCTGGCCAATGATATTATGACACTGGTAAGGAGGCTGTGCAATCAAGGAAGGGCAACCACTCAACGTTTATTCAATTTATTTTCCTCCTCTAGATGAGCTCTACGAAACCCTATCTGCGCATGAAAGCCGTCCTAATGATGTATAAAGTATTTCTACGCTATCCCGAAGCACTGAGACCTGCCTTTCCAAAACTCAAAGAGAAACTGGAAGACCCCGATCCAGGTTCAGAATTTAAAAACGAATCCATTCAGTCGTAATCCTCTTTATAATGGCGCTGTGTGTTCGGTTTTGCAGGTGTTCAATCCGCTGCCGTGAATGTCATTTGTGAATTAGCGCGTAAGAATCCAAAAAACTATTTACCTTTGGCGCCAATCTTCTTCAAGCTGATGACCACCTCGACCAACAACTGGATGCTGATCAAGATCATAAAGCTGGTGAGCGTCGTTTTAAACCACAACTCCTCCCCCTCCCCCCACCCCCGATTATGTATCTTTCCCACCCACCAATTCACAAGAGATTTATCATTTGGTATTACATATATATTCTATTTCTATCCATGGACATTCTGCCATGTCCTTAAAATATACAAATGAACTCTTGTCTGAACGAGAAAACAATTTTAATTAACACTAAAACTACTCCTCCTCCTTCCCTCTGCTCCCCCTCCAACTGCCTACTCCAAACACCAAATAAAAATACAAACCAAAACCAATTAACAAAATGAAATATATATATATATATATGTATGTATACAAAAATACAATCAAAAATACAAATTCAAATGAATTTTAGTTCGCGAGCCTCACGACTATTGAACCGGCGCTGGGACGCAAATTGACTCAGCCCCTAATCGAAATTATTTCCAGGTTTTTATCGGCGCGCTTTTATTTATTTATCTGAAAAAAAAAAAACAAACAAACAAAACGACAAATCCAGAAAATAAAACCAGCACGCGCTTTGAGTTACTCCTTACGCATTTTACTATATATTTCCAATTTAGTTTATTGTTTTTTAGTTGGTTTATATCTTGTTTAAACGAAGGCCACACAGTTGTTGGTAAACTGATTTTAGTGTTGGTTTTCATTTCGTATCTCCTATGATTTGAAGGTGCAATTACTGCAAGGGCAGAGGCTCTGGCCTCTCTCCCTCCATTGATTGTCTCTCATCGATTACAATTGCTCCCAGCATCCATATCACACACACACACCCACATGAGCGTCGTGATTGATTATTATTGTTAAGTTTTATGTATATTTGTATTGAATTATTCGAAATTTACGATGGAACACCCCACACCCACACCCCACCCCACACATGAACGTACATTTGTTAAAAGCACCAAAAGATGTTTCACCCACGTTAATGAGCTCAATGGAAAGTATCAGATCAGTATCAGAAATCAAAGTCGAGATTATAGAACAAACCGATGACAGAACCCTCTCGGAGCCGAGGGAAGAGGGACCCTAGAGCTGTGCTGATTCTGATGGGCCGAAAGGAAGCAACAACAAACAGCTTGGAGTCTCATTCTCTTTAAAATCTTCAACTTTTTGACTCACATTCGTCATTGATGTGTTCTATTATCTTTGGGTCACACTTTTGATTAGATTTACAATCAAAAACTGTTTGTAAAACATCTCAAAACTAACTCACTGCTATTCACATCAGCCACCTCTTATACATACGTTTTCGGCTTCATTTGCTTGATTTACCCACCTCAATCATTATGTATTTATTTTGCTAAGAAACCCAAGGCTAAGGCCCCTCCAAGTACAGATCATACGAGTTTTCTGCATCATCATGAGAACTGGAAAGGACATACGGAAGTGATATGAAAAAGAAAACTATATACTTTTGAGACAGGTTTTAAATGGGGGAAAACCCCTTTTAGTGATTTGCTTATGATTTCCTTATTTATAGGTTTATAGGTTTTAGTTTGATAGATTCTAGATTTGTCTAGTTTTAGTTCTAGTTTTAGTTGTGAAGAATAAGGAACTCTGTACTGTGTTTTTTGATTGTATGTAAAATTATAATTTGTTGCTTGTTTCTTTTTTCTCTTTGCATTTGCAGTTTGGCGCTTTAACTCCCTTAGAACCCCGGCTAGGAAAGAAATTAATAGAACCACTCACAAATCTAATTCATAGGCAAGTCTCTTAATTCATTCCAAAACAAAAAACAAAAAATTAAAATTTAAAAATATATATATGGAAAGGCGAATGCAAACCAAAAAAAAACAAAAAATAAAAGAAGAAAGAAAGATGAACGAACGCTGCTCTGTCACTCTCTCCTTCTCTCGATGATTGATTGAATGATTATTTGATTCTGGCTTCTTATGTCCGTCGTTCCTCTACTTAAATGCATATGTGTACATATAACTCGTATCTTTAGCAAATATCCCTCAACTACAACTACATCCTGGTCTATTTTGTGTTTTGATTTTGTTTGCTTGCCTCCGAGCACTTTTCCATTTGAGAGAACCCGAACCCAAGAAAGAAAACAAAACAGATGTCTGTGTGTGTGTGTGTTAAAGCAGAAGCAAAACAAAAAAAAAGAAATAAGAAATAAAAAAATAAAGATTGCTGCTTCTATTGCTTATGCTGCTCTATGCTCTGTTTCTTCTATGTTTTTTTTTTTTTTTGATGTGTTTTGCTTTTGCTGCTGGCTTAAAATGTTATATGTACCACATATATTTTGTCTGTAGATTGATTGTCGTTGATTTGCTGTCGCTATTGCCATATTGCAATTTTTGCTGCTACTGTTGTCGTTGTAGAAGTGCAATTTTGATACGCTTTAAACGCTGCTTACTCTTTAATACAAAATTCTTCTTTTCACCAAAAACCAACCAAAAACCAAACCGAAAAACCAATCAAATCCAAACGAAATGAAACCACAAAAACAAACAAAAAACAAAAAAAACCCCAACCACAACCACAACCACAAATCGAATCAACAGCACCTCGGCCATGAGTCTTTTGTATGAATGCATCAACACGGTGATAGCAGTCCTCATCAGCATCAGCAGTGGCATGCCCAACCACAGTGCCTCCATACAGCTCTGTGTCCAGAAGCTGCGCATACTCATCGAGGACTCGGACCAGAATTGTACGTAAATGAATCCTCGAAAGTACCCGCCCTAAAATACTCTACCCCTTTGCTTATAGTAAAATATCTGGGGCTGCTGGCCATGTCCAAGATCCTGAAGACGCATCCGAAGAGCGTGCAGGCGCACAAGGATCTAATATTGGCCTGCCTGGACGACAAGGATGAGTCAATACGGCTGCGCGCCTTGGATCTGCTCTATGGCATGGTCTCCAAGAAGAACCTCATGGAGATCGTCAAACGTCTGCTCGGCCATATGGAGCGGGCCGAAGGCTCTGCCTATCGCGATGAGCTGCTCTACAAGGTGATCGAGATCTGTGGCCAGAGTTCCTATTTGTATGTGACGAATTTCGAGTGGTATCTCACCGTCCTCGTTGAACTGATCCAACTGGAGGCGGGCTCGCGGCACGGCCGACTGATTGCCGAGCAGCTGCTGGATGTGGCCATACGTGTGCCGGTTGTCCGTCAGTTTGCTGTGAACGAGATGACCAATCTGCTGGACACCTTCACCGTGTCGGCACAGAGCAATTCCATGTATGAGGTACTCTATGCGGCCGCCTGGATTGTTGGCGAGTTCGCCGGCGAGCTGGAGGATGCCGAGAGGACGCTGAACATACTGCTGCGTCCGCGACAGCTGCCCGGGCACATACAGGGTGTCTATGTGCAGAATGTGATTAAGTTGTTTGCCCGCCTGGCCACCACATGCCTGGAGCTCCAGGACCTACCAGGCATTGTTAGAGTGAGTGTCGAAGGCTCTCCTTTGCTCCCTCGATTGGTGGGAACTCACTTACTCACTCGAATCATTTGCAGCTCTGCGACCATGTCTTGGACAAGCTGCAGCACTTCAATGGCTCCAGCGACATTGAGGTTCAGGAGCGAGCCAGCTCTGCCTGCATGCTCATCGAAATGCTGCGCACCCAGCTGACGGCGACAGATGAATCCGCCATGGTCATGGAGACAGCGGAAAGCGGCATACCGCCGCTGGCCATCGAGATAGTTCAGGAGATGACGCTGCTTTTTGCTGGGGAGCTGATACCGGTGGCACCCAAGGCACAGCGAAAGGTGCCGCTGCCAGATGGCCTCGATTTGGATGAATGGATCAATGCCCCGCCACCGGAAGACAATCCGAGCAGCTCCTCCTCCGAGCATGACAAGGAAGAGCTGTTTGTGAGTGCCGCCCAAGCGGGAGGGGGCACAGCGATGGGCCACGATGGCGGCCACGGTGGAGCGGGCAAGCGACGCAAAAGCCTAGAACTGACGCCCGAGCAGATGGAGAGACAGCGCCTGGCCCGCCTCATCGAGCAGTCGAATAATCCGCATTACCTAAAGTCCACGAACGCCTCCGCCTCGGCAGCAGGGGCGTCCAATGCGGATCAGTACGACAACATAGATGATATACCCATAACGGAGCTGCCACTGGACATGGATGGCGTGGCGGCACTACGTGTGGGCGGTAAGTGGACCGATCCCTGAATCTGAATCCCCTTTCTATCTCTTCTCGTTTTGCTCTCAGTGACCAAGCGTTCGGACAAGTATCTGCAGGATCAGCAGGCAGCGGCGGCCTTGCAAGGCGGCGGCGCCGGCAAAGATGGCAAAAAGAAGCATAAAAAGAGTAAAAAGAGCAAAAAGGCAAAAAACAAAGTGGCCTACAACAGCAGCTCCGAATCGGAAGGAGGTAAGTGAAGGCTCAACTCCTTGGGGCCGGTCTAATTGAGAATTATTTTTGGTGCTCTTCCGATAGAACCAAAACCCTTGCACATTGTCAACACCACACTGGACATGCCCGAGGGCGTGTCGCTTTCAGACAGCGAGGATAAAGACGGCAAATACGATCCCAATGATCCACATAGAGCTTTAGATATTGAACTGGATATGTGAGTGTTTTGTATTGGAATCCTTGGGGGAGTAAACTTATATCGGTTGTCGTTTTCAGAGCGGACTTTGAGGCGCCTGCGGCCAGCAGATCAGCGTCCAAAAAGTCCAAGGAGGGCAAAGAGAATCTCAAGGTGCCAGCGGAACCAGCCACGAACAGCACCTCCAAGAAGGAAAAGAAAAAGGACAAGGACAAGACGAGGGAGCACAAGCGAGAGCGCAAGGCGCATACTCAGCCAGTGGTCGTCGATCTAATCGATGCCGATACGCCCACGCCCAGTCCCAGGCATGCTCCTCCCGCCACCACCACCGCCAACGCCAACAACAGCCTCAACACTTCATCAACTGTCCTTCCAGATGCAACAACCGAGGAGCATCACAAACAGCATAAAAAGAAGAGGAACAAGGAGAAAAACAAGGAGGCAGCAGCGTCAGTGGCGGAAGAGGCAACAGCAGCTAGCGGCAGCATCATCGATGTAGAGGATGATGCCAGCACGCTAGTGGCGTCCAAGACGCACAAGAAGAAACATAAAAAGGAGAAATCGCGACGAAAGGAAAAGAAGGAAGAATCAGAATCAGCAACCGCGTCCGTTTCGGCAGCCGACTATGAACAGCCACTGGGAATCTCAACGCCCAGCAAAGAGATTTTTTAATTTGTAAGATCTAAGTTCCATTATTATTATTATTATTATTATTATAATTATTATATACATATATGTATCTCCTGTATTCTATGATTTTTTTTCTACTTTATTCTCACTTTTTCTTCCCATTATTTGTTTAAAACTAAACAAGCAAATGCCTCCTAAACAAACAAAAAAAAAAAACTGAACAAATTATCGCTGCGATATAAAAACAAAAACAAAAACCAACATTGAACAAAACATTGGAAAATCTATATAAATACAAAAAACCATATATAAGAAATGAAACCTTATAAATATATAAAAAAAAACTTGATTATATAGAAATGTAATTTTAAAAACAAAAGAAAGAGCCGCCAGTCTGCCAATTAGCGGCTTAAAAGCAAAACAAAACAACATGAAACAATTAGAAACAAGAAACTGAAAAACTGAGAGAAAAACGATCAACTATACTACGTGTACTATCTATTTTTGATGAATTTGTAGCCTAGAGCATGCGATTCCATACCCCAACAAAAAAAAAAAAAATACAAAATCATACAAATTTATATAGATATAAAAAAGAGACTTTTTTTAACAAAACACAAAGAAACACACACACACACACATATAGAACAAGAACAAGAACAAAAGAAAACATAACTTGCATGGATTGTATAAACAAAAAGGACATGTAGAAACGTACTATATATAAAGAACGTATGAATCAAATTTAAAAGTAACTGCTATTTAAAAACATAACAATTAAATCGGAACAGAAGGAAGCTATGTGAAATTATAAATATATACATGCTACACACACACACTCACACACGTATATACATAAATAAATAATATATATATATAAAAACGTTAAATAAATGCAAAGTACAATTCAATTTGATATTCAGATATTGAATATAGCGCTCATCCGAAATTGCTGATTGGGGCTATGGACTCCGATGGCATTACTGAAGTGCAACCAGTCCAACCATTGAACGGCTTGCTCATCGGAACGGATCCATATTCAAACCTGTTCCTAAAGTCCATTCGATCATTCGATTTATGATTCCAAATGACATCTTTCGGAGCAACAGAAATAATTCACAGTATTCCGGCAGTATTGCGGTGTGTGTATTTCTATTTCTATTATGTAATTCTAAGGGAACTAGTATCGAAAGACTCTATAGGTATTGGATTATTTAACATCCAGGAGCACTTTGAACTTTGAGCGAAAGGCAAAGAACATTAACAGGTAGCTATTTCTAAAGCATATTTAGGATATTCGCCAATGCTTTAAATGTGTTGGACTAAGCTCAAATTGAAATCAACGAATACTTATATCCAGAACATAGAACAGCGCCGATCGATTTTGATTTTTGATGTCAGGACAAGTACATTTTAAGCCTCAGTAATTCCTGGCTTTCACTCAACCAAACAATTCGCCATTGAATTGTTGAAATTAATGCACGCTTCGAAATCAAATGGTAATAATTGTGCATTATTTTCTCATTTGTACCATCCGCTAGTGGCCATTATTTGTCCACTACTTAGTCCACTGGTCTCCCAAGCACGTTCTCATGTCTGGTGGCCCTTTGCTGTAATAAATAACAAGGTCCTGTCAACCGCCAGGCACAAGGAACCACGAGCAAGGCTTCTGCATTTCTGCCGTGAGTGTGAAAAAACTGACTATACCTCAAAATCACTGTTGCTTTTCAAGGTCATCCCTTGATCTATCCGGGGATCTCTAAGGGGATCCATTCATACTCTTCATTATCGAGGATTTCTTTCCGGCACCGTCTCGTTACCTCTAGGTTTTCCCATTCCATACCATTTGCTCTCTTGCGCAGACCCTAGTTAATGTGAGCTCTTTTGAATAAATATCATATTGGTTTAGAACCAACAAGAACAACATCTCATGTGCCACAGAGACAAGCCACACTTAGCCTCCCTCCTTCAGGCTCCTCCATCAAACACAAATGCCAGAAACTGTAGCACACTGTGGAGCGCAATCCGCATTCATTGAGCTTATAAAATAGGATCTTATAGTATAAAATACATCTAAAAGATATGTTCGGATTGAAGTTCTTCATTGAAAATAGGTCAAATAATAGATACAAAAAGTAATATATCTAAAAAATAGGTTAGTTTCGACTTTTTTCTTTGACTATACATCAATTAAAGTGTTTTGTTTTGATTGGTTTAATAATGCTTTTCAAAGTTATAACAAATTTAGAAAGAAAGAAATATTTTGCACACTTCAAGAGTATTTTCAATAGCATTTACATCGTATCAAATCAATTGATTCGTGGCATAATGCTCCGCTGATTCCGACAGCTTTTCCTTTCTTTTAGAAACATGAACGAGATATAACAAACGTGATGAAGTAGTGTTTAAATAGATAGAACAATTTGGCAAAAGAATATACTGTAAGCTAAAGAGTACGATACGATCAGTTCCAGTTTCAGTTCAAAGTCTACTTGACCACATATTTCTCCAGATTGGCTTCCCGACCATGCATCAGATAGTAGTTGATGGCCAATTGGGTGAAGATGCGCACCCCGCAGTGCTGCAAATGGGCCAAGTCCCTGGGCGCCAGCGGGGCCTTCTTGATGTCCACAAAACAATCGGTGGCTGTGGCCACCAGCGGATCTTGGGCAAACGGAGAGCGCGGCTCTAAAATGCAGGCCCCGCCAGCACGCAGTACATTCCGTATGGCCGCCCCACTGCGCTCATGAAGGCTGAGTATAACACGATGCTCGGAGTAGGCGCCACCGCCAGAGACACTCAGTTCCGTGCGCCAACGGTGTGCGGCCACAGCAATCACATCCTCTTCGGGGGCCAGAGTGGGAAGATTGAGGGCGCGCGGATTGCCCCACTCGTGCTGGGCCTCGTCCAGAAAGTGGCCCCGGGCATGGCACTGTTCTATATACTGGATATTGAGGATCCACTTCCCAGCGGCTATGCAGGCCAGCATTTTCTCGCCCCGATTCGGCCGCTCGCAGAGCAAATGCGTGCAGGCGTCGTCGTAGTTGACGAGATTGTCGCACAGCTTGCCGCCCAACTGCTGTATGCGGTCAATCAGCTCGGCTCGCTTCTCATCGTCGTCGCCGCAGGAGATGCTGAAGCATGGTGTGCCCGCATGCTGCATTCGTGGCGAGCCCGAGGAACGCCTCTTGGCCGCATTGAATTCGGCTGGGTCGCGCCAGTCCACCATGTCCTCGGTGCCCAAAGCAAAGCCCTCGGACTCGAAGGGCTGCACAAACTGCACCTCGCTCTCGGCGGACTCCAGGTGACTGTCGTGGCTGCGCTTTAGGCTGTTCCGCCGGCTCTCGCAGTTCTTCAGGTAGTCCGTGATCTGCTTGACGTCCGGAGAGTTGTGGCGATTGAGGGGCTCTATTGCCGCAGCCGCCGCCCCCGCTGTGGTTGTCTCCTCAAAGCTGATTTTGTCAAAATTAATGGTGCTCTCGGCCGCTCCCACGCCTCCAGGACTCTGAGTGCTTGGCACGAATGGGGATCCCGATGCGGAGCCACTAAGCAGCGACACAGACACTCGTGGCGGTGTCTTCTTGGCTGGACTTGGGGGTTTCGGCTTTGTTGTGGCTTTGGGTGTCTTCGGGGACCTCCTATCAAAGTTTAGCTTTTGATTCTTCTGGATCGGCGGTGGATTCTCCTCCTCCACGTCGTCGTCGTAGTCAATGCCCAGCGTCTCGCAGGTTATCCGCATCACCCGCTTCCTGATCACCGATATGGGTGTGTCCGGCTGGATCGCCTGCGTGGGCAGGCGCCAGCGTCGCTCAAAATCATCGGCCATCCGCTGCTTAAACTCTGGCGTCAAGCAGAACTCGGGTATGCCCGGGGCCGGTCGTCGATTTTGGTGGCTCACCGGCGTACAGGCCTGCCTGCGAATGCGCTCCAGTTCGGGCGTTTGGTTCTCCCGCATCTCGCGTATGATCTGGCGCACACACTCCTTGCCTTCGTCCGTGTCCAGGCGTTCGACAAACTCCTCCAAAAAGTCGAAATTGTACCCCTGGCTGTACACCTGGTTGATGGGGGTGCGTGGCGAGTCTGGAGGGGATGGGGAACCGCTGCTGCTGCCGCGCCGAACACCCGCCAGCTCCGAGACGCGACGATTGCGCAGCGGCGTTAGCTCTGGAGCAGGAAGTAAAGGTACGACTGGAGGGGGAGCGGGAACGGGAACGGGGATAGCTTCTGGCTGATTTTCAGCCTCTTCCCGAGCCACACTGGACATGGCTGACTGCTGCTGCTGATCCGTTTCCGACTCTTGGCGACGTGGTGTACGCAAATTGCTCTCTTTCAATCGCGGGGAAATCGAGGGAAAATCGGCTTGACTCTTGCCCACCAAATGATCGACATATGGGAGCTTCTCACCCGCCTGGGCGCACTGCACCAGCCAGGCGGACGTGACCACCGGATAGTGCCACTTGATGGCCCCCTCATACTTGGAGCCCTCGGCTGTGGGACACACCAGTAGGGGTTTCTCCTTCTTGATGAACGTCTTGTTGACCGAAGCGCCCAGTAGTGTGGCCACCGAATTGATAAAGTCCCGCTCCAGACCCGCATAGATGGACACCACAATGGTCATGCCCGTGAGCGGCTCTCGGCTGGCTGCGGACGGCACTGGCAGGTGATAGTATTCGGCAGGCAGGAGCTTGTTTTGTTTCATGCAGCTCTCGAGGAACAGTTCGGTGACCACGTGACGCGCTCGTATGGGCAGACTGTCCGGCTCGAAGGTCACCTCAAAGCTAACAATGGCATAGTCCACCTCATCGGAGAAGCTGGCCGGGACCAGGAGACCCTGGGCAGCCTCGCATTCGCTCAGCATTTGGGTGTAGAACTCTGTGTTGAAGGAATCCTTGTGCACGTAGACAGAGACGCCAGTGAAGTAGTCCAGTTTATCGAAGTCTATGGACAAAGTGCTGGCACTGAGATCTGGCAGGGGCAGGGCTCCAGCCACCGCTGATAGGCGTCTGCTGAGAGGGGCAGCGAGGGCCGGACGTACCTCCATTTGAGTGGAACTTGCTGCCGGATTGAGGAGCATGCTCACTTCTGGATTGGCCACAGCTGTGGGCGGCAGCTGTGCCACTGGCTCTTGGTCCTGCGAATACTGATTAAGCAGCTCCACGTCCATATCCTGGGGCTTCTCCTGCTCTGGATCTGGTTCCCCTTCGAATAGCTTCTTCTTGATGGGCAGCTGCGGCTGCTTGAAGCTGTGGTTCATCGATCGCAGTGTACGTTTGCTGGCGGGTGAGGCCACATCTGGCTCTCGGGTCTGCGGCAAGGAGACCCGATGCACCACTTCGTTGACCAGACGACCAAAGCGTATGCTCTCCAGCAGCCAGTCCAGGCGCACTACATGAACGGTGCCCATGAGGCCATCTCGCTCCCATTGCCGGTACTCGGTGTCGTCCAGTTGGCCGACAATAATGTGGGATATGCCCTCGTTGGCCTCATCGTAGCGTGTGGCACCGCATGTGTTCAGGACACGATTGAGCTTCTCGCGCTCCTCCGTGCGAAAGCCGCTGAGGTAAACGCAACAGCCATCGAGGAGGGGCCCTGCCTTTTTGGCCTGACGCGGACAGATCTCGGCCAGAACTTGCTGGTAGTTCCGACTGCTACCGCTGCTGCTGGTTGTGGCCTGCTTCAGGAGATCCTTGGCTGGGGAGCTGGCGGCCAGGCTGCTCAGCGTCTCATTCACGGTGGTCATGTCGCTGCACATGCGACGGGAGCCAGAGACAAAGCTAATCCTGGACAAATCCGACAGCTGGGTCTGGTCGCCCGGCCCTGTGCATGCCGCCGAGTGACGACTGCTGCTGCTCTTGGTGGGCGTGGAGACCTTCTTGCCGGCGCGCACCTCGTAGTTTTTGGTGGGCAAGGCATACCCACGACTGTGGCTATCGAATATCCATTCGGGCAGCAGGACATCCTTCTTGAAGCGTATTGCCGCCTTGTACTTTTCGGTGTCCGTCTTGGACTGCTCGGTGATCACGATATCCACCACCTGAGAGCGAAAGGCGCGATGGTAGATCCCACCATTATCATTGACCAGACGCATCACCTGATCCTTGCGCGCCACATCGAGACCGCTGCACGTGATGTTCGCCCCAAAGAACGTGGGCAGGCGGTACTTGTCAAAGTCTGAATCTATGGCTCGAATGCTCTCCTTTTGCCGCTTGCGACTCTGATCCCAGACGTACTGCACCCAATCGACGTGCATCACGGGGACACCGTTCAGCGTGGCCTGCTCATATTTGTTGGACTTGATGGTGTTTGAGATGAGGTGGGTGGTGCGGTGGCCGAAACTCTGGAAGTATACGCCGCCCATCCATTTGATCAGTTTGCTCAGCTCCTCCTTCTTTTGCGGTGTGATGCCGGTGGCAGAGACCAGCAGATCCCGCATGGCCGTCGTGTAGATGGCACTGCTGCCCAGCGGTATGGGCTCGTTGTGCCTCAGGCACGACACCAGGCAGGGCGGACCCAGTATCAGGGCCTTGGTCATTTGCAGTTGCTGAAAGAAATCGCCATCAAATTGGGCCAGCACGAAGACATCCTTTTTGGTTAGATTGCCGGCTGCTATCAGGGGATAGCCCTCGCTGGGCTTGATCTGGCGTATCTGGGTCTCGGCCAGCTGCTGGCCCATCAGCTCCAGTGCCGTCGTGAACTGCTCGAGGGTGTCCGGCTCATTGCTGTCGCTGGATTTCAGGTTGTTCACAAAATACGCGCAGATGGACTCATCCAGGCTCATCGTCATTTTGCTCGTTGCGTTCACTTCTGGTATTAAATTATTGTTTTTCTTTTTCGCAACGTTTTCACATACGCTATTTTGGCGCCCGTTTGTTGTTGCCCTTCAAGGCAGGGTCGCTTTGACTGCGATAGTGGAAAAACACTGCCTGATACAACACCAAACACTCAGCCGATAGTGCTATCGATAAGTGCAGGGCTACACGATACTCTGTGTTATCGCACTTTGTTGCTCTGTAATCGCAATATTGAGGAAAGGAAAGCAAAGGAAAAGAAAAATAGTTTGGGAACAAACAATAAAATCAACATACAGACAGTCTATACGGGCTACAGTTTAGTGAAAAGCCAAGCCAACCCAACATCCTCCCTCATAAATGGGCAACTTTGTGAGCAGGCAGAACGCGGCGGTCGAGGAAGCAGACCAGATACCCAACAATGCCTACAAATATCCGCCTCGAATGGGCAACTTCTTTGGCACTCACTTCATAATGGGCGGCGAGCGCTTCGACACGCCCCAACCGGAATCGTATCTGTTTGGTGAGAATGCCGATTTGAATTTCCTGGGCAATCGACCCACGGCCTTCCCCTATCCCCCGCCTCAGGCGAATGAGCCAACCAAGACCCTAAAGAGTCTGGTCAACATCCGCAAGGAGTCTGTGCGTTTTGTTCGTGTGCCAAATGACAAGAAACCGGACTGTGTGGATGCCGCCGCCAGCCCCATAAAGGAGAAACCCAAGCCGATAGAGATCCTGGATGATTTAGACAAGACGAATGTAACCATTGAGGATGTCGACGGGAATGTCCTCTGCTCCATGGGCCTGGGCGGTGGCAGTTCGGACTCTGTGGCCCCGCCGCCGCCCTGCTGCTACAACATTGAGTTCACCTTCGATTCGGACGCCAAGTGTGCGATCACCGTGTACTATTTTGCCAGCGAGGAGGTCAGTCCCAGCGGCGTGACCTTGGTGGCTCGCGAGGGCCTCACCTCGGAGACGTATCACTTTGACAAGGGTATCAATCAGAGCTTCTCGCAGCCGGGGCATGTGTTCAATCCCCAAGTGATACCCGAAGATGATTTCATTTATAATTCAGGCCGAGAGCAGTATCCCGTGGCCATACACTGTGTGGTGGAGGAAGGCAACGACGAGTGCCGCCAGTCGCACACGACCATCTGTGTGATCGACCATCACCCAGAGACGAACAGCTATGTGCTGCGGGCCCTCAAGCAGAAGATCTTTGTCGATGGGTTGTGCTATCTGCTGCAGGAGATCTATGGCATTGAGAACAAGGCAGTTAACAAGTCCTCCATTGACGAGGATATCGACGATCATGGCAGCGAGTGTGTCATATGCATGAGTGAGACCCGGGACACCCTCATCCTGCCCTGTCGCCATCTCTGTTTGTGCAACTCGTGCGCGGATTCGTTGCGCTATCAGGCCAACAATTGTCCCATCTGTCGGGCTCCGTTCCGGGCTCTGCTGCAGATACGGGCCGTGCAGAAGGGCATCAGCACTCATGTGCTGCATCAGAATACCCCGACATCGGCTGGCGGGGATGCGGCGCCCGTGGATGTGCCACCGGGATACGTCCCCGTTTCGCTAATTGAGGCACTCAATGGGCCACCACAGTATGTGGCCAGGGCCAGGTGAGAGTCAGAGCCATTCCGCCTCAAGAAACGACTGTTTAATCCTCCTTTTCTTTTGCAGGACAAGCGAGCATGACATTACAGACACCGCGGCCACTGTGGCCGCCTCCACAATGACCAGCAGCGACATCAAGGCCACCTCGCCCGTGAAGTCCAACAGCACGCGTCGTCCCAAGATCAAGAAGAATGCCTCAACGTGCACTTCGACCAGCGAGGTGGGGACCATCACCACCCCCCAAACAGTTGGCGGCACCTCTGTGGTGGAGATCGAAAGCGATCCCAAAAAGACCTCGGCCACGGCCACTTCTACCTCACCCACCACACTGGTGCAGGAGGAGGCCAAGCAGGACAAGCTGCAGATTGTGAATGAGCGTAAGTACCCCACAGCCAGAGGAGCAGGGACAGGGACTGGATCGGGAGGTGATGCCTCTGCTGGCACCGATGACGATGTGGACAGCGAGAACGAGAAGCTTTCGCCATTGCTATCGCCGGGCAGCAAGAGCAGGAACCGCTCGAACAAGTCACTCAAGCAGGTTGTGGCCTGCCTGGAGGCGGACGATGCGGACAAGAAGGGCGGCAGCGGCAGCATCTCGGGAGCAGGTGGCGATAGTGGAGTGGCCAGCGATGAGACGAGCAGCAAGAAGAGCGGTGCCTCGCTCAAGCGAGCCAAGCCCAGGCCCGAGCTAACGAGCAGCAGCGGTGGCAGTGGTACGGCTGGTAGCTCCGCTGAACCGGCGGCTGATGATTCGGACTACTATACGCCCGAGGATACGCAGAACTCGATACTAAGTCCACTCTGTCCCACGGAGAAGGAGCGAGAGCGGGCTAAAAGCGGTGACCCGCTGTGCGGAGGAGCAGGCGGCGGCAATGCAAGTGGTGGCAGCCGTGGCGGTGGCGTCGGGGGAGGCGCCACCCCGACCAGTGTGGTGGTGGGCTTTAGCAGTGCAATGAAGAAGAATCTACATAAGAAATCCACCTCGGTGGGCAACATGGTGGGCTCCGGCTCGGGCGCAGTTGTTGACTTGAAGTCCAACAATGTTAGCTCCCTGCCAGGTAGGATTTCCTCCTCTTTACATAACGGAAACGGTACCCCTTTAAATGATTTCTCAACCCGTTTCAGATATGCTGGATAGTCCGATTAGCGGCAATTCGGCATCCACACGCAGCTCCAGTGATAGCTACTCATCCAGCTCATCGACAAAGCAATTGCTTAGCTCGAATCCAACCACAACGGCGGCCAACATCATTGTGGACGATAAGACGGCTCTGCAGAATGCAGTCAATGTCTGAGGCAAAACCAAAACTCAATTTTGGTTTTATATCTAAACGCTTGTTTATCCTTATTTATTTCTGTAGTATTGTAATTTTTAGTTAAATCGAACGAACGCTGGCGACGAGTAGGAGGAAGAGCCGGAGAAGGGGAATAGGAAGAAGGATGAGTCGGCAGCAACCAGGAGGGACACTTAACCAGTATATAGACAGACACACACACAAACACACTTACCCGTACACTAACCCACATATGTCTAGCATGCATGTGTATGTAGTTTAATTAATGTAGATTAATGGCTTGGGTATATTACAACAATACAAACAATAATAAATTGTGCTTCGGGCACAACATTCCAAAATTGATAACAAATCGTTTTTAGTGATGGGACTGCTTCCAGCTGGTCAGTCGATTATACCCAGGTCCAATATATTCCAAAATGATTGTGTAATTGATTTAAGAGTTTGCCCAGAGAATTTCCTTCTAATATTTAAGGGATTTAATTATTAATTAAACAAAATTTTTCTATCGATTAGAGCTATGAAACTTGTGTCATGCTTGTTAGCTTTTTGCCAAATGGCTTTACTATCGACACTTTGCGTTGGACATTATTTCAGTCCAGACTAAACAAATATTGTCTTCTACTAATTATTTTTGTTAAAATAAATAGTTAAATAAGCTTAACTTCTATCGATAACTATAGTGTCATAGGAGTTAGCTTTTTGCTCGGCATGCATGACCATCGAAAGTTCGCGCTGCCATCACTAGAGGTCACAATTGGGCAACATTTTGTTTACTTTCGCCAATATTTAAACATTTCAATCAGAGTTAATGAAATATAACGACTTCAGCTTGAATTGTGCACAAGTTTGAGCGGGTTGTGGTTCGGTGCTAAGGTATGTACAGTTACCAAATCTCAGTGTCCAGTACTACCTACCCCCCCACTCACGTGTCGTCCGGTCAAGGGTCCTGCTAGTCTTGTTTTTTATGGGTTGTTTAATGGTATGTGCGTTCTGCCGATTGCCGGACTAGTGCGTAATTGATTTTTTGTGGTCTCAATTATTTATTTACCCAGCAGCAGCCCCCTATCACCTTTTATGAAGAGCCTCTGGTTCGTTTTTTTAAATGTTTTTTTATTGCAAATTTCCATAGAAAAACTCCTGCGAACCGTACACAAAAAAAAGCACACACACGTTTTAACATTATTTTATGGATATTAATCATAGGTACAGATTTGATTTAATATACGCATTATCCACTCTATATGGTATGCTGTATATATATGTATTTGTATGGGATATAACTATATTAATTTTGACTAGTCCTTTTTGCATAACAAACTTTTGGGTTGAAAATTCGACTAAAAATTTCGATTTAAAGCGAAACAAAAATAATATGGGGTGGGCGGTAAGGGGAACTAAATTGAACACTAAAACACACATTCAATAGCCTCCTCCTGGTGATGGAAGGATATTGGTGTAGCAGCAGCTGTAGCTGGTTTCTTGGGAGGAAAGTGTCTAATGGGGGGGTCTAATGGGGGTTGTGTGGTGTATCCTACTTGGCAGCTCCGTTGGACAAAGTGCGGTTCTTGCGCTTCTTCAGCTTGGTCTTCACCTTGCGCACCAGATTGACCGTGTCCAGGTTGATGGCCGTCGTGGACGATTTGCTGATCTGTATGGTGGTGCTGCTGTTTCGCTGATACTGCAGCAAACCACCACCGCCGCTGCTAATGCTTCCAGTTGCTGCTCCGAGTCCTGCATTGTGCCCCGTGCTAGGCTTGCCCGGCAGTCCTGCTGCATTGCGCATCCGGCGAGAGCTGCTACTGCTGCCGGGCGCCATGCCTGGCTGCTGGACGGCAGTGACCACTAGTCCGCCCGTCTTGAACTTGCTGGTACGTCGTGCATGCTGGGGATTGATCATTCCAGCGGAGTAATGGCGTCCGCTGCCCGAACTGGCCACCGATGGATTCTTGAACATCATCCGCTGGCCCTGAGGCGGGTGGTGCTGCTGCAACTGGTGCTGATGCTGGTGCTGGTGTTGCTGCTGCAATGCCGCACCGCCGGAACTGCCGCGGGTGCGGGCAAAGCGAGTGACCAGCTGCGTGGTCTCGGCAATCTTCATCATGCTGCTCGACTTGCGTTTGACCTTCAGACCACTACTGCTGGCATCGGGGCCAAAGCCGGACGCGGTCTTGACACCCAACGATTGTTTCTTGCCCAACTGCATGGGCTTGAACGAGCGCATCGCCTCTCGCTGCTGTTGATCCTCTACGCGTATGAGACGCTGCGGCTGCGTTTTCTTGTGCTCCTCCTGTTGCTGCCACATTATAAGTTTCTGGGAGCAGGCGCTGCAAAGTGGTTTGAGATTTATCTGCAGAAGTAAGACCCTCTATTGAACACTTACTTGAACAAATCCACTTGCTCGAGTTTCGACCTGTGCTTGCGTGTGGCACCCAAAAGGGCGGGCGCTGCTGCTCCTGCTGCTGCTCCTGCTGCTGCTCCTGCTGCTGCTGCTGTAATGCCTCCACCCGCCTCTCTGCCACTGGCAACGAACATGGGGCGGCTTCCTGATGCTCCTCCTCCTCCCCCACCAGCGCTGCGTATGGCATTGGCTACATTGGTCATGTTGCTCATCTGAGCCTGTGACTGGGCCTGGGCCTGGGCCTGGGCCTGACTCTGGTTCATGTGACCCCTAACCCAGGAGAGCGGTCGTCCATCGGGCTCCCCATGGACTCCTGTCCAGATTTTTTTCTTCAGCGATAGCTTGAGCTGCAGATCATCCGCTGAGGACGTGTTTGTGGCATGTCGCTGGGGTATAAAGTTGCTGGGAACATTCCTGTGCACAGAAAAAGGATCAATGGAGATCGGGGGTCGGGTGTCGATCGATTGATTGGCTTACCTTCGTGGCGGTGGCTTGATCTTCATCGCTGCCTTGGCCTCGTTTATATAGAAATTGGCTGCATGTTTGCTGATGCTGTTGCTGTTGCCGGAAAGCGCCGCCTCCTGGTCGAGATTGTGCCACGAGTAGGTACGCCTGGCCGACGACGTTACTCCACTGCTGCTGCCCTGCTGCTTGTACATTCCCATGCCCAGATTCGCTCCGCCATCCAGTTCGGGAGCTGTGCGTGGCGTTAGCTTGTAGATGTCGAGCTTCTTGCCACCACCAGGGGTATTGCTCTTCGAGGGCGTGGTCACAATCAGCTCCGGTGGCATGTGGGCGGGCTTTGGCTTCTGCACCACCGTGTCGCCGATCTCCTCGATGTAGCGCCTCTGCAGATCGCTCTGGAGCAGGGTGTGCCGCAGAGGGGCCACCGCCCCGTAACCACTCGGCCCGCTTGTGGGCGAGTGCTCCTCATCGTCGGTGGAGAAGTGCAGATCGGAGCCAGGATCGGTGGTGGGTAGATCCAGAGTGGTGCGCACCACCTCGCCGCGCTTCTTGACCGCCTTGTTGCGCACACGAGTGCGACGCGTCTGTAAGCACTAATGAGGATTACCGGTGGAAGGACAGTGATTATTCTCGTGAGTGAAGTGCAGTGGTGGACTCTGGTGGTGGGAGGACTCTACCTTCTTGCGGCGATATATGAAGATCTTGCGATTGGCCAGCCACAACCGAAAATTACGATCCACATGCAGCTTGGGATTCGATGGCGGCTTCTTCTTCTCCGTGGGCATAAACTTCTTCTTCTTGGACTTCTGTTTAGACGAACCCCCCGTGCTACTAGCCCTAGCCTGGCTCGTGGCAGCACCGCAGGTTGTCCTTCCCACTGCTGGCTTCTTTTGTGTCTCTGTGGGAGTGGCTGTCTCACTATCCTGCGATTGGGAGCTCGATCCAGTGCTGTCGGAGCTTTCCTTTTCTTTGTGTTTCTTTGGGGATTTCTTCAACTGCTTGCGCATAAACTGATCTGCCAGCAAAGCGCTGGCCTCTGAGCCGGCGGCGGGAGCAGCACCACCACCTTTGAGGCGCTTGCCAACGGGCGGCGCTGGCGTCTTGGTGACACCCATTTTGTGGCGGCGTCGCTTCAGTGTGGTGAGGGCCTTAAACTTGCGCTGGAACAGCGGCGTGAAGTAAATGCGATCCAGTTCGTGCATCACCTTCCTCATGCGACGCACGCGGAACTGCATGTTGCAACAGGAAAGGGCAGGGCAGGACAGGGGCAGGTCAGGGGCAGGGTAGCAAGGTGCATTACGGTGCTGTGAGTGGATTGAAGCAGCACCACCTACCTTTCGTATCTCATGCACGACCTCGGGCGAACTGGGCGGAGCTCTTATGGGGGCACAGCAGGGTCCCTCGAGGTCGGAAGCCGTGATTGAGTGCTTGCCCTCGTTGTCCGAGCTGGAGCTGCAGTTGCCCTCGTCGCTAGGTGGGGGTGGGGTTAAAGGTCGCAACAGAAATTTTTGAAGGGTTAGTATTGGGTGGCTCTGAGAGGTTTATACAGTTAGTAAATTAGGGGGCAATCATTGAAACCCCAACCCATCTATCCCTTCATTCGTTGCGACTTTGCGTATGCCCCTGATTTATTCTGTAACAATTTCCCATAAGCGTATGGACACACACACAGATGAAGCAGGAATAAAGTACTGCAAAATCAGCTGTTTTTTGATTGTCAGTCACGTGTGAACGCGGAAAGGCAAAAAAGCTTGGAAAATACTCCAATATTACAGGAAAAATATACAGCCAGTAGAAAAGAATACGATTTTTAGAAGGAGTACAGTATTACACCTGACTGTTTTTTGCCAGTCACATGCAAACTACGAATATAGATAGGAAAATACTCCACTATTATAGGAAATAAAATACACTTAGTAGACAGTTAATACGATTTTTAGAAAGAGTATAGTTTTGCAAAGTCAGCTGTTTTTTTTTGCCAGTCACGTGTAAAAGGGAATATAAAATCCTACGCAAAAGCAACACTTAAACCCCATATGCTTTTAGGATCTACCAACAACAACTGAGTAGTCCGTACCTTGAGTAATCCGATAATGGTATATTCAATGGCTCGTCTGCACTAGAGCCTTCTCTCATCAGTCTTTCGATGATTTTGGATCGCAACCTGTCCTGTTGTTTGAGTAAATTTAAAATCTATTGTAAATGTTAATGCATTTGGATTAGTTAGAAATCATAACCAGGCGAAAAGTAAAAAATAATCTTAATTAAAGAAAGTAAAAATATATAAATATCATAAAAGAAAATGTGGAACAAATACAAAGCAGAAAAGCATCAAAGAAATCAAAAACTGAACTACAATGTGGATACAAAATCTACTGTATAGATGGTATTTATTTCAAAAAATAATATTCTCCGGTTATAATAATACGCTTCTTTTTGCTTAGGACTAAACAAATTTAAACTAAAATTAAGGTAAAGTAAGGGTTAAAAAAAAAAAACAATCAAGTTATAGAATAATTATTGTAAGAGAAATAGAGTTCCGAGAGAGTGCGCCTGGCTGTAGAGGATGGCTGTGCTGTGTGTACATCTAATATTATATGTAGTATAAAATACGTGGGATATTGGGTGGATTGATAGTGTGGTATATAAACGATATATATATATATCCTCCCATTGCGTGTATAGGATCTCTGGGGAACTATCCACGCAATTGGGAATTCAAAAACATCAGAAAAACTACGATACGCGCAAATAGACAGCATTCAAATTAATTCAATGCCGTACATACGTACATATGTATGTATATATCTATAAATCTCTATATCTATATATATAGATCTTTGGCTCTGGCCGATGTGTGGGACGCTGCTTACGCGGTTTTTCTTCTCTTCGCAATTTTCTCATCGTGTGTGGGATCGTGTGTGTATATACATATATGGGGTATATGTTGTATATATGTATGTATAAATATGGGATCTGATTTGTCAGCACAGCACAGCGCGATAGCGATACGATAGGATTACGATTATCAGGCAAACAACAGGGATAACAATTCCGATAACGATAACAAATACATGTTTAGAGCGAGAGATACATCATGGGCACTACAGCGGCACTACTACTTGTATGGTATACTCTGTGTTTGTTTTTGTGTGTGTTTGATTGTAGTGTTTGAGAAAGAGTTTCCGGAGAGAACCGTTCCTAGGAGACACTCTTCTCCACAGAACGTTTCACTTTCAGTTTGTCGTTCATTATACATCCCTGATCGGCCATTTTCTGTAATTTCAATGCTTTCTGTTCGCGTTTCTCGCGTTTTCTTATCTTTTTGATTTGCCTATATAACTTTGCATGGCGCTTTACTTTGTTTGGATTCTCATCGCAATAGTCCAACAGTGTCTCACAAAATGCACGTCCCATGTGTTCGTAATCCTGCGAAAAAAACACAGAAACAAAGAAACAAAAAGGGCATCAGAAGAATAGCTATCATCTGATGTGATAGAGCGGTGGGCAGGCATTTGGAATTATTTGAAGGAGTCCAAAAGTCAGCGAAACTCGAACTCACGACATGTATGTTGTTCTTTTGTTTATACCATTCTCGAGACATTCTCTTTTGCAGCCCTCCGCTTTACATTCTATCATCCTGGAGGATCGATCACCCTTACCTGCGTATTGAAGTGCGTTCCCTTGCGTGAGCCCAGCGAGGAGCCACCAAAGGATGCCTCAATCGTATAGCTATTGGTGATGCCCAGCATCCAGACCACAATACGACCAGTGCCCTCTTTGCTGCGTTGTATTTTGAACTTGCAGCTCTCGAAGGAGAACTGCAATCAATCAATCGAATCGAATCGATTAATAATCGATCAAGTTCCTCCAAGTGCATATATTACTCACCCGGTCCGCACTGTTCTTGTGCAGCATTAGGGGGAATACCTGCTCGGTGAGCTTCTTCTCCGGATTCCGCTTGTTCTCACAGCCATAAATAAATATGTTGTGCTTGCGTGAGTGCGCGTGCATATCACAGTACATGGCCACGCCGCATTCCTCAATCAGTCTTAGCAGTGAAGTGAATAGAAAGCATTAGTATGGAAGATATGCACTCGGACTCTGACTCCTTCTCACCTTCTAATCATGGCTTTTGTATACCAAATGGATGGATATGTCTCACGGATAACCGTGCGATATTGACGGTTCAAATCCTTGCCGGTCAACGAATTGCGCGTATTGCCCACGATCACACCATCGGGATTCAGCATTGGCACTAGCTTGAAGATAAACTTGTGGCGCAGCCGCTTGGCCACTGTCGTATCGCCAGTGATAAAGTCCATCAGTCCCTTCATCATCCATGAGGCGGGCGTTTCGCTTGGATGGACACGTGCCGAAACCACAATCGATTTTTTGCGCTGCTCCAGGAAAAGGAGAATGGATCACAGATCGAAGATCACTTAGATCTGTGGAGGCTTACCCGCATATTCTCTTCGTTACTGGACGGCGCCGTCACCGTCAGATAGTAGACATTATTCCCGGCCAAAGTCCGGCAGAGCAGACGCAGTTTACAAAACTTTGACTTGACCGGATGACGCTGGATCTCCATGAGATAGTCCTGCAGATCGCTGTACGTGTACGGATAGCTGTGGGCAAAGTAAACCGTATCCTCATCGTGCTCAAACTCAATGGTGAATGTGAGCGTGTATGTGGAGTTGTCCTCGTCCTCCTCGTTGGCATTATTGCTGGTACTTCTTCTTGGGATGAGAAGAATCAATTAAGAGATCTGAATATGCCAGTAGAGAGAGAGAGGGATATGGTTTTTGGGACTTACTCGTCATCATTCCGATAGTAGCAGATATTGTCGCCACAGCGCCGCCAGCCCTCGTTCTTCTGCTTGGCCCCCAGGGTGGAGTACATGACCGGCTGCATGCCATCGTTGTAGAGGCTGTCGGACTTCACGAGATTCACAATCGAGAAGCGATAGAGCATCTTGCGGCGCGTGCGTCGGACACGGAAGTAGAACCACTGCTTGGAGCGGCTCGTGTAGAGATCGGGACGCAGGTACAGCTCGTAATAGGTGGGCGTGATCTGTACCGCTTTGGCCAGGTTTCCGCTCTCGAAGCGGGACTCAAACTCGAGGCCGTCGTACTCCTCGGGATTCATGGGATGGCAGTTCGTGACGAATTTTGCACCGCCCACCGCCGAACGGCTGAACTGTTCTTGTGGTAGAGGATTAGAAGAGGATAACAACGATTGAGACGAGGTGTTCGTCTCCTGATTAGTCGATGATTCTTGACTCTGGAACGATTGCTGCTTCAGCAGGGATGAATCTTGGCTCAGCCTGTAAGCATTAAGGCTACTCGTGATAGTGCCTGTGCTACTGCCAGGAATGGTGCTAGTGCTAGTCAGAACCCCCGTCCCACCCTTGAGTCTATCCATGGAGTTTGGCTCTGTTTCACCATGGCGTGCCCCCCTTGAAGCAGTTCCTGCCGCTGCAAGGGTAGCCGCCTGCGAATATGGTATATTGCTGCCACTTAGCATGAAGGACCTCTTCCGTGGGGGCTTGCCCTTCTGCTGCCCCCCAGCTGTGGGTGGGATTAGGATGGGGCTTGTCATCAAACCAACTACTTAAATATTCAACTAAACTACTAGGAAAATCAAAGATTATAGAACACATAGAAGTAGAAGGAGAAATCTCAGAGAATGAGGTTGTAAGGCGGTGATAGGATTAGTTCTATGTGTTCTGTAATCCCTAATCTTCTGTCATTTGAAGGGAGTACTTTTGGCACGAGATTGATGCTAGATCAAGGATAAAGGATCTCTAGATCTCAATCCTTTCCAAAGATCTCCTTTCGATTTGCTTACACGCTAGCTTGGTTTTGATCTTTCTTGCATCCCCCACCAGGGTTTCCGTTTCGGATACATTTCCAGAGCCACCAGAAGGCGCTGGCATATCATCAGCACCACCAGCAAGGCGGCATGAATGACATGATGTTTCCCCGCCGCTGTCGGGTGATTCCGTATCGGATTCCGTATCGGAATCGGAACTATCGGAACTTCGATTGATGCTAACATCAGTGCTGCTGAGCGGCACGTGATTACCCACCAAAGTGCTATTCAGTTCTGGGCCCGGGGAAACGGGCCGGACACTGCGCTCAAAGGCGATCTCCAGGCGAGCAATATTCTTTTTGGGCAATATGATCGGGGATATGGCATACTTGTTCGACGTCGATACCTTTTGAGTGCCGCTGGCCGATGTGTGGTGTTTGTCATCGCCATGATCTACCAGACGATCGATCACGGCCTTGGTCACATTCTTCCCGAACTGGCTGAGGATGTAGCGCGGCGACGCGGGCTTGTATTCGCTGGTGTTGTTCTTCCAGATGTCATCAATGTCACCGTTGGTGCTCTTGTCGGCCGACCTGCTCTTGGGTTTGCTGTCCGATCTGCTGGCCGTCCGGCTGTTGTGGCCAGCACTTGCCACGGCAGTGTTTTGCTGCTGTCTCTCCTCTGTGGTGGGAGTAGCAGCATTCATGTAGCGGCGCTTCTTCTCCTCGATGAGATCCTTGATGATGGCCTTTTCCCGGGCCTCGCCACTGCCGCCGCCGGCTCCGCTCGTGTCATAGTCGTAATCGTCTTCAAAATCATTGTCATCGTCCAAGGAGGCGCTGGTCGAGCGATTGTCCAGGCTGTTGATCATCTTGGAGACGCTGTTCAGCTTGCCCCCGCGACTCCCAGCCGGCTGTCGCACAGGCGTCGAGCGACTGGGCGGCGTTGAATCGATCCTGGAGTCCGACGAGTAATCCGATTCATCGCTGGACTCATCGTCCTTCTTGGCCCTGGGCTTTGCCTGTGGTTTTTGTTTTGTTTTGTTTAGTGCCAGATTCAATGAAAGAGTGAAGTTTGGATCCCTCTCCCTTCCCCCCAAAAGGGTTAGTGCAGAGTGCAGAGTGCGTGACATTTGTGTGTGCGAAATGAATCTCGAATGGGTGGGTGTGCATCCGAATTCGAGTGCAGAATACTCACATAATTGACGGCACTGATGGGACTGTAGCTGAACACAACAATGCCATTCTCCTCGCCAACGGGCCGTGGCTTCAGCTCGTTACCCGTCGGTATATTGAGCGGCTCGGGCTGGGCCGGCACATAGGGAATGTGTGTGATGCGCTCCTCGATGACCTGGAGATCAGAAAACAGAGCGAATATAAATTTACAAAAAGGAATAAATGATATTCTTGATAGTCAACAATCAGATTCGGTTTTCAGCCAAATAAAATAGGATTCACTAGTTGATTCGCTGCACAAATGTCCCATAAGCAAACGACACAAACGCTATTCTGCATCCCTCTTTTATACATAGACGGGATACGCTAATAATTATCCCTTTTTATCGGTGACATTTCCTTTAACTACTTTCCGTCAGGTGTTATTCCCCAGTTGTATTCCCAGTCAAATCTAGGACCAGATGTTGAAGGCCGCAAAAATTCTCATCGCTGGTTGTGTGTCCTTCTTAATAAGGAATTTTAGTCAAATGTCAGTCATACGATTGCGAGTCGCAGTTATTGTCGCAAGGCAACCGATGAGGATTCCCTGGGACGCCATTTGGCCATTTCGTTTGCCCCTCGTTCATTTTCTCTTCCTTGTATCCCCATCCCCTTTCTATCCACAGCTTTGGCTTTCACGTCATTTGCTGTGTTGTTATTGTACCCACAAGCTGGAGAAGCTTATTTGTTTAGCCCTGGATATAGTAGCGCTTACTTACATAAGACGGGATGGATGTGCACAGTGGGACATGGGCCACAGGGAGGTCTCAAGGGAACTTTAAAACGAGGATAGAAACATTGAGCGGCGAGTGCCGACGTTTTGGTTACCCTTAATCGAATGGACATATACTTTTTTCGAATGGAGTGAACCGAAAATCATTAGTATTTTATTTAAGGATTATATGTATCCCTTTATCCTTATCCTTCTCCCTCAGCCATAGTTTGAGTTTTGACCTGCTAGTTTTTTTTCTTACTACTTGTGACAGTTCAAACGATAGGCAGAACAGGGTTAAAATGTTCGAAGAATCGAACAAACGCAACCATAGCTCAACTATTCTCCACCACTAGACGCCTTCGCTTCGCCTGTGTAAAAAAACTGCGTTTTGCATAAACTCAACAACTTAACCCTAGCGTAAATCGTTGAAAATAAATAAATACAGTTTTTGGGTGAAATGTTGTTTGTTTATTTGTATAAAAATGAAGCTATTGTTCTGATTGAAAGCTGAAAATCAGCTGTTGTTTTTGCCAGCCACATGTAAACGTCGAATTCAACAATTCCAGCACGATCAACCGTTAATGTATGCAAACAGTTATGCTATTGGAACTTTGGTATTACATATTCGAAATATTTCGTATACCTTTGCCGTTCACGTTCCACTGTGGGAGGCGGGAGCAGAGCTTTGCTTTACATGCAAATCTGACGGTCTGTCTGTTTCTCTTTCTGTGTGTGTGTGTGTGCGTGTGTGAGCTCTGGCTTAATTGAAACATATCAGCCGTCAGTAGGCAGCTCTTTCGCGAGACGAGACCAAAACGAAAACGAAAACGAATCCCAAGCAAAAGCAATCCGCCCTCGCCCTCGCACTCGCGCTGTGTGACGTGTGCCAAAGGTTGCTGTAAATCATCCTTTTCTCTCTCTCTCTCGCTCTTTTTATATTTTTTGTTGTATATAATTCAGCTTATTTTTGTGTAGATGTGTATGTTATCAAACTAACTAACTAATTAGCTTGTTTATTTCTCTCGTCTCGCTGTCAGGCTTCCCTCGCGACTCTCTTCACTCTCCTCTCTCTGTCCCTCTCTGTTTCGCTCTGTTTCTCCCAATGGTATTGAAAACTTTATATGCCTTTATATCCGTCCATCTGTCCGCTCGTCCATTGCCAATGCCAGTGTCACTGTAGAAACAACAACAACAGCAGCAACAAAAAAATAAAAAGTCAAGTCAACACTGACGGCGTTTTTGAAATTTCACTTTTTATTCGCGTTCGCAAATGTAAACGTCAGGGCCGTCGCTTTCTATGAGGGAAAGGAAGTGAATATACAACAGAGGAATTCGAGATAAAGGAAGAACTAAGCAAGCGATCCGAGCCACCCGTAGTACCACAAGTTCCAGTTCTCATCTCTACAAATGAGAGGGACATGCTTTTTTCTGCTGTTTGCTACAAACATCTGGTAAAAATCATTATACCCTCTTTGTCAGGGGTATTAACAAGTAGAAAAGAAAAGACGATTTGCCCAACTTTCTTTGCCGATTGTTTTCCTTATTATTTTTGTCCTTAATTGCATTTAAAGTTCGTGAAACTTTGCAAATGAGTGTCTGTGTGTTCGTCTGTTCGTGTGGCAGGAAGCTTTCTTCAGAAAGGAGAAGTGGACAAGGGAGAGACGAAAGAGAAATGGTTTCCAAATACAACTCTGTTAGGGATAATCAACATCGATATGTGTGTACTGATCGATAGCTATCAGATTTGAATTCAAATTTAAATTTTATGAAATGCTTTTTTTACATTCATTGATGGCTTTTTGAGCTTTCCTTTGTTGCTTTTTTTGGCACTTTTGTTAATTGAAAAACAAAGCAATTGACAGGAAAATCTTTGCGTTTTTGTGTTCCTTTGATTCATTCAAACTACGCCACAAGCAAATTGCCCAACAATTGACCTCCACTTTAATAGACTGCCGTCGCCCCCCTCTCTCACTCTCTATGACCACTTAGCAGTCACCTCGCTCTTTTCTAGCAGTCAGTGTTAGCCAATTCTCTGGGTACACCCTCTTTGCCAGCGGGCCCCCATATTCTAGCCCATTGATCATTCCCCGATTCTACTAGCCGCGGACAGGGCGTATGTGTAATATTTGCCTAAAGCACAATTTGGCAGCAGAATCGAAAGCACATACAAATCCGTACAACAAATCAAATCAATTGTTAACATGGCTAACGATTTGGCCCAACAATTAGGCAAAAGAACAGCAAGAACAGAAATCTGATGTGCAAACAAAAAAAACACGCGGAAACGAAAGGATTTTTCATTGCACTTTTTTTGGCTAACAAATGTGTGCTGCATGCCATGGGGTTAACCGGCGAGTTAACGAGGTGTAAACGCCAATGGGAGGAGGGGGGGTGTGCACCTTTTATTTTATTTTTTGTTTTTATTGCAATTTGACCTACATATGTATTCGTAGCGGAGAGAAGAGAGGGGTGGTGAGGGGGTGGATAGATGGATGTAGGAACGGGAGGATGTTGCCTTTTTGTGGGCGCTGGCTTTTAAAGCTTCCGCGAGGTCGCACCCACCTCCAAATCCTCGGCACCTCTACTCCTTTTTAGCCACCCGCTCTCCCCCGTAAAAGATTCTCGCGCTCGCTCGTTTTATGTGCATTAATATTTATGAGGCGAGGCACGCATGTCCCCGGGATATCCTGGCAGACAAGGTGCGTGTCAAAGGCATTGAATATCCACATTACCCGCCCCGCCGCACACATCGCCCCCGAAACTAGGACACCGCTTGTCCTTCGTTCGATATTGAATTCAATGGGATGGATGGATAAATATGTGTATTTCATGGCTACAGTGTTGCACTTTTGCTCTACTACTCACCTGACACTCCACGGGCCATCTGGGGGCCTGCTGTGAGCAGTCATTGTCCTTGTCCTTCGGCAGGGCGAAAAGATCTCGCGGTTCCTTCAGTCGTGCAACGGGTCGCAGGGTCTTCTCATCCGTATTCACAACCAATTGATTGGTCTTCAGGCCCTTTGATAAAAAACTGCCAAGGAAGCCTGCAAAACAGAGACAGACAGATTCCAGGATTATTCATTACTTAACGAACTTTACTTAATTTCTATCATCTTTTCTGTCACCATCAAGCGGGGACCATTGCCCACATTTAAACCCTTAAGAAACACTCACTTGTGGCCGAAGAGTTTTTAAATTTTCGCTTGGTTAACACATAGAAAACAAATTGAAAGTATTACAAAACTTTTCGAGTTTATTCTGGTGTAAAATGTGTGTTTCGAATTATGGAAATGATTTGTTGTGAATGAAGTATCGAAATGATTACCGAGTCAAGGCTTGAGTTGACTGTTTCTGTTTCTTTGTTTCCAGCTACTGGAATGTTGGCATTTCTCGAGAGACGGGGCTCGGCCATTGAGTTTCTGATAAATCTGAGAATCTGTGGGGCAGCATTTGGCGACAACAATTCATTTCCATGTCATCCTTCTCGCTCCCCCTCTACTCTTTGTGTGGGAAAGATATTTCATTTTAATTCTTCCCCCATTTGCAGCATGCTGCCGCGACTGGCTGCAACATATTTTTTTAATTAATTTTTGGCTTTCTTTTGCCTTCCTCCCCTCCACGCCCCGCCCCTACACTCCCATCTGCTGTAGCATGCTCTGTGCTTAGACGGATTTTATTAGCGCATTAAAGCAGATTTTTGTTATTCTTTGTCCTTCTTTTTTATCTCTTTTCCGCCTCATTGGCAGCTACTTTTATTGCAAATTTTTACGCTGGAATCGAGTGGGGAAGCGGAGAGGGGGGAGGCAGCATGTGGAGCGCAGTCTGTGGAACATCTAGTGTCTGACCCACTGAGGTGTGCTTTTCCAGTGTAAAGAAAATCATTTCGAATCGTGTCAACTCGATTAAAAATCGCTAATAATAATTTGCATTTGCATAAAAGAAGATTTTTGTGCGTGTGCCCCGCGGGGGGGCATCGGCATCTCATTAAATGGCATCGCGGCATCGGCATGGGATGTGGCTAATGTTCGCGTTAAGATGAACATTAATTTAAGCAGACGAAATCTTTTCAAAGAAAGCCCCCCCATAAAAATGTTGCTCAGAGATTTACGGCCAACAGATTTGTTCGTAAACAATTTTCAAAAATCAATTCTAAGATTTTCTTCTCCTTTCTTAAAGAAATTAATTTGGTAAAGCGAAATAAGTGACAAAAAATACTTGTATGGAAAGGTGGTTCAAAATAGGGGAATAAATGGAATTCTTAACGGTTTGAAATAGGAGAATTGCAGTGGTTTCTTGGAAGAAGATCTAGGGATAGTACGCGAAGAACAAGATCAAGATTTAAACGAATGAAAAGAAAAAACTAAAGAAACTAAGGTCAAAACACACATAGATAGGAAACTATTGAGAAAATGTCTGACCAAAAATATGTGTTTTATTGGTTTATTTAAACAAAGAAATCACTTATATTTTAATATAAAAATTTATCGAAATAAATAGTATAAAGAATGACTCTTTTGTATAATTTCTAATAAATATGGTACGGTCTTTCTTATATTTTTTGTATAAATAAATAGAAAGAAAAGTTAATAAACCAAAAGATAATTGACTGAATTCTTCTAGCATTTCCTAATAATAATGGTAGGCCTTCTCTGGGAACCCTTTAAGTATTCTTTGAAGAAATTTATTCTTAAATACTTTTTTCCATCTTAAAAGATCTAAGGAATTATGGATCACAATATGTAGGCAAGTAAACAAGATTAGTAGAAGAGATCTCTCCCTAGCTATCCCTAACATCCCCTACCCCACTCAAAAGTCTTTTTTTTTTTCGCGGGGGATTGTCTTTTTGAATTATTCTCGGAACATGTCAGGGCAGATATTACTCTCGCTTGAGTATGTGTACAATTTTGCACGACACTCGCACTCATATGTAGACATATGTAGACTCTTCGTAAAAGTATGTCAAATTGTTTCACAGCTCGTTTCAATGGATTTCTGTGAATCCCCAACGCTTACCGGCAAGCAGATCACTCAGGGTGGAGGATTGGCTGCAAATGCTCCTCAAAAGAAATAAATAAATAAAAGCGAAAGAAAGACAGAGAGAGAGAGAGTGGATGAGTGGGTGAATGAGAGGGAGACACACGCACAGCTGTTTCGTTTTTGGGACCGAAATTTTGATTGTTTTTTGGCAAATGATATTCGAAAATTTCGCGTGGCACTCAAACAAAAAAAAATTAAATACAACCAAAATAAAAATGTATTTCGAAATACAATCTATAGAAAACTTTGTGTAGAACCAATAGATACATATGTAAATATTCTGAGATATATAAGAAATATAGAGATTGACAGCACAGAACCGTTTGAATTCAAATTATACTTCGATTAGGGCTTACTTTTGATTCGAAATAACGATTTATTCGAAGATTGATTCGGGGATACGCGAATTTAGTGGGAGAACGAAAGAGACTGCGTCTAGGAACCGTTTTGATTCGAATAGTTTCGTTTCGGATTCGGGTTCGGTTACGATGCACACGATATTTGGTTTCAATTTCGATTTGAATTTCGTTCTGTTTTGATATTTTAGTGGTGGGCCGTCGGCCGGTCGGGGGCGATTCTTGTTTGTGTCGTTTGCCGTTGCCACGTTGTTGACTAAAACAGAAAACCCAAGCGAATGTGGAGGAATGCTCGAAATCTTCCTTTGCCACACAGACGCTGCCGTTGGCGTCGGTTGTCTCTGCCATCGTTGGCGTCGTTGGCGACGTCGATGCGTGTGCACCTCTCGTACTGCCACTGCGACTGCGAGACGGCGGCAGCGACAGCAAATATTATTTAATGCGAAAGAGCAAGGAACCCAAAAGAGCGAGCAAGAGCGTGCGAGCGAGGCGGCGCCAGTGAGAGTGTGGCAGAGAGCTTTTGCACTTTCGCTGCCGACGCAAGCAGTGGGCGGCCATTTGAGCTTTTGTATGCGCCCGCCCTATCAGCTGTTCGCCCCTGTTTACCGTCGTCCTGTGTGTTCCGTGTGTTTGAGCTTTTGCGCACGCTCTCATGTCTGTCTATGTGTTTGTGTGTGTGATCTTCCCTATTACTCGTTATGATTGCCCAACAATTATAAATCGGACTTAAATTGATCGTTAATAATTTTAATCGGTGTGAAATTATAGATTAACAAACTCTAGAGAACTATCGATCGTCTCATTTAACGCTGGAATGTATAAATACATGTATCCTCTCCCAACAAATATTTCAGCGATTATTAATGGATATGGGAATAAAACGAATTTTATTTTGTCCATAGTCTTACATTTTATGACTTAATTAGCCTTATAATTGGTGATGGATAATTGGAGGGATAATTTTTGACAAAAAAACAACACCAATATGACTAATTTAAGAATACTCATTATTAATGTCTTGATATTTTATTTTGTATTTTTTTTAGTATTTTTCGGGGATTTTATTAGTTTGTTGAATATGTAAGAGAGCAGAACTTTTATCATAAATCATCTTAGAGGAGATTGAAAGTACTATGATTTTGTTGATTTTAATATGGTTTTTTCTCAATTGCTTAAATTAATTGAATACTATTAAATAATGTTGCACTTTTCGAATAAACTTTTGGTGGTTATTTACTGAAAGACTCGGAACAATGCTGCCAAGAGGAAATCGTATATGATATTAAAAATCGTTCGTTATTATATCAACAAAAACAATTAGCGATGACTAATATTACATTGCAGACCATCGGTTTAGAATTACCCTTGAACTGGGCGGTTTATTCAGGCACTTTCAGAGAATTGTTTCCACGAGTGGGAACCATTCAAGTAAATTATTATTGCTGTGCAAAAAAATTAAATATTCTGTTCTTTAAATTGTTGTTTGCCTTGATATCCAGAATGCGCAGGCACACACGAACCACTTTGGTTGCAAAAAGCTTGCCCCAAGTCGACCTTGACCTTGCACTCAAATGATGCATGCGTAATGGCATGACATCCGTCCTGTCCCGTCCCGTCCCGTCCCGCCCCATTATTTGAGGCTTTGAGCTTTCAAATGCCAGTTGGCTGTCGCTGGAGCTTTTGTTAAACGGATAGTTTTCTCCCGCCAATCGATTGCACTTTTTGTTGCCCAAAAAGAACAAAGGCAAAGACATTCCTGCATTCCTGCTTTCATTCATTAACAAAACCAAAGAAAGAAAGACACCAAAGCTCTCTCTGTTTTGAAATGTTGCGCCCAGCGCCAGCTGCCCTCTGCTCGCAACAGCAGCGGCGAGACTCGACGCGACGCCAACGTTGACCGCAGAGTACGGGGACGGTAGACTGGCAGGAATTTAGCATTAATTAAATTTTCATGCTCAAATGCAGGCAGCAATCGGCGTCGCGATGGCAGCGATGAATGCCATGTCGCCGCGGCTATCGGCTACCGAGATTCCTAATTGCAAAAAATGCTGTGCATATTATTTACTTTTTAAATTGTATTATAATTTGTAATATTTATGGCATTTTGTTTATCCCCGAGATGCCCGAAACGAAACATTCGGCCAATGCCTTGCCCCCAGACCAGAAAAGATACGAACAGGCACTGCGCTGCGCTGAGTCGCAATACGGAATCTCATCTCTCGTGTTCCCCCACAAGAAATTAATAGAATTTCACAATGTTCTCATCATTTTTTTCCCCCGTTGTGGATATTTTCTTTATTTGGTTTTTTGGTTTTTATTATTCTGATATTTCGAATTTCTTTGTCTTTTTGTTGGTCATTGCCTTTTTTGATTTGTTATGAGAAGAGCTACGACTTACTAAAGGCCCCGTCCCTGCTCCCAATCGTTGCCACGGACTCGAGACTCAAAAGATCACGCACAGCATACATGTCCTGTGCATGACAATGAACAATGCACCCGTGACACCCTCTACCCAATCATAGACCTAATTAGGATCCAAGGTAACCCAGATACATATAATTATCCCTGCCTTCCTGCCTGGCTTTGGAGAAGGGCATTCCCGTAATCGTCTTTACCCATTTCCACCTGCAATTGCATGCACTATATGCGATGGTTATTGCCATCAGACTCGAACCGAACGAAATGCCCCGTGGAAAATAGCAAAGAAAACCCCAGCCAATGACCGACATTTCCCCCCGCAGAGCAACAACGACGACGACTACGACGACGACGACGGCATTAATGAGAAATGGAGGTGGTTTTTGGTTGTGGTGATTTATGCACGGGACGGGGCGAATATCGTTAATCGCAATTCAATGAACTGGGAATGTATTTTTATGCCCCGACAGACGGGGCTATTGATGGTATGGAAACGACTTTGATTTTTTTTTGATTTGCAACTTTCGAGTTCTGTGATTTCTGTGATTTTCTTTTGTGTGTTAATGATTTTGTGTGGCGTTGTCATGACAGCCCCAGCAAATGGTGAAAATGCCCCACCAGCCACGGAAACAACTTTACCGCTAATTCTAATACCAATTTATATCCGATTTCTTCATCTTCCAGTGATTGCAGCAGTGTGTGTGTGAGTTTGTGTGTGGCCAAAGAAGGACAATAAAAACGGAAACGCAAAGGCCGGAACGAGAAGAGGAAACGCAGGAAAGAAGGTGCACAGATTCCAAAACAAAACAACGATTCACAACGAAACTTTTGAGGAAGGAAAGACCATTGGATAGACCATTGAAGAGTACTACTCCACCCCCGCCCCCAATAATGGCCATGTAGTACAGCCAACAGACCAGTAACAAACAAACAACTAACACCGAGGTGCCCTTAGACAATCGAATTCGTACAACAAACCAAGCAACAAGCAACAACTCAATTTATAACCAATTGAAAGTAAGTATTTTTACTCAGGTCATGATCCAAAAATGGGATCTTCCTTCTTAGAGACTTGACTCAGTTGTTGTTAATCAGACAGAAACGGGTATCTCAGGCAATTGTTGAACTGTTTGAATTATTTCAGTCCCCATTTCTGGGTCGAAAGAGTCCCCTAAATATAATTTCTTAGTGAGTGCTTGCTAACATCGATCGATGTCAGAATGATGCAAGCTTACCTCAGAAAAATGGGAAAATTCCGAATCGAATTGCTTAATAAATTATATTTAATAAGATCTTATTGGAATTTCAAGATTCGAAAAGTTCAAAACGTATCTGTTCGCTTATGGGAACAGGTCTGTTTGCTTTGTGAAATGCAAGGCAACGAATGGAGAAGGGTTATCTGGTTTTGAAAAAGGGTATATATCACGATTTAAACCGTCCTTGATCACATCTGGGTATTTCAGCCAAAATTAAAATATATTTCAATGTACTTTGTCCAGAAAGTCAACTTTGATGTGAAAACCTATTAAAATCAGACAAAGTTCGATTTATTTAATATTTTTTTCTTCAAGACTCAAGATAAAATTTCTTCCAAATTTCTTGTTACACAATCAACTATTAATTAAAATTCACAGAAAATTGGCCCGATCTCGGTTAGCGGTGTATTATTTAACTTTTAATACCCCAGAATTTGTTAACTTTACGCCAGTAACGTATGTCAGTTGCCTCCGCGGATTTATAACGTAAAAACATTCAATAACTTGGGAAATAAGACCTAAGTACTTGCAGATTCGCTGAGTCTGGCAATTTTGTACCCCAACCTCAAACCGTCAGTCATTTTTTACTTTTATCGTTTTGTCCTACGAATATAACGTGAGGCCAGAATGTAAATGAATAATACTTAAAGTACACTAACTTGTACCTCCACTGGATGCGGTCAGCGTGCAGACGGGAAAGAGTTGAGCCTGGAGAAACTGCACGCGCCCACCGCCGCCGCCAAAGTCCATGATTTTGGAGCCGATAAGCCTACGACATGATGGGAATGGGACTTGAGAGGATTACTAAGGGAGGATGATGCAGAGCCGGATAATCCACTCGATGTAGTACGCGAACCGCACAAAATTCTCGGATTGATTTAACAGAGGAGTTCGATTTTCAGTTTTATTTAGCTCTCCCCTTGGCTTTGGCTTTGGCTTTGGCACACATCAAAATGCAACAACTCTACTAGTACTTGTGTGTATAGATAGATAGATAGATAGATAGATAGGCTCTCGCTTATGCAACGGCCTGGATATAGGCGCACGGATGATTTGTGTTGCCTCTTGGGCCCTCGTTAGGCGGCATTTTGACGCTCGCTGATTATTGTTAGTTCTTGTGGCTTTCTGTTGGACTTTGTTTGTTTGCTCGAAGACGACTCCTCCTCGAACCGACTCGCATTGCGTCGCGTCGCGGCGATAACTGAGTGGTTTGCCCCATTCGATAACTGGGGCCCGCCCGCTGTGAGCCAACTCGAATTTCCACTGCGACTGTTATAAGCAAATAAACAAAGCCAGGCCTCTCCAGGCCTCTAGTCGTTGTTCTCTGCTGTCGTTGTCGGTTGTCTCTAATGCCAAAAAACACAAAAAGAATAGAGGAAGTGCAAGGTACTCCTGGTATTCTATACCCCCCACACACACAGAGACACACTCGCCTCGACTAAGGCCCAGACATACTCATGCATGCACACAGACATGCCATGAACATGAATTTGAGTCGATTCGATTCCGGCTGGTGTTCAAACAAAGCCAACGGTAGAGGCAACCCAGCCTTGGATACGGAAAACAAAAAACAAATCACACGGAATTTGTCTGTATTCTAACAAGCAACAAATGATTCCTGGAAGTGGATCGAAGTGATGAATACCGTTTGATAAAGCAACAGCCCTTTTATCATTTGATTCTCGATTACGTTGGGTAGTGGGAGGTGAGCCAAAACCGACAACGAAACATTCTAAGTGACTGTGGGAACTCTGTAGTGCGGAAGGTTTTAATTAGATGCGGCATGTCCCAAAATACTGGTCGAAGAAGGAGAAGGAAGTACCGTAGTAGCATCACAGATATTGTAACTCTTCCTAAGAGAGGTGGAAACACTCTTGCCCCTGACACATGTGATGTTTTTGTTGAGGCACAATCGTCACTCTTATCTAGCGTTGGTACATTCGAAAGGGACCCATTTATCGATTCTCTATCGAAAGCACAGTTTCGCATCCTTCAGAGAAAGGTGATCGATCTATCGATTGGTATAGTTACTCGGCTCTCTCCAGTCCATCATGCCCTCACCCTAAACAATTTAGCCTGAGGCCACTGCCAGGCCTGGCTGTTACGACCCCTCACGATCAGCTGCTGCTGGTGCTGTTGCTGTTGCTGCAGCAAAGACAAAAAAAAGCCTCGCTGCCAAACAAATTTGTCAAAGTCGTAGATTTCTGAGGTCCCGTTCCTCCCACAGCGGCAGCTGCTGTCAGCTGCCTACGCGGACACAAAACGAACAGGTGTCAAAGAGTGGGAGAGAAGGAGAGAGAAGAGCCACGAGCCACGCAACGAGAGGGCGCAGTCGGTCCTAATCTATTCTCCCTCCTCATTCTCTTGATTGCTTCTGTGCCTATGGGATTATGTCATCGCAAATAGATGCACAGAGCCAGCCAGTGGCAGTGGCAGCAGCAGCGGCAGTGGCAGCAATGATCTTGATCGTGCAATTTATGTGTTTTCTATTTTGGCAAGCTCCGCCATGGCTGCCAAGGTGAAAAGACTCTCTCTCACCGAACCGTGCCGTGCCCCGTGCCGCGTCCCATCCCTCACCGCATGCTTGGCCCTCGTCAATCATCGAATTGTGCCAGCGATTAGCTCTCTCTCTCTCGTTCGCTTCGCACTTACATAGCTCTGCCATATTCGTGTTCCGCTCTTATTATGTATGCATACCTTGCGAATAAGGTATGCTGATTTTGTACACATGTTTTCAAAACAGCATCTCGGACATCATGGAGTAGAAAGGTGTATATTTTCGTCTATATATATTTACATATTTATTTATGCAAGTACGAACTTTTGAGAATCGATCGATTTGGTTGTTTCATGGACAATAAGTCCTACAAAACAAACTTTTGCGAAAAAAAGTACATTACTTTTAGAATACACCAACCAAGCGGCGGAAATTATAGTTGTATGAAGATATATATATACATATCTTATTTGGGATTTATTCAAGTTTAATTTATACTCAAAGAAAAATGGCATTCTAAAAAGAAGTACACTCATATTTAAATTAAATATTTTGCTTTTAAATAAAATAGTGCATTTAAATAAATATTCACTTTGACTTAAACAAAAAGTCTTATTAATAAGGCCCATATTAAATATAAATTTAAAAGAATTTTGAATGTTTTTTTTTTAGTATGAATAGATAGATATATGATAAATATTTATATCATTATAATATAAGTGAAAACTCGTTTTGTTTTTACAAATTCCTCTCGCGGAGCATAGATATTATTATATCTATCTAAAGTATGTGTTTTCAAGGGTATCCAAAGATTCGGCCCTCGAACATAGCCTACCTTTTCAAGTTCTCTTTCCGCTGATGCCTCCCCTGCCCCTTCGCCCCTGCACCATTGTAGCTGTTGTCGCTTGTGGTAGAAATTAACAAATTGCAATTAAAAATGCTCGCTTGCCACATTTTGGCAGCGTTCAAAACGCTGTACGTGTACGTGTGTGTGTGCCTTTTTTTACAGCTAAAATAATAAACGGAATAATAATTGTGACAGAGATAAACGACGAACATGAATTGAAAGTGAAAAACGAATTATGAACTTTGTGAATTATACTTATTATTATCCCCCATGGTATCTAAATTCGTCTTTGATCTGATCTGCTGCTGGCGCGTACATTTGTATGCCCGTGCAACACTTGATTGTGTGTGTGTGTGTGTGTGGTGGCAGTGAGACGCGGACACTCACCATTCACATAGTCCCCCAGGACGAGGGAGCATTCCATGTCATTGCATTTGAAGTTTGCTCTCACCAAATTGACATTAACGCTGTCCTCGTCGGCGACAACGACGGACTGCTGCCGCTGTCGCTCTGCCGACGTCTCGTGTGTGTGAGAGTGTGTGTCATTGTTGTTGGTGTCATCCTCCTCCTCGTCGCTGCAGCTACTGCTGTAGCAGCACTCGCTGGAGATCTCCGTCGCTGCCTGGCGAGGATGAAGATTGGGCTGGCTGAAGGGCTGATATGTCGGCTTGATTAGATGCCGACGACGGCGACTTATTGAAGCTGCGCTCAATGTGCGCAGCAGGCAGCTGAAGGATGATGCCTCTGCCGCTGCTGTGGTAACTGTTATTGTCTCATCCGCCATGTGGTACAACAAAAAAAACGCTGACTCAGCGGGCACTTGAGCCACGAAACAATACGCGCACTCACACACACAAGATAATACAAAAGAATGTACGAACAACGGGACAAACACGCGCTCCCGCACTTGTCCAGCAGAATGGATGGACTCTCTTTCTTCTCTGCCTGGCTCTGCTGTCTGCTGCAGTCTCCGTAAGTAACGGGACAACTTGGCTGCCAGCCTGAGGCTCGCTCTCAGAGCAACTGCGGACCGACTCTCCGTCGAGCTTGGACGACAATGGTGGGTGCCTCTGGCTGTGGCTCTGGCTCTGGCTCCGGCTCTGACTCCGACTCCGGCCTGTGCCTGGGGCTGTGGCAAAATTGCGAATCACAGTAAACCACGGCATCGGCAACAACGGCATTAAAATTGTTGCTGCCACGTCGTTGCCTTTGTGCAAGGCACCGAAAAAAATTGTTTTTCGTTATTTTGTTGTAGGCCTACACACGGCAAAAGCGGGGATGTGGGTGGCTTTGGAGGTGTGGACTGGTCATGAAAGAGACAGAGGGAGAGAGATAGAGGCAGCACCGACACCGCTTCCTCTCTCTCTGCTGGCGGGGGGAGGGGAGGTCTTGCGGCAAACTCTGGCTGTGATTAACATAAATTGCGCACGACATGGGCTATAAACAGCGCAACAAAAAACACTCCGCTTAACTCCAGGCTCACCTTCCAGTGCTGCCTAAACTCCTTCTACCACCCCCGCACCCCCGAACATTGTTTTTGCAATTTTAAAATATGACGCACACACACAAACACACACACACACACACAGTATGTATAAGAAACTCTCGCAAATTCCCGTCTGAGCCGGGACGATTGCTTTGGAGCCAAGGTGTATTTCAATAGGGTGCCGCTCGCCTAAGTGCAGGTGAGGCGGTGATTTTCGATCATACCCGCTCTCTTAGAGATCGCAATGACCAACAAGAGTGGGTTCTCTAGGGCTACACCCTAAACTCTGTAAAAGGGCACACCTTGCTTTGTAGGTTTTTTCTCTTGTCCTCCCCGTTCATGTTGCCTACTTTTTTGGCGCGTGAGTGATACCCACTCCCACTCCCACTCTGTCTGTGTATCTCTCTCCCTCTCTCTCTCTTTGTGGCGGCCTCTCCTCGCTTGGCACAAATTTTTCAGCTTGTGCTGCTGCTGCTGTTATTGTTGTTGTCGGAGATGGAGACGATGTCGGCTTATTGGCATTTGACAGCGGCCTGGCAACGGCGGGACGTCCTTAGAGAGGTCCTTTGAGCAGGCTCAATGACGGGCTATGAAGGGTGGGCGGGGCCGGGGGTGTGCAGCAAGGCAACGAAATGTGGGAGGAGAGCAGCAATTCGTACAGTGGGAGATCACCTGGAACTAGAGTTGTCATCCGTGGGACATGCATGTGATCGATACTCATCGATAGTTGCCATTGCTGTCTGGCCAGGTGGGTAATTATCGAGCAATGATGACCGGCAGAAACGGTACTGCTTACAATGTAAAATAGTTAATTAATATCGAAGCTAAATATTCCACTGGCAGAACGAGTGCAATATCTTTTCCATCAGCAAGCAGTTACCTGAGGAGTCGTATCGTTCGTCTGTCTGCAATGCGTCATTGGAGCGCCCTTCCCTACCCAGGGAGGGAACCCCAAACCCAGACACAACACTTTGCTGCAATGCCCAACCCCCCCCCCCCCCCCCCCAGGCACTCTTTTCGATTCCATTCGGGGGGTGGGGGGGTAGAACTGCTTGCCTGACTCGGTGTTGTCATTTTGCTTTACCAATTGGTTGCGTCTCCTTTTTGTGATGTTTGCTCAAATGGTTTCGTGTAGTATTTTTGGCTGCGGCCGCCCGCAGTACCCCCGATCCCTCCTTCAGCACCACCCCCAGCCTATAGGGACAGGCAGTCCCAAGTCAAGACAGTGACAGGAGCCAGACCAGAGAGAGAGAGAGAAGTGCTAAAGGCATTGCTCGTGCTCGTGCTCGTGCTCGTGCTTCGCTCTGTTATTGATATGCATTTGGAGCTAGGGAACCCAAAAATAGACGCAAGAACCCAAAAAAAGAAACTATTTTTCAAACTATTTACGGGTGGAACGGACACGTACGTCAGGCGTCAGGTACGTCAAATGCCAGGAGGCTACGGAAGCGGAAATTGAACGGCTAAAACAGAAGAAAGGGCAATAGAAAAAGGCAAGTCCCCCCGCAAGCGTTAAATAGATTTCCTGGGATTTTGCTTTTTCCTGCTAGATACCAATTAGGATGCACTAAAGCTCTTCATGGCAGAATGATGTTTGTTTCTAGATTTATAAGGGGCGAACCACTAAACCACCATTAAAGCTTCCGCCTGGGACTCACCATCGTTTGTCGTCTGATGCCTCGACTGTTGCTGGTCGCTGTGATCCTTGTCCTTGACGCCCTTCTGCATCCTTGAGCTCTGATCTATGATTACCCGCTAAAAGATCCTTTAATTGCTTATTGCTATCACTTGGTTATTTTGAGAGAACTTAATATTTTATGTTTGTATTTTATGAATTGTGGGAGAGTGAAACTTTTGAAAAACGTTTTACTAGGAATCAGAATTGTGAATATTTTGGGGATATGTTGTGCGTGTCTAAGGCCGAACAGTACTGGCCTGCTAGTCGAATCGAATGAAACAGATTTGAATGATTTAAATGATATTTCACTCGGCACACTATCTTGCCTGATTTCCTCTCTGTTTCTCGCTCTCTCTCTCTCTCTCTCTCTCTCTCTCTCTCTCCGTGTTTGAGCGCTCCTACGCGTCGTCCTCCGGTGGCGAGTGAATGAACGGCCACCAATGCCGGATACCGGATTACTGGCTACCGGATGCCGCTTGGCAGCCGGAAAAAGCGGCCCCAACACTTCGTGACAATGCGCTCGGGGGGTGGGCCTGAGCGGGGCTGGCAAACAAATCAAAGCGAATTAGTTGCATTAGTGGCAGCTATCAGCAGCAGCAGCAGCAGCAGCCGAGCCGACTGGGGCAGGAGGATGCCCGGCTGCCGTCGATGCCAATGTGTTGTCCCAGTCCCATTTCCACTGCCGATTCCCAGTTCTAGTCCCCAGTCCCCGGGGTGCCAACTTGGGCTTGGCGTGCCAGTGCCAGCGCCTCCAATAATGCACATGCGAGTGTAGTCCATGGAAAACAGGGTGCTGAATGGAGGCATAAAATCATTTATCGATTGCCTTGATCTTGCGATCCAAAAGAATTTGAAAAGATCACCTCTGGCTAGTGATGGCACACAGTACGCTCTCTCTCGACTCTCTCTGTCTCTCTCTCTGTGTGTCTGTGTGTGTGTACACACTGATCCAGTGTTCACCCGTTGTGCGCTAGATAATCGCACAGTATGTATTGAGGCCCCCACCTCCCCTATCACTGCCCCTTCCACTGATTATGTGCCATTAAAACTGGCTGCCAATTGGCAAAAGGTTTTGTTCTCTCTCCTTGGGGCTCGGCTTATGCTCTATTTTTAGCAGTTTTTTGTGCTCCTGCCCTGTGCTGCATTTTCTGCACTTTGGCGCGGTTCAAAGTTCAATGCATTTGTCTTGCGACACGCAGACACGCGCAGCAGACCACCTGACAGGCGGCCCATGCCACACACCATACACCACACACCACACACACTTGCAACACGCGCTCTCAGATATTGTCGAAAAGAATTCTAAACGCAACTTTCTCGTACGTGTGCCAGCATTGCTTTGATGGTTTGAGGCTTTTGGGCTTTGAGGTTTGGGGTTCGGGAGCGTGTGTTCGTTCCCCCTGTCAGGCGGCCGTCAACAAACCAGGAGAAATGAAATATGCGCGAGTGGTTCGCAACCGTATGAACTTTGAACTTAATGCAGACTTTTCCCACCTCATGCATGCATGCATGCCGGAGAGGGAGAACGAGACCCAGAAGGAGGCGTGTTCGTTGCGTGTTTTAAACTTTTGGGTAGCCTCGGAAAAGTAAATTTGCATACGGTGGGTTTTTCGGTGGCTGGTCGCTGGTTCGAGGATGGAGAGCTTTCAATTTTTGTTGCTTGCCAAATGCCAAAAGTGCGTCGTCCATGAATGGCGATGACGGTGTAAAGGTGTGGTAAGAGAAAAGCCAGACCTCTCGCTTCCATCAATGAGGATGGGACGATGCAAAAGCCCCGCTTCATCCATTCGTTTGCCTGTAGTGGTTGAAATGTAAGGGGAATTCCGTAGCATAGACCCCATCATCTGGGGTCCCCTCATCTCTGACAGAGTCCCTCGGCCTTTTTATATTCATTGACGGGCTACGTCAGTTGGTGGGCTGCACCTCTCCTGCCCTGCCCTGCCTGCCCTGCCACTTTTTTGCTCCATTTGTTTGATCAATATAGACCCAGATATACCCACAACAAAACAAACACCAACAATAGGGCCCAAAGAGAACCGCAACACAGAACCAAGAGCTGAGAGACTCGAAGAAGTCGCTGCATCGCGCGCGGCAATCAAATTAATTGCAACTCCATTGTCCATTAAGCCTCTAAAGACCTCCCTTCGTTTTCGTATCCATTTTTCAGTTGATAACTGCCGATTTTTTTGAACTGACAATAAAAGAAACCTAAGCGCAAAAAGGAGCAATAAGAGCCAACAGCGAAACAATCAGGAGAACACACAAAACTTAATACAAAATACAAATACAAATAAAAATGGGACGCAAAATAACCGTGGCAGTGTCCACACTGAATCAATGGGCCTTGGACTTTGAGGGCAATTTGGCAAGGATACTGCAATCCATATTGGAGGCCAAGGATATGGGCGCTAGCTATCGCACTGGACCCGAGCTGGAGGTTAGGTAAGTTCCCTTCAAGAAATGTAATTTCCTCGCCATTCGGAAGCCAGCAATTAGAGCGCCACTATATCGTCTGACTGCCACAGGGACCGAATGGGAGCGACCGAGGAGTGCTGTTCCATGACGCGCGAGATGTGTGAAGACTATTTTTAGCGCTCCGGTTTTTTCGCCAAGCAAAGCTTCATCTCAAGAACATATGTATGCTTTTATTGTTTTCCCCCCAAAACTACAGCGGCTACAGCTGCGAGGATCACTTTCGAGAGCCGGACACGTATCTGCACTCATGGGAGGTGCTGCTGGAGATCATGATGTCACCCATTTGGTAAGTAGAAGCAACGTAGTAGAAGGATTACTGATCCCCAAGTTCTGATCCTGCTAATTTTCACAGCGAAAACATGCTGGTGGATGTGGGTATGCCGGTGATGCATCGCAATGTGGCCTACAACTGTCGCGTGGCCTTCTTCAATCGCCAGCTGCTGCTGATCCGGCCCAAAATGGCCATGTGCGACGATGGCAACTATCGGGAGTCACGATGGTTCACGGCCTGGACCAAGTCGATGCAGACGGAGGAGTTCCTGCTGCCGCGCATGATATCGCAGCATACGGGTCAGCAGACGGTGCCGTTCGGCGATGCAGTGATCGCCACGCGTGACACCTGCCTTGGCTATGAGATCTGCGAGGAGCTGTGGAACGTACGGAGCAAGCACATCGAAATGTCGCTGGCCGGCGTGGAGGTGATTGTCAATGGATCCGGGAGCTACATGGAGCTGCGCAAGGCCCACATCACCTCGGATCTTATACGGAATGCCAGCTTCAAGGCGGGTGGGGCCTATCTGTTCAGCAACCTGCGTGGATGCGACGGCCAGAGGGTGTACTTTAATGGCTGTTCGGCGATTGCCCTGAATGGAGAGCTCCTCGCCAGGGGCCAGCAGTTCGCCCTGCAGGACGTGGAGGTTACCCTGGCCACGATTGACCTGGAGGAGATACGGGCGTATCGAGTGAGCCTGCGCTCGCGTTGCACAGCAGCTGCCAGTGCGGCCAACTATCCACGGATCCACTGCGACTTTGAGATGTCCACGCACAGTGACATCTTCAAGACATCAACGCCGCCGCTGCACTGGCCCAGCCACACGCCCGAGGAGGAGATCGCCTTGGGTCCGGCCTGCTGGCTCTGGGACTATCTGCGTCGCTCCGGACAGGGCGGGTTCTTTCTGCCCCTCAGCGGAGGCATCGACTCGAGCAGCTCGGCCACCATTGTGCACTCCATGTGCCGCCAGATCGTTCAGGCCGTGCAGCTGGGCGATGCCCAGGTGTTGCATGACATCCGGAAGATCCTAGCCGACACGGAGTATACGCCCGACAATGCGGCCACGCTGTGCAACCGCCTGCTGGTCACCTGCTACATGGGCAGCGTCAATAGCAGCAAGGAGACTCGACGACGGGCCGCGCAGCTGGCGAACCAGCTCGGTAGCTATCACATCGAGATCAGCATCGACCTGGCGGTGAATGCCCTGCTGGGCATCTTCAATGCCGTCACCGGACTGACGCCTCGCTTCCGAACCCAGGGCGGCTGTGCCCGCCAGAATTTGGCCCTGCAGAACATCCAATCACGCCTGCGCATGGTCCTGGCGTACATTTTCGCCCAGCTTATGCTGTGGGTGAGGAATCGACCGGGTGGACTGCTTGTCCTGGGCTCGGCGAATGTGGATGAATCGCTGCGGGGATATCTGACAAAGTATGACTGCTCTTCGGCGGACATTAATCCCATTGGCGGGATATCCAAGACGGATCTGCGGCGATTTCTGATCTACGCCAAAGAGAAGTATAACGTCTTTATCTCTGTTCTCTGTTTGATTGGGGTCTCTAATGGTGATCTCCCGTTTTCGATAGGTACAATCTGCCCGTTCTGGAGTCTATTATCGAGGCACCACCCACCGCTGAGCTGGAGCCGCTGCAGGAGAACGGGGAACTGCAGCAGACCGATGAGCAAGACATGGGCATGACCTATGATGAGCTGAGCGAGTATGGGCGCCTGCGCAAGCAGTCCTTCTGTGGGCCATACAGCATGTTCTGCCGTCTGGTGGCCACATGGAAGGGCGACCTTAGTCCCAAGGAGGTGGCCGACAAGGTGAAGCATTTCTTTCGCTGCTATGCCATCAATCGGCACAAGATGACGGTGCTGACGCCATCGGTGCACGCCGAGAGCTACAGTCCCGACGATAATCGCTTCGATCATCGGCCGTTCCTTTATCGGCCCAACTGGAGCTGGCAGTTCAAGGCCATTGACGATGAGGTGGACAAGCTGCAGCCCATCTATACGCCATCATCGATGCGACCCAGCAGCGAGGATCTGCTGCTGTCCACGCAGCGTTCCTCGCGCCTCGATGACTCGAAGCACTCGTCGCCGCTCTCGTCGGCCTCGGGCTCTGCCTCCCTGGATGTGGGCATTTCGACGGCGGCCGTGCCCCTGGCAGCTGCTGCCGCTGCCGCCGCTGCTGCACCCGGCCTGGCCAAAAAGCCCAGCGGCTACTCCAAGGTGCACGTGAATGTCCTAGGAAAGATCAAGGACCGCACTGGAATACCTGTCTAGGCATAAGAATCGATAAAACGCACTGTTGGAATTCTTGTTTGTTTTTTTTTTATACATATACATATATATACACAAGGATTATATGTAGGACTAGCCATAGCCTCCGCCTATTCCGAAATTTAAATCTTGTTCAGATCTTTATAGAAAAAATCGTACTCTAAAGCCTTTGTAGCATCATTTTTCCAGTTGGCCTTATCTTAAACAAAAAATGACTTATTCCTAATTATATATACATACATACATATATGCCCAATGCTAAGAAAACTAGTCAACGCCAAAACAAACAAAAAAAACTTGCCCTCAGACCCACTTTTTCTGATAGATGTTTTATTGCGGTTTTTTTTTATCAAAATTTTCAAATTAAAAGCTCAGCAAAGTAAGAATAAATTAGGATATTTTTGTTGTGTTTTTTATTGGCTCTCGGCACTAGTATTGGTCGTCGTTTAAGGTATTTTTTTTTTTATAAATATCTATGGATAAACGGCTAAGCTGCATTCGTTCTTAAAAACCTCCCAAAAGTGGAATGAAAAACGCAAAACAATTTCTTTTTAATTACTCAAAATAAAATCCTAACTTGTTAATAAACGTTAGAGACCGAAGTCTATCAGAAAATGTCGGTTTAATGCCAGAAAAAAACACCAAGACGGATTTTGTTGACTAGTTTTGAAACGGAGCAAAATTTGTACAATCTTTTGTCATCGACTATTAGCCCATCTGTAGTCCTCACCCCGTGACCCCCGTTTCATGTGTGATTTTTGATAGCAGTTTTTTATTTAAGCACTTTTTTGGGGCTTTAAAACAAATCAAATTTTAAGTTGCTCGCTTGTGTACAGTGCGTTTCAGAGCCATAAGTGCTAAGAATTTGTAGGAATTGATGTAGGTTAATTTTAATATTGAAAAAAATACAGAATCGAAGCATAACTTATTCGCAAAATGCACTCTAAATGAAGAATCCTTCAATATCTTAGTCTATATCTAGTTGAAAGCAATAACTGAACCTTTTGGAGGCCTAATCATAATTGTTTACACGATCTTTTCGATTGTATTTACTGCCCTTTTGGATAACTAACCTAAACTGTGAGCTATTCGATAGAATAGTATATAAGCCAGTGGATTGGATAACCCAGTATATACGGGTACTAGTAGACCCCCATCCAAAGCCTCAGTCTCTGAAACGCACTTCCAGAAATTGCTATCTGTCATAGAGCGCGCACATTCTACATACAATATTAAACCAGTTTAGAGTCAATTACATTCTAGGAATCACTCGTAGCTCGTGCAAGTTTTGTTTTGTTTCTAATCTGCGGCAAGCACCTGACATCTGTCTTATCAGCTTATCAGACACCCCCTCGACCGTAAACGGCGCTCGGATTATAACCGAGAAGAAAAAGACAGAAAAATACGGCTATTGTAAGAGAGGAGCCCCGCATGTGTTTGCAATATAATGATACGAGTATCGTAGCTGGCAACAGAGAAAGACCAGCTGCTGCCTTTGATTGGACAATGTCTCCCCTATGAGATCCAAAATTTATTTAGTTTTTTAGATAATTATATATGCTATACAAACATATATGTATTCTATTATATAGAAACTGATACTTATACACACCTAGAGACTTTGTGCACGTGGCATCGCCAATTCGAACACTGTTATGGAACACTCGCATCAATTTATTCACTGATTGTACATTTATCAAGGAAATATATACACCAGACATTTTTGTAGTTTGAGATTGCCCCACGCGTGTTGTGTTCTAGGACTGCTGCTGCTCCAGTTCCTCCTCAACCTTGCATAATGGCGTGCCGTCATTGTCCGCTTGGGGCAGGAAAGCCGTATAAGAAATTATTGTGTTGATCAGTTGATCCAGGCCAGAGTCAACCCGAATTCGCCATCGATGCAAGGCTCCCAAGGCAAGATCAAAGCGGTTGCTTCAGACGCTCGAGGACTATGTGTGCTGCCTCCTGGTCCATCATGAAGTTGAATTCCGCTCTTGGCTCTTGGCGACGTTTTCCTTGCCCAGGATGTGGCCGCCCACGCAGCAGAAAGTGCACTTTTACCGGGTGTCGCCAAGGCCATTCAGGTCATAGAAGAGGGACTTGGGCGTTCAGTGTGCCATCCTCCACACTGGTGTTGCTCCGGACACAGGTGACGGCTGCCATCATCATTTGAATCATTGTCAGCAATTGTATCCACTTCCTCCGGAGGAGAGACCATCGCGATCCCACTTTACTGTATCTGAATAGGTATACAAGAAACAAATTCATTAATGCACTGAATAAACGCCCAATCGAATACAATTTCAGGCTTTATGCAGACAAACTAAGTCACGAAAGTCGCATATTTTGTGCCCCATCAGCAGTGCGTAGTGCGACAAAGCAAACAGAGCACACACACCACACAGACAATGTGTACATGGAGGCAACAATGCCTGAACTAATACCGATTGTTGATCTTACAAATGCAATAGGTACTCTTCCCCCACAGCCTGAAATATTCATTATCTTGCACCTAAATTCCCTGCGCATAAATATAATAGCGGGATATTGTTAGCTTAGTAACAAAAATACACAAATAGAGCATTAGAGATGCTATCTCTGCATAAAGGATGTCTCCTTATGAGATACAAAATGTATTTACATTTTTAGGGACTTTTAATTATTCAATATATAATATACGTATATAGAAACTTATATAGAATACTTACAGTGGCGAGTGGATACATGTTCATCACTTTTCAGCTTAAACGCCTGTAAAATCTTAAAAAATGCATCAATCCTTGTGATTTTTATACCCGATACTCAAAATGAGTATTGGGGTATATTAGATTTGTGGTAAAGGTGGATGTGTGTAACGTCCAGAAGGAATCGTTTCCGACCCCATAAAGTATATATATTCTTGATCAGCATCAATAGCCGAGTCGATTGAGCCATGTCTGTCTGTCCGTCTGTCCGTCCGTCCGTCTGTCCGTCTGTCCGTCCCCTTCAGCGCCTAATGCTCAAAGACTATAAGAGCTAGAGCAACGATGTTTTGGATCCAGACTTCTGTGATATGTCACTGCTCCAAAAATATTTCAAAACTTTGCCCCGCCCACTTCCGCCCCCACAAAGGGCGAAAATCTGTGGCATCCACAATTTTGACGATACGAGAAAACTAAAAACGCAGAATCGTAGAAGATGACTATATCTTCTAGAGTGCAAAATCTGAACCAGATCGTATAATTATTACAGCCAGAATCACGAAAACAATTTCACTCTTTCTTGCTCTGTCTCACTCTAACACACAGGTTTCATGGTCGGTTTTGCCAATTGCAAAATATGAGTTCAAGGATCTCAGAACCTATAAAAGCCAGAGCAACCAAATTTGGTATCCACACTCCTGTGATATCGGACCTTGACCGTTTCCTGTCCAAATTTCGCCACACCCCCTTCCGCCCCCGCAAAGGACGAAAATCTGAGGCAACCACAAATCTCAGAGACTATTAAGGCTAGAGTAACCAAATTTGGTACACACACTCCTTTAAGATGTCACTATAAAACGTATATCTCAGAATTTCGCCCCACCTCCATCCGCCCCCACAAAGGACGAAAATCTGTTGCATCCACAATATTGCAGATTTGAGAAAACTAAAAACGCAGAATCATAGATAATGACCATATCTATCAGGTTGCTGAATCTGGATCAGATCAGATCATTTTCATAGCCAAAAGGAACAAATCAATTTGCACTGGCTACGCAGCGCCCGACGTCACGCTCAGACTGATTTTCTGTCTCTCTCGCACGCACTCTTTGTCGTGTCGTTAAATATTAGCGGCGTCTGCCGGAGGAGAGCCATACTGACTTAGTATCGGGTATAACCGTAGAGTTGCGGTGTCCGCAGCAACTCACAACGTTCCCCCTCGTTTTTACATAGATTCTTTACTTTAGTGAGAATGAAAAAAAAAAAACAATAATTACAGTTCAAAGATATCCTTTTCCTTAAGAGATTGTAATTTATTCAAAAAAAGTGCATGTATCCACTCTTGCAAGTTTAAAATTTATTTACTTTAATAATTTTTTTAAAATATTGGTTCCAAAGGGACTGAGTTTTTATCACATTCCGAATAAGTTTCGGCATACTCCCGACTAAATTTAGTAGGTGCAAAGGGGTCATCCAATCCCTTTGGTTCAGACTCGTACTTTTCCAATTTTTTTTTTTAAGCAGAGCCCAACGATTTGCAATGGTATTTAGATCTGGGCCACTGGATTAAGTGAAAACTCGAACTATTGGGACGATTTTTCACGAATTTAGCCGTGTGCATCAGATATCAATTCCACCAAGGTGTAGACCTACAGGCTTCCTCTTCCATGCTTTTTTGTTTCCTTGACCTGATGCTTTTTCAGCTTTCCCCTTCAATTTATTTACTGATGCAAACATACACACATAGATTCAAAACAAGGATTCAAATCTTTTTGGTAGTTAATTATTTCACGAGTTTTGTCTTTGGACGGGGATTCCCTTTCTAGGATTGCTGCTGCTCATCCCTACACAATTTTTCCATATCAATGTCCGCTTGGGGCAGGAAACCCGTATAGGAAATGATTGTGCGGAAGGGCTCTGCATTGAGACGCCGGATCACGCGAACATTCTTCGTCTTGCCATGGATGGCATCTACAAATCTGCCCCTCAGATGATCTAGCACCATTTGACCCCGGGTATGGACGCCGCACAGCTCCACGGTGGCATAGTACTCGCGCTCATCGGCGATCATCTGCTGAGGGAAGAGATAGGCGGCCGTGAGCAGGGCATCGCAGCTGACCCACTTCTCGAAGCCTCGCGGCACTAGCATGGCTCTCTCCACGCGGGTGAGGAGCTCAACAAACGGATGCTTGACCGCGCCCAGGACATTGAGTCGCCAGCCCAGAGTCAACCCGTATTCGCCATCGATGCAGGGCTCCCATGGCAAGATCAAAGCGGGTTGCTTCAGACGCTCGAGGACTATGTGCGCTGCCTCTTGGTCCATCATGAAGTTGAACTCCGCGCTCTTGGTGACGTTTCCCTTGCCCAGGATGTTGCCGCCCATGATATAGACGCCGCCCAGCTTGTCCAGAAACTTATCGCCATATAAATTAATGCAGCAGGCGAAGTTTGTGAGTGGGCCACACAGCAGAAAGTCCACTTTTCCCGGGTGCTGGCAGGCCAGGCGATACATGGCATTCACCGCATGCTCCTCCGACCGTAGATCGTCAGCATTCACGGTTGGATAGTCGCCCACATCGCTGAAGCCATCCAGGCCATGGAAGTGGGATTTAATTACCCAAGTGCGTGGCACAATCGGATCGGCGCACCCCTCAAAGACGGGCACCTATTCGATCGACAAAAAGAATGGAAAGTTGGAGACGAATGTCTTTATATGGATGGAAGTACTCACATCCAGCCTTTCCAATGTGGAGAGCACTCGGAAGGCGTTCAATGTGCCATTCTCTACACTGGTGTTGCCCTGGACACAGGTGACGGCTGCCACCTTGAAGCTCTTCCTCCCAGCGATGCGGAGGCCCTCTGCGCGCAGAAGCATTGCCAGGCCCCAGGCATCGTCCGTGCCGATGTCGCAGTCGTAGACCACAAAGCTATCGTAGTCAGACGCGCAGGTGTCGGCCATGGTTATTCTTATGTCTGCAGTGAGCTCATCCTCTCTTTCCTCTTCGTTTTTGTTTTTTCCTTCTGTTTTGCTATCGCAATAACAGCTGACGGACCTATCGCCGTCTATTCGATAGGCCTTACACAAAAACTTCTTTCTTATCTGGGTCTTTGGTGTGGGGGAAAATTAAATATTAATCTAAATTGTGCTCAACAAGCAGTTTAATTTATGACTTACGTATAAGGTGTTGTTTGTACGTGCAATAAAGAGAATGAGGGCGGCATGTGGAAACCAAAGTTTCCATGGGAGGAGAAAAGAACTTGTTGCAACGTAAAGATACCCTGGTTTTCATTCATCCGTAACCGAGTACTCGTTACGGATCATTGTGTTAATTCTTTGTAGATTTGTGGATGATGGCGAAGAAGTGGTTCAAATATAAATGGTATTTAAGTAGTTTAAGGACTGTCCTCCAATGGGACAGCTTTTAAATATGGAATTCAATGAAAAATACAAATTAAAAGATATTTGTATATGGAATCGAACTGTAATGGGGAGATTCTTTATTTTCATTTCTCTAGTAACTAGAGTCTAGTTGCTCAACTGCTTCCATCCTCCTGTTACGTATAGCTACAAACAGGGTATATTTTTTAGCTGTAAATTAAATAAGAGAGTAGCATGCTCGTGTGGGTTACATATACATATATACATATAGCAGTATGAATGCATGTACATACATAGTTATCCCGTCTGGGGTTCTACTTTGATTGCTTTAAAGTGTCGAAAGTTGCCTCGTCGGACGACTTTCATTATCGCGACGACCTGCCGCAACTCAATTGCAGCTTTGCGGCGACTATGTGGACTGGCATTAACACCCCAAGTTCCACGGAAATAAATAACAAATTCAATTTTGATTTTCTTTATTGCACTACGATAGTAGTACGTCGTATTCGTACAGACATACACACAAAAACACAAAGAAGTTCCTTTGTTGGGTTTCAGATCGGGGCGATGATTTAATTGGTTTTTGCTGGAAATCTGTTAGTATTAGCTGTAAGCTGTATCTATTCTTAGAATATTAAGATAAAGATTATGTGTATATAGGGGAACAAAAGCCACAAAAACTCCTCCCAGCTGCAACCCAATGATCAACCTCTACTAACAAAGTTTTCCCGCACATTCGGGCGGTGTATACGAAGGAAGGGTATCAAAGGGGCGAGCCAAAGGGTGAGGAAAGTGCACGCATCAGTCGTAGTCCTCTCCCGCTCTGCTCTTTGTCTGTCTGGCTCGGCTCGTGCAATCGCAGCTGATTTACTAAATATGGAGTATAGAACACAACGAACGTCTACTGCATACCTATGTATGTTCGGGAGCGTGGCCATGCTCATGGGTGTTGTTGGTGCGGGTACGGGTAAACACACATCTGTGCATGTTATAGAGCGAGTGCGGGGAAGGGTGCTTGATTTTGCATCTACATACACATAAGAATAGGGGAATGGGCGTTATGAAATTCCGTGCAGCCCGGCCGTACCCATATCACGATGGTTGAATGGAATCAGTGCCGATACACGAATACGACAAACGACAAGTGACAACCGACAACCGACAACGACGACGAAGACGACGACGACGACGGTACGAAGGCAGCCCCCGCACAAAGAGCATACAATGACGCAGATTAGCTGTTAGCTGCAGGCGTCGTGTAGGCCGGTGTCCAATCCACAGAGCGATTCCCGGTTTCCATTTCCCGTTTCCCCATTTGAGCGAGCACTCACAGCTCGCCTTCGATGGCAGACGGACGCACAGCAGCACAACAGGAAGAGGGAGGGGAGCCGGCGGCGGCGCCAGACCGGAGATACGCAATACTCGACTGCGATGGCGGCAGCGACGATGCCTGGGCCCTGTTGCTGTTGCTGCACGCAGAGCGTAGCCAGCTGGTGAAGCTCCTGGCGGTGACTACCACCGGGTGCGGCAACACCACCCGCGAGCATGCGGCGCGCAACATGCGACGCATCCTCAACGCCAGCGACAGACAAGATGTGAGTACACGAGTACGAGTACAGGGAAAAGAGAGCATGTGCATATGGTGTTTGGTGTGATTCCAGGTGCCCATCTATCTGGGGGCCGTGGAGCCGCTGATAAGCTGCAGCGAAGATGACAAAAAGTATTTTCATGGATGCGACGGCTTCGGCGACTGTCTGGCGGCGTGTGACAGCGAGGAGTCGCTAGAGAGCATCGTGCAGGCGGAGCATGCGGTGACCGCCATTTACAAGCTATGCCGCCAGCGACCCAAACAGATCACTGTGTTCGCGGTGGGGCCTTTGACCAATCTGTCCCTCGGCTTCACCATGTACGGTGAAGAGTTCGGCCAGCAGTTGAGGGACCTCTACATCATGGGCGGCAACTATCAGGGCGTGGGCAACTCCTCGCGTTCGGCGGAGTTTAACTTCCATTCCGATCCGGAGGCCGCACATGCCGTGCTGCTCAAGACACACTGTCCGATCACCATTCTGCCCTGGGAGGCTTGTCTTCCAGAGCGTTTCAACATACACATTGTGAGTAGAAGAGTCCGAGAACAGAGCTCCCTCCGGATAGAAGGTACATAATTCATTTTGTTTCTGTTTGCCGCGTAGAATTGGCGCCTGGAGCAGTTCGCGGTCAGAGCGGCGGCCGTCCAGCATTCGGCCATCACACTGCTGAACCGCGTGGAGAGCGCCCAGTGGCTGCCCATGATGGAACAGTATGGGATCGACACGTGGAATCCCTGCGATGCTATTGTGGTGGCAGTTTGGCTCTTCGGGGACCGGCTCGTGCGGAAGCAAAGTACGTGGCATGCCACAGTGGACCTGCGTGGCACGCATACACGCGGCCAGATGGTGCTCGATCATCTGCGGGAGCGGGAGAAGTATCCTGAGAACGTGCGGATCATCGAGCTGGTCGACGCCGAGTTCTTCAAACGGATTGTCGAGTGGGTGGCGGGGCTGGATGGTGGGGAATTTCTGTTCAATAAATAATAATACGAGTAGTACATAAAATATATTCCTAAAGTGCACCAATATCGTTGCCTAGATTCTTCGTTAATTAGGCTCGTTTGTTAGCCTCGTTCGTTAATCTCGTGTGTTAGGCTCGTGTTATTGAGTATGCTATGTTTTGTTTACCGAGAGTTTGATATGTACAACGTATCGTGGCCGAACAGGGGCAGTGCAGTGATCAAACTGCATAGCCAGGGCCCTTCTATGCTAAGTCACTTGCTTAGCTCGGCGAAGAAGTACTCCAGGCCGTGCGCGTTGTCCCACTTTCCATCGATGAGTGCCTTCTCTTGGACCGACCTCAGGGCGCGGATGCAGTCGACCATCAGGGAACCAAAGTCGTTGCTGAGGAGACTCACAATTTTGGCGTAGCTAGCTGTGGCCGGGCTGGGGGGCCGGTTCACATAGCCTATGAGAATGCGTAGCAGCTGCTCCTTGCGGTCGGGCAGGCAGTCGGTGATCAGTAGTTTCAGTCGACGGATGTGGACAAAGTCGGCGACGAAATCGACGCCGTCTAGTTTAGCCATCAACTCGGCAATCAGTTCAATACGGTCGTCGGGGGTGAGATCCTCACCGCGCCGAGCTTGCCACTTCCTCTTGCGACGATGACCGTTCATTCTGATAGAACATTGGGATTCTCACTGATTCTGATTTTCAGACAATAAATACATACGTATGTGCACTAATTGAAGAAAGGAATTCGAATTACAGTGCAATTTGTTCACTTTTCACTTCTTCTTGGATTGGTCTTCGGCAGAATCCACGCGTTGCTTTCTTCAGGGAGGATGCGAACAATCCAGAACGAAATTACTACTGAAAATACAGCGAACTTAGGCGTTTTATTGTAACTTTTTTCTAGTTTCTCAATTTTTACACAGAACACTCACTGAACTGACTATTAACTGCCTGATTTGTTGACAATATGTGAACAAATGTTCCTATGGCCTATTCCGATTGACAAAGCCGGCGAAAGCCCGCATTGGCAGCACTGGCTTTGTAAAGGTAGCACCTTTGCGGCTTCCTAGCTTCATGTTTTAGCACCAGGAGTTTCGTTACTTCTGTCGCTTTCTGCGTAGTTCGAGTCGGACACATGTTCTTCAGGGGGAAAAAAAGATCGCTGATGATGAAGAGTGGGTAAGTTGAGTGGTTACTATTTGAATGAATACAATTTTATGGGTGGCTTGTTAATTTCAAAATAAAGGCGTTTATTCGATTCGATCGGACTATCGCTCAAAAGTACCGATATTGTCTTCGCAGCTCCCTGTACATCGATAAGTAGAATCAAAAGTCGCGGATATATTTGATCTAACATCCTGAGCCAACAGAAAATTATAGTCGATTCAGCCCAAATTCAGAAGTAGTTCAGTAGTTCCATTGATGTTATATTCATATTAATATCCTTATCAATATATTCGCCGTATATCGTATCCACAAGTCCACTGGAAAATGTAGAAAAAAATATCCAATAATAAGAAGCATACCATTACGAAGTCTAGAGAATTAAGCTCAGACTCTTTTGCCGAGAGTAACCATCCGCAGCGTCCTTTTCAGGCATTTCAAACACAAATGAAAATAAGTTTTATATACGATAAAACGATAACTACTAGTTTCTCAGCTGATTTCTAGCTCGATACACAAATTCGAAAATGCATAAAAAGAACGACTGGACAGAGTCGCTCTTGGCTCCATACGCCGTAATAGCGACTATTCCCTACCACCCAACACCACCAGCAAAAGCTTGATCGGCTTGATCACCATCAGAAGCTTTATCAGCAGCCAGTGATGCCAGGTCCCCAGGCCTTACCTATTATTGCGGTAATTCACTTCCAATAAATAAGAAATACAAAAATTCAACTTTACGCGTATATTATTTTCATCATTTTTAGTACATATGTACATATATAGGACCGGAAGCCGGAGTTCGACGCGTAAGGGACAGCAAAGCCGAAAAGCCGCCACGATGATGTGAAATCGTCAACAGCACCCATGGCAGTCATGGCGTTTATTATGGCAGGCGTAAGCAGATCATCGGTAGCTGAGCGTTCTTATTCCGAGCGACTGAACGGACATGGGATGCCTTGGTTCTCAACGCTGGCACCTTTTGATGGACAGTCACTACAGGCATATGTTAGCCACGGGGGGTGTTCCGACTAGATGATACTGTACAACCCGTGGAGGAGTTGTCGCTGCAGAGGATAACAGCATCTATTCGTGTGCCGCACAAATTACTGCTAAAAGAAATATCTGTTTTGTTTTAACAATACAATGTATCAATGAGCTCAGCTCATATGAGTGAGCGCACGCACCAAATAAAGTATGAGCAAAAGGGAAAATGAACGTTAAAAGTCCTTTTTTTGAATTTTTGAATTTGTGTAAAATCAGCTGAGAAAAACGTTTTATCGATTTCAGTTTTCATTGCATGGTGATATCATTTATACGGTCACACTGATATGTTTGCCAGCTCTTTGCGGGAACGAAAAAATGAGTCGTAATTTGAATAGGCTGTAAAAGAGGGTACGGACAACAGGCAAAAATAGACAAGGCAAATTGGAAGGTTCGAACGAAGCTCACCTCGCGTGAGAGCACAATATATTAGTCGAAAGGGGTGGGTTTTACTTTACATGCGTTGCATTTTCTGGGCCATTTTGCCAGTGGTCCATACCCTTTCTTTCCTCCCATTTGTAGCAAATGTGTATTAACCGTGTAGAGTTGCCATGAAACATGTAGCATGTAGTAAATTGGGCAAAATGTAAAAATTTTAGAAACTTGAAGCTCGTCGTGGTGAAAAATAAATAAAAAATATAATATATTAAATGCGTTCGCGTGTGTGAAGCAGAAATAGCAAAAGGAGACACAGCAGCACCAGCGAATACACAGCGGTATCCGACTATCGCCGGCGACGCTTCCAGCGACGCAATGTAGAAAATTGTCTCAAGAATTGTCACACACTAACACGAAAGGGCCAGAATCGGGGAGTCGCATGCAATTTGTTTTGTTATTAATTTTCCAAATAATATCGGGCTTTGTGCTGCTTTTAATTGTGATACACTACATCTATTATATAATCAATGCGATTGCCGGCGATTCGCATAGACAGCAGCAGCAGCATCCACAGGAAGAACGGCCAAACAGAGGCGACACTTGCTGCAGTTTGTGCTGCCTAAGTGCCACCTGCCGCCACCCGCCCAGAACCAACACCACAACAACAACGGAATTGGATTTTGGTTTTCACATTACAAATTTGGCGAAAACCAAATCCACAGATATGCAAACAAACGATGACGCAAAGTTTATTAAAAAGTGCGTATGTAGTACTAGTACTGTGTGTGGGTGTAGAAGTGGAAGTGGAAGTGGAAGAACAAACGAATGAGAAGCAGCAACAAAAAACAACTCGCGCGTCATATGCCAGAAGTGAGGGCCCCCCGCAAAACCCACTCACCTTGCTGCTGGCGGTTTGCTCTGTATTGATTTTCCACTTGCCACAACCTTTTGTTACTATGCGTGTGCGTATTGTGTGTATGTGTGTGTGCAATAACAACTTGCCACAGAAAACAAAAGAAATGAAACATTCAGAAATCAAGTCCAGAACAAAGGAATAGTTATTACCTGATTACGCATCGAACCGCATAATTTATGATTGATCCAACAATCCAATGCTGCTGTATGCTGGTACCCTCTACCTTCTCCCCAATCACTCTCTCTCTTTCTATCTCTCTTTTTCTCTTTGTCACTCTGTGTCTGTCTCTTTTGATTGCATTCCATTTTTATGTTCTTTCCCATTTTAGGCGATGGAAAGGCGGCTCCATTGAGCCGCATCCCACGGACAAGGCTCTGATTGTCAACTATCAGCTGGAGGCAACGGTATTTGGGGAGCCCAACAATCCAATGATTGAGGAGAAGAAGGTACGAGAGGAGGGGTACTCCGGTTGACATTGAGCTGCTGCTGCTGCTGCTGCGGCTACGGCTGCGGCAGCTGGCCAATCGATATCGTGAAACGGGGTCGATGACGGGTCGGTCGGCGGTGCGAGGTCTTTGCCCTCGTTTACCCCTCTAGCCGTTTCGCTTGTGTGTTCAATTAGTTAATTATTTATTTTAACGCTGTTTTTTTGTGTGTCTTTCTTTTTGGTAGCACTGCCAGAAAATCATCAGGCTTCGCTCGCTGAATACCAAAACCGATCCGGCTGCCTTGGCCCGCGAGGTGGTGGACAAATGCGATCTAATACACAAATCGCAGCTAAACGATGTCGAACAGATCATATTCTATCTTAAGAATCGGAAGGACAATGCAAGCAATGGTGGGTCTCATTTTGTGCTATTATAAGTATACGGAATCATACAAATCAATATGTACATGCATATTTTTGCCATTCCACAGACATACCCGACAACAATACACACAGCCGCCGGTCGGCTGCCTTGCATAACTCGCATACACGCTCTTCGGCCCGTTCCCATAGCAGTGTGGCCGCCATGTCCAGCAGTGGCACGGGCACTGTCACTGGCACTGGCACTGGCACTGGCAGCGGTGGCGGTGGCTCATCCATCACAAATGGCAGTGGCAATGCTTTGGCCGCTTCTACCCCCACAGCGGATGTGTCCATCAACAATATTGACGAGTATGTGGAGCTGCTGTACGAGGAGCTGGGCGAACGCATACGCGGCTCGGCCATGATCCTGCAAATGGCACGAAATCCCGATAACCTAGAGGAGCTGGAAAAGAATGGTAGAATTGAGAACAATCTTCTGCAGATTTCTGATTCTGATTCTCATTATTATTTTGTGTTTGTCCCCTTTTGCAGAAGCCTGCCTAAGTGCTTTGTCGCGTGTACTACGCGAGGACTGGCGTAAGAGTCTCGATCTGTCGACGAACATCATCTATATCTTCTTCTGTTTCTCCACCTACACCAAGTTCCATCCACTTATAGTGCAGTACAAGGTAAGGGGAACGGCACCGATACTCGAAGAAACTCCCATTTGAAACCAATGCCCCTTTTCTCCCTTGAAGATTGGCTCTCTGTGCATGGATGTGATCGACTATGAGCTGAGACGCTATGAGACGATGAGGAATGAGCTGGATGTGCGCAAGCAGCCGAATGGCTCCTCCACACCGCATTCGGCAAAGGCCAGCAAGGAGAAACTGAATCGGAGCACAGATGATTTCTTGGACATCATGAACGAGGAGAAGCCCAAGGAGGTTGGTTATTCGCCCTGCATACCCCCATCTCCGGTCTCTAATGATTTGTGTGTGACTGCTTTCAGATGGAGCCACCGCGTCGACGCATTCCCGAACTGAAGCAGCGTCCCAAGTCGGGCAACTGGAGTAGCTTTCATGGCTCCATGTCCTCGTCCCTAATCAAGAGTCAAATCCTGAACAGCAGCTACCACGAGGCGCTGTGTGCAGGCGCCGGCGGGGGAGGAGACCCACCCAGCACTGTGCCAGCCGAATTGAAGGCCCAGAGCAACGAGTCGCTGGATCGTAACGATCCAAAGGTGAAAAAGGAGGAGATCGATCGCCTGAACAAACAGCTAAAGATCTTTGCCAAGAAGCAGGAGCAGCTGCTGCGTGTCGCCTTTTATCTGCTGCTGAATATGGCCGAGAATGTGAAGCTGGAGGAGAAGATGCGACGCAAGCATATTGTCAAGATGCTGGTTAAGGCGCTGGATCGCCAGAATATCGATCTGCTGATGCTTGTGAGCACGTTCCTCAAAAAGCTGTCGATTGTCGGCGACAACAAGGATGAGATGTGCTCGCTGAATATTGTGGCGAAGCTGCCGCGCCTGTTCCAGAGCACGCATACGGACCTGGTACAGGTCACCCTCAAGCTGGTCTTCAATCTCTCTTTCGATGGGGGTCTCAGGCGCAAGATGATTTCCGCCGGCTATCTGCCCATGCTGGTTATGTTCATCAACGATGAGAAGCATCATGGCATTGCCGTCAAGATCCTCTATCACATGAGCCTCGACGACAAGGTGAAGGGCATGTTCACGCAGACGGAATGCGTCCAAATGGCCACCGATGCGATCATTCTCAATCTGAATGTGAAGGTCGATCTCGATCTGATTGCCCTCTGTATCAATCTGTCGCTGAATCGCCGCAA